CTGGATATTCCTCTAATGTGGAATATTTCAATAATCTTCTAGCAAAAAACATTGAGATGATATTTCGGTGCACTCTGTTTTGTATTAACCCAAATAGCACGTAAGCTTGCAACAACTTTGCGGCAAGCTGCAAATGTCCCACCTGACCGAAAGCTTGCACAATAAGATTATCGCAAGATTGATCAATAAGCTTGTAGTAAGGTTGGTGCAAGATTAACAAATAACCTTTCTCTAAACCTAAAAATTGTTTTTAAAATGTTTCGTCTAATTTATATAATTTTATCATATAACTTAGACAAAACATTTAAAAAAGCAATGTTACTTGGTAACCTTGCACCAACCTTGCTACAAGTTTACCGCGCACACTTACAGAGCAATTTTGCGATAATCTTATTGTGCAACCTTGCAGTAACCTTACACTGCAATCTTTCGATAAGCTTACCATTCAAGCTTTTGGTCAGGTGGGACATTTGAAGCTTGCAGTAAGTTTGCGGCAAGTTTGAGTTGCAAGGTTGGCAATATTGCACGGCAAGCTTGTCGCAAGGGTTGTTGCAAGATTACGTGATATGTGGGAACACAATTTTTTGATTATTCTAAAAAAATTTGATTCAAAAAAATATTTATTTGATATATTAAATAAAAGTTTAATTTATTTGGTTGATTCAACCAAAAGTTGAAAAAATATCATGTATTAAAAAAATTATAAAAAGTCCTTAAAGTTTTCACGTAAAAAGTCACTGGATTAAATGTATTATATAATTATATCATATATAAGAATATTATTGTATGCATTTATAAGATTTTAATATATTTTATTTGCATACAAAAAATGAGCGAATTTTTTGTGTTATACATACATTGTTGAAATTATATATGACTAACATATGTCAATGGACGATACTTCACGCGTCGTTGGTTATGAATAATAAAACCGTGATGTCCAGTTCATGAATCAAACTGTAGTCATGAATAACAAAATTAGTAGTGCACAACGATAAAAAAAAACAGAAGAAATTTGATGACGTATTTTTTGAGTTTGAGACTTTCATTGTTTAATACTTATTTTATTTATTATTTCGGAAATTAACAAATATGAATGTTTCAACTGTTTAAAAAATGTATGGTTACCATATATACACACGCACAGAAAAAATTTGCTGTGGCAGTAAATATTTAAAAATTAAAACTGATATTGTTTATCATAGCAAACTTTTTCGTTGTCATAGCAAAAAATTTAGCTGTGATCACTAATTTTGGTAGATCTGATAACAAACATTAGTTAGCATCTGTAAGCAATTCCTTTTTATACAGTATTAATCCGTATAAATGTATATCCCAATCGTATTTTTTGTTTTCCTTATATTATTAATTTAGGATCACAATGTCTGAAGTCTTTTATTGATTTATTTTATTTAATTTCAATTTATATTTATATTTTATTTACTCTTTCCATAACTAAAAATTATAAATATTTGTTTTCCAATTTCTACATTTTAAATTTTGTTGAGATATAATATTAGTTAAAAAGTTTAGAAATTTTATTATTTATGGATGAAAGAAATTAATATATTTGTAAATTCTTAAGGTGTAGATATTATTTTTTAATTAAGATTTTTTTTAATTATTAAACTCTAAGTGTATAATTTTCTTTATTGAAGGGAAGGAACTTTTATTTTTTAAATTCATAAATTAGAGTGTTAATAATTGCACGGAACGACTGCAGCTCCATCTTCTATCTATAAAGGCGCTTGCACACCTCCGGCTGCCTGCACAGGCAGCAAACATACAAGAGTAAGAGAGATAGAAACTTCAAATTTAAATCTACTGCCTCTCTGATTGGCTCTTACTGGCTGCCTGTGCAGGCAGGCGGAGGTGTGCAAGTGCCTTTACCTGTGGGAAGACGGCGCAAGGAGGCGGTATGAGTGTGAGCAAGAAAAATTTTTTAAATTTTCTTTCGCGCTCACACTCATGTCATCCCTTTGCTCCGTCTGTTGGCAGACCGGTAGCATAAAGGTACACTCTCATTTCGTGGCTGCCTGCTTACATAAGTTGTAACAAGTTGTAATGACAACGTGCAGGAGAGACGCTTGCTTTTCACCGAACGGTCAATACGTCGAACAGACAAAATGTCGAATGACAAGTTGTCGAACGGAAAAAATATCGAATCTCAAATACGTCGAATGGACAAAATATCGAACAGACAAAATGCCGAAAAGCCATAACCTCGAAAAGCCAAGACGTCGAACTGACAAAATGTCGAATATTTATGTTGAAGTAGGGGAGACCGAGGAGGAAAGTAACAAAGCTTATAACTTTTAAACAAATTATCGGATAGACATGGTTCAAACATATTTTTAGTCGGCACTGTTCCCCCTTCCTCCTCCATAGTGTGTCCGAGCCTGACAGGAAAGGTTAGGTCTGATTCCGGTGTGACGTGCAGAAAAAACGTCAAAAGTAAGTTTTCGTTCAAATTTTCAAAGTCTCGTATTTCTTTAATTTTATTGTTTTTCAAAATGTGCCTTTCGTTATTTTGTAGCCTTATTATCTGTCTTTAAGTTGTGCTTAAACAAACAATTTAACATTTGTGTAGTTTTAACTTTTTTGTTGACATACAAGAAAAAAGCGACCGAGGAGGAAAGTAACACGCTACTTTTCTCCTGTTGTCGATATTGTCCATGTTTTAACTAATGATTGAAGCAAATCGTATTTAATTTTACGAATAACAGAGATTTATTTAAGAAAAACCTGTGATCTAGGTAAGCATAAAATATCTTTAAGAAAAAAATGAGCTAAATTCATAAAATGTTCGAAATATGTGCTAAATATGTCCCAAATATGTGCCAAATAAGTATAAAGTGTACTTAAACTTTTATGTGTTCCTAATAAAAATATTTCTAATTAATAATAGTCATTAGTCTAAAGAATTTTACATAATTTTATACTGTTACTTTCCTCCTAGGAGCTTGTTACTTTCTTCCTCGGGGGTGAAGAGGAAAGTAACAGATGAAGAGCTTGCGTAAAAGTTATACTGTGAACTGTCAATTTATTATAAATGTTTAATTCAAATTTTATTTAAAAGGTGAATGTCCAAGCTTTCATTTAATATATTGGACAAATTTATCCGACAAATATTTTTAATGCTAGCATAAAAAAAATGATTTTTGTTACTTTCCTCCTCGGTCTCCCCTAAGTATAATTATACTTACTTCAACTAAAATATTCGACATTTTGTCCGTTCGACGTATTGGCTTCTCGACTTTTTGTCCATTCGACGTATTAGCTTCTCGTCATTTTGTCTGTTCGACGTCTTTGCTGTTCGATATTTTGTCCATTCGACGTATTTGCGATTCGATATTTTGTCCGTTCGACATTTTGTCTGTTCGACGTATTGACCGTTCGGTGAAAAGCAAGCGTCTCATAGCCAGGGGGATGTGCAAGCGCCTTTACTTCTTGTACGTTACCATGGTAACCTGCAGGCAGGCAGACTGCACAAGTTTGAATGCACCTTAATGTTTCCATAGATGAATGTGATAGACCTTTTCATGCTGATCGTTCTGTCCTTATCTAGCGCATACAATGACGCATGAGTTGGAAGAGGACAAAATGATCAGCATGAAAAGGTCTATTAGTTCATCGGCGTCTTAAAGGAGCGGTCACATTTCTACTGTCTGTCTGTGTCCTTTTCTATCTCATGCACATCATTCGCAAAACTATTGTACGTTAGTCTATTGACATCTTAAATCGTAACACGTAAGAATAAGAGAAAAAGACAGAAATATCTTCTGCTCTTTTCGATCTAATGTTAAATTTAACGTTTAGGATTTCAATTTGCGTTGATCCTTTTAAAACTAACTAACACTGAACTGGATTATAATATCTGAAATGTTCAATTCCATTGTATATTATGTTTGATTTAATTGTTTTTGAAATGGGTTAAATCAGTTTTAATCAGATTCTATAAAATTTTATTTGGTTCTATAGATTTTTTTTAGTGGAACTGCTTGCAGATTTTGATGGTAACGCATAATCAGGGTATTCTAAAAATTTATATCGTCTATTACATCTTGTTGCATTAATTTCTCAGAAAAATTTATTTTTAAAATATAAGTATCTAATTATTTTTTTGTAGTAGTGCATTATTAAAATTTATTAGAAAAATTAACATTAAAAAATAAAAAAGTTATGAATTTTATTTCATAATTATTTTGTGTGAAAAAATTAAATTATTTACAAAATTTTAACCGGGAAAAACAAAAAACTGACTGGGGAAAAACCGGGAATTTATAATCATAAAAATAGACAGAATTTAAATTGTTCATGACAACTTGTAGAATTGTGATCGTACCTTAAAAGCCTTACTAAAAACATTTCTGTTTTTTTTCTATCCTATCCCATACTTCCAGTTCCTGTTGAAGTTTGAAAAATCTATCGTTTCTTACCTTTTTACAATTACCTGAGTATATAACCGATTATTAAATTATTTTTAATACAAAACAAGTTAATTTTAAAGCACGTGTATGTCAGTAATGCTATAGTAATCAACACTTTTTGAGGTTATGACTGCTTTGTAGATGGCACATACAAAATGCGGGAACGTAACTCAATTATAATACAAACGTATATAACACAAATTGAAATTATAATCAACTTTTATTATTTGCAGCATGATTTATAATAAATTTACAAACCATCTTTTTCTGCTAGTAATGAAATAAACAATTTTTACATTATTTTACATTTCCCAACAGTATACTGATTTTCTATATATCACGATAAATCGAAGTAACCAAACAAATGTAGCTGCATGCACAATATAGAAAAGGAAAGAGATATATTTATGTTCTTTTCTAACTCATGCGTCACATTTACAAAGGAGTTTTCTGAATCTATTCTACGTTGACCTATAATACTTGCCGGCTTTCCACTTCCCACGCACACAGTCACACGGTCTCAATGGTATTATTTACACCTACATTTCCCACTACATTCTTACTCCTTTGGGCGTGTCAGTGTCAGTCAGTTGAATCTTTATACAGTGTGTGTTACCGCGGTAGCACAACACGCGTGGCAGGTACAAAATTATATTAAGTTCACTAACAAAACAGCGTGTTATTTGGTGTTTTAAAACAAAATCCCGAAACAAGAGTTTACTATTTTTGAAATGATATTGAATTAGTGATTTGTTTTTTTAAAATTAAAAGTGCATTACGAAAGTTAAAAAGGAAAAATGACGACGAGACTGTTTTCCCTACGTTTGGGAATATTAGTCATTGCTTGTTATTTATTGGGCGTTGTCGGACAATTTGAATGGCAAGACAGAGATGCATACGATGAAATTCGAAATAAAATGGATCGAGTCACTGGTGAAAATTGTCAAATTCAACATCTGGGAGATTTGTTTTTACCCGAGGATTCAGTTTCACATTTGCCTGATATCAAAGATTTAAATGTTAATCCAGTATTCCCTAACAGAACTGCATTACTTCATCTACATAATATGGCCTTAAGTCGGTCCTATTTTTGGAGTTATATACTTCAATCGAGATTTATTCGACCAGCTATTAATGACACATACGATCCTGGTATGATGTATTATTTACTTTCAACAGTGGCAGACGTCTCTGCCAATCCATACATTAATGCATCTGCAATTTATTTTGCTCCCAATTCAACTTATTCATCATCGTTTCGAGGATTCTTTAATAAAACAATGCCAAGATTTGCACCAAGGACTTTCAGAGAAGATGATTTTAACGATCCCGTTCATTTGGAAAGACTCTCGACGAGAAATACTTTTAAAGTTTTAGATCTTGGAGTGTTTCCTGCCGATCGAAAAAGCGCCGATTATACCACTGATTATTACAGAATTAATGAATGGTAAATATAATTACTACTCAAAAGTATTTGTACCTATGTACATTATTGTTATCGGTTATTAAAGCCAATTAAGGCCTATTAGCAAATATACTCATTAGTGCTAAATTATAATGAGAGCATTAATCAAAGAAAAGGGAAAATTTTTAATTTCTTTTTAATACAGAAAACATTGTATTTTACACCCTCTACTAAATTATTTACTGAATTAAATCAAAACGAAAATTAACATCTACTCATTGAAATTTCAAAAAAAGTCTTTAATTTTATAAATTCGGGTAAAATATTAAACAATGATTCAAATAATCCGTTACTTGAATATTACCAAATAAATATTTATTTGTATTAAATATTATTTGAGTCAATTAAATGATATTTATTTCAAATACAGAAATTATTAGTTAAAACACAATTTATTTTATTTAAATAAAAATTATTTGGTTCAAGTAAATATTTATTTGATAACAGTCAAGTAATGGATTATTTGTATCAAATAAATTTTTTTTCAGTGTATACAATTTTTTCCTAAGCAAGATTAATATTTCAAAATAAAAACATCAAATTAAATGTTCAATTTTTTCCATTTTTTAAATTTGCGGTTTTTAAGTGAATTTTTATTTAATTAGTAATATTAGAAGCATTAATTTTCAATTCACTTAATTATAAAAAAATATTGTTATTTAAACAAAAAAAGGTTAACAAATTGTTTTTTTTAGGTTCAAAAAATGGTTGCCAGATCCAAATCTTATAAAAAAGAGACATGATACCAAAACAACTTATCAAGTGGAAATAAGATATGCAAATAACACTAATGAAACGTTTACTTTCCATGGACCACGAGGTAAATATTGTTACTATTTTAAATCGATTGATTGAATCAATCATCCATGATACCCTTTCTATTCAACTTAATTAAAAAAAGTTCAGTTGGGGTCAGTTGGGGTAAATCAAAACAGTAGTTATTAAATAAAAAATTTTTAAAATAAATACGGCCTCACCTTAAACAAATAAATATTTTTTAATTTGAAAAATAATATTCAAAAACCGTGTTTTTTGCACATTTTTATTCATAACTAACGTAAAATTTTTTTTAAGGAGATAAATTAAACTCACAATTATTTAAAAAATAAAATTTAAAAAACTTGAATGGTTTTTATTACCATTTGTTACAACCATTAAAAATTAATTTATTGTTAAATATGTCAGTGACCATATTTTTGTTCAAAGAAAGCAGAAATAAGGTTATTAAAAAGTCAGGGAAAAATCAAAAAATGTCAGGGAGGAATCAGGGAATTTTTTTCTCAATCCTTGTTAGACACCTTGAAAAAAGTATAGTTAGGGAAAACATTTCAAATCACGTATTTTTAACTACAAAACAAAAAAATCTATTAAAATATCTTGAAACGTTTGAAACTTACAGCATTTTTAAAGAATAATTAAAAAAGAGAACAAAGTTGTTTCTAAAATACACTTGTCAGGTTAATTATGTTGACGGTGAATTTAAAAATAAAGTAAACTATTTAACCTGTTAAATTTTTTTAATTACTAACTGCAATTTTTTTTTATCCTTAAACCATAACTTTTGAACAGTTGAAAATAATTCGATAGATTTTTTGTTTTTTTTATTTTGTTGGTAAAAATACACGTTTGGAAATATTTTATGTTAATAAATCTCAAAAAAGAAAACTTGAAAATAAAAATTCAAAAATTTCAGGTTTTAAATAAATAAGAGCAATTAAGCAACAAAAAATTTAGATAAATGTTTTTATTGTCTAATAAATTTTTTTTTAAATCTTTTTTAATCATTTTCACCAAAAGAAAAAAATTATAAGGTCTTAAAATAAGAATGAGGAAAATTTTAAAACAAAAAGAAAATTTTTTAAATATTTTTCTTTGACGACAAAAATTGTATTACTTGGAAACTTTTGTCCTATTCATAAAGTAAAAATTTATCACATAATTATCTGGATTAATGTACTAAAAATTTAAAAATAAAATTATTTTCTAATAAAAAAAATTGACGAATAATTTACAAATTATCTGATTGAAAAATATGTAGAAGAAAATGAAATAGCAAAATTGTAAAAATTCTATTATGACGAGATTGTAGTTATCATTTGACCTGATATTAGGAGAATAAAACAAAAAATAAAAGACGTCATGCAATATCTTTTGAATATTTTCAGCTGCGGATGAAATCCCTGGACCTGTTCACTTTACAAGACCCTATTTCGACTGTGAGCGTTCTAATCGTTGGCTTGTAGCCGCAGTTGTTCCTATTGCTGATATTTACCCAAGGCACACAGGTTTCAGACACATCGAATACCCTACGTAAGTAGATTTTTTCCTTTTTCTTTTTTAATTGAATAATATTGAAAGCAGTACAACTAACAGGACATTAAGAAAAATGAAAATTGTCTCGCCTTGGTACAGAGAATGTATTATTAAATTCTGTATTCAAAGTGTTGTGCATTTTATTGTTGTCCGTATAATATTTGTTACCCTTGTTGAAATTTTTCGAAATATTGCATTATATGTGATGGTTGGGTGCTGTGGGACATTCACTTGCTTTTATTACTCTAATATATTCACCTTTACAACCCCCAGAGGTGTGTCCTCTCGGCACACTGGTTAGGTCACTATATTTTTTCACCTTGCTTATACTCCTGCACGTTCTGCACGTGTGAAGCGCTTTAGGAAGATCCGCTTCCCTTGGAGGTGTTGTCGGTAAAAATTCAAGTGTCGGTAAAAATCAATTGTGAATGGGGGAAATTTATAAAATTTCGAGATTATCAGACCCCCCCTAAATAAACAGGTTTTTGCCTTACACACACACGGAAATTTATTTTTATCTCATGTCTTTTCATTCATCTCTCTTGGTACCTATCATTTTTCATTTATTTCACATTCAAACTATTATTAGTATTTTCATTTGTTTGTAAGACATATGGCAGTTTGCCTTTTCAGTTATTGTCACTCATAAAAAATGTATATATGTTATATAATTTTTTAAATTTCCCTAGAAATTAAGAAGAGAAATAAAATAAAATTGGATTTCCAGAAAATATTTTCACACTGGTAATTTTTTAATAGTCACTATTTAAATTTACTGTTCAAAAAATTATGCAAAAGTTTTGAATATATTATGCATATTTTTTCCGTCTGTGGGGTTACGTTAAATTTATTCAAAGAATACTCAATGTAATAAAATTTAATTATCAAAAAACAAATTTGTTTTGTATGTTATTCATTTTTAAGAAAACTATAAAAGGATAATTGAGGTTGACTTTTTAGGTAAATATTCTATAATTTCCCAAAATGTTACGTTTTGTAACAAACGTAAAGGATGGTTCAAATCTGCACCATATGAATTTTTTGAAAACAGTAATTTTAATATAATAAAAAAAATAACCCATTTTCCACATTTCTTTCTCCTTCAAAATTTATTTACTGTTTTCTGTAAAAAAATTTATCATTACCGTCATGCAGAACAAAAGAATTAGGTATTCAAAATATTTACAATTTTATTTTATTCGGTAAAGTTTTGTTTAAATTTTATTACGTAATAATTCGTCGATTGAGGTTAATTTTGAAAAATTGTTTTTTTTTTATTGATAAAGACAATAATAGTAATTAAAAAAAATTCTTTGTACTCTGCGCATTCGATAAAACAATAATAATTATTTGACTAAATACCTATTTGAAGATAATTATTTTATTTTATTCATTTCATTAATAATAGACTTATTTAATTAAATCTTTGTAGATAATTGGGTCAAAATAAAATATTGTTTGTTTAAATAATTATTAATTTTTAACGAAAACTTATTTTATTAACATCTAGTGTGATCAAAAATAATTGTTTGAAATTAGTAGATAAAAAAAAATTTTGCGTTAAAGCCGTTAAAGTTATTAACATTTGAAATATTTAGAAGTCTAAAAAATAAAAAACTTTTGCGAGTTCCAGTTGACTAATTTAAAAACAAATGTTTTACACACAGAAATGTATGAAGCATATAAAACACTTTTTACATTTTTTTATATTAAATATATTAAATTTTTTTTATATTAGGTAACGTTTCGACAGACAATGCTGTATTCATAAAAGCTGAATAATTTTATTTTACAATATTATAAAAATTCGTTTTTAACAATTATATAAGTATAACATAATTAATTAAAATAAATATTTTAATAAAAATTAAATCATATATATCACCTTAAAATTTCATTTCAGAAAGAATTAAATTTATAATAAAAATGTTAACATAATAAAAAGTTTAAAATTTATGCTTGATAAAAATCAAAAGTCAGATAGATGACAAGTACACACAAAGACAACATAATATAAACTAATTGATGTTTGTTGTTTGTCTGACTCTTGATTTTTATCAAGTATAAATTTTTTTTTACTATGTTGATATTTTTATTATAAATTTAATTCTTTTTTAAATAAAATTTTAAGGTGATATATGATTTAAGGGGTCTTGTAAATTTTTGAAACCATAAATTAATGGCTTTTCAAGTTTTTTTTTCTCAAAAGTTTTAAAATTTAATAAAGTAAATCTTTTAACATGTTTTTATGTATATCCAGGATAATAAAAAAATTAAGTTATGATCTTAAAAAATATTACTATTTTCCTTTTATAGAGGACGCACTTTAAAATTATATTGAAATCGCTCATTTTTACCGGGAGGCAAAAAATCTAAAAATAGTGGTCACTCTGATTATACCTTAAAAAGTTTAAATTACTAGAACTTTTTTTTAAAAAAATATTAGAACTGATATAAAAATTTAATTTGATTATCCATGAAGAAAACTTTTTGATATAAATTATTTACGAGTTTTATTATTTATATAATGTAATGCGATTAAAGCGACTTTTTTGCGTTGCGATTCGAGGCCTGAATTATATTTAATGTTACAGATATACCGCAGTTTCAGTGATAGAAATGGATTTTGATAGGATTGACATAAATCAATGTCCCAAGGGAGCTGGAAATGATGGTCCAAATAGATTTGCTAATACATCAAGATGTAAAACGGAAACAACAGAGGTAAGAAATTCATAAAAATTTTCAAAGATGCAAGATGTGTTTTGTGTACATATAAGAAAGTGAATGAAGAGAAAAAAAATGAAAGTTCACTATATTTAAAAGGTTTTTATTATTGTAATCTAGTGTGAACCCATACACGGATGGGGTTTTAGAAGAGGAGGATATCAATGCAGATGTAGACCGGGTCTGAGATTACCCACGGTAGTCAGACGACCCTATCTCGGTGAAATAATTGAGAGGGCCACACAAGAAGAATATTACAACAATTTTGATTGCACCAAAATAGGATGTACGTAATTAATATTTTTCTTTTCTTTTCAAATGAATGAATGAATGAATATTGAAGAAAGTTCTTTTTGGAAAGGAAATAAACGTAATGAATTATGTATTTTCAAGGGATTCACAAATTACCAGTACAATGGGAACATATGAAACCGCACATGCGAGAAGGATATTTGGATCGATATCGAGAGTACAAGGGTAATTTTTCAGGAGCTGGCAGCTTAGAAACGGAGAAAATGAACATTGACAATGTTTTGAAATTTATTGCAAGTGTTAATGCAAAAACTTGCTCAAAGTAAGTCTAATTTATTTCTTTTTTTCTTTTATCTTTTTGAAAATTCTCTTGTATTATTCACGTGAATTTTGTTTTTGGGAGGCATTAATTTTGAATAATGAATTTAAGGTATACTTCCAAACAACTACAATTGCGAGGTGATATTGCTTTTGGAGCTGAAGATTATTATGAGAATCAAGCGAAAATGGCAACCAGGTTGGCCAATTTTATTAGTGCATTTTTACAAATGTCAGATCCTAAAGAAGTTTACTCGGGTAAAAGAGTAGCTGATAAACCGCTAACAGAAGATCAAATGATGGGTGAAACTTTGGCTTTAGTTCTTGGTGATTCGAGAATATGGTCTGCTGGAATGTATTGGGATCGAAATAAATTTACCAATAGAACCTTCTTTGCTCCCTATGCCTATAAAGAAATTTTAAATACAAGGAAATTTAAACTAGAAGATTTGGCTAGATTAAATGACACACGTAAGATTAATTCAATTATCTTCTCTTATTTTCAAATATTTATTGATCGTTGTTCAAGTATTTAATGATATTCATTAATATTATATTTAATAATTAAATAAATTAAATGATTATAAGTTTCATAAAATATTATTCGATTCAAATTTCGTAATAATGAGTTTTTTCATATTCTAGAGGATGTTTATACCAAAAAACCTTGGTTCAAATTTTTAAAACAAAGATGGGCGACTAATCATGACGAATTGGAAAAGTTCTATGTAAAAATAATGCTTAGACATAACGAAACTGGCGATGAACTGCCCAAGAAATACGAACGTTTCCCTGCCTTCTACAGGTATTACATTTTTTTTACAAAAAAAAAATATTACCGTTATTTACTATTATTCAAGTTACAAAACATTTAGATTTTCTCATCTAACTTAAATAATAACAGGTTTTTAGATAAAAAAAAAATTTATAATTTAAATACATTTAATAGAATATTTTTTAATACAGTATCTGTAAACATTTTTTACGCTAATTGTAATAATACAATTATTCTTGATGCAAACGTAGAAAAATTATAAAAAGCACTAAAAACATATTTTTATGAATCGTAGAAAATAAATTAGATTTTCTGTGGGGAGGGTTGAGCTTTTGTTTCAATGATACGGAGGATTAGATTTGGGAATGAAACCAAAGGGTGGGGGGTGAAAAAGTATATACACAAAATTCAGGTTTTTATATTTATTCCCCTATGGCTCTATTCCATTATTTTCTTCTCTCTTTAAAATTTTTTAAATCTTGACCCTATTTACCCTTTCTCGTCACTTTTAAGTAAAATATATATAATTTTTATTTTAAATATATAGATTTTTAAATTCAATGAAATAATTATATTTCAAATAAGATGTAAAAAAAGTAAAATAGATGAAAGATTTGATTTTTTCTTTCGAAAAAAATTTGAGCGTAATTTAAAAGTAATAAAAATAATTTTTCAAAATTATTATTCTGAATTTTTAGCGTTTCGAAAATCACAGTTTTTTACAACTATTATTTAATCGAAATATATTATTTCGAAATATATTGTGGACAAATTTTTATCACTAAGAACTTAAATATTTAACAGTTATTTATGTACAACTGTATAATAAATTAATAAGGATGTTCAAAACATATGAACCGTTTTAGGGATTCTACAATTCTAAATTCAATTTTTTCTTTTTTAACACCTCTATTGCATAATTTTTGCTGAATAGAAGTTCTGTGTGATAAAAATTTGTCTACGTTATAATTTGAATAAATAAATATTAACTAAAGAAAATTGTTTGGGTTTATCTTAAATTTTACTTGAAGGAACCATTTTTTTCTTGTTTAATTGTTTTTTTTAATTAAATAATGGAAAATAACGGTGAAATTTTAACTTATCGAAATTTATATTATTGAAGTATTAAAAAGCTCCTAAAATTAAACACATTTCAAAAACTTAATCTTTCGAAAATAAAAATACCTTAATTATTAATTTTTTTTTAAAGAATAATAAATTGATTCGATCAGACAATTATTGGGAAAAATGAAATGTGCCCCAGGTTTGACGAAGACAATATAATATCAGAAATATATATATATATGTATCTATTTTAATATTCGGGGATGGGCGGGGTGTCTGTATAGCGCAGCAAACCTGAATCATGGCCATTGGACAACTCCTTACTTTGATTGTAACGGCAAAGTGAAGAAATGGGTAATTACCTATGCATCCCCATTTTTTGGCTTCTTGGGCAGCTCGAAAAAGAACCTGGAATTCAAGTGAGTACTCTTGTATTGGTAAGCGTAGAAATTCGAGGGTGTGCTTGTGTGTGAGTAAATCGAGTGTGAGATAGTTCTGTCGGCAAAACCTGTTTCAATAATAAAGAAGGAAGGAAAAGAAGATCATATTTAACATTAAAACACTTACAGGGGTGTCGTTGCTGTTTCCATGGATTTGAGTGATCTGGATATTAACCAGTGTGATAATAAATATTATGTAGCGAACGCTTTTAAAGGAACGCACAAGTGCGACAGAAAATCATCATATGTAAGTGCTTTTTTCACATTTTTTTTCTTTTTTTTTTAACGAAATATTGTTAATTACAATATTTTTTGTTTTTATTTCAGTGTGTTCCAATATTAGGCAGACACTTTGAAACAGGAGGCTATAAATGCGAGTGTAAGCAGGGATACGAGTATCCATTTGAAGATCCAATAACTTATTATGATGGGCAACTGGTTGAATCGGAGTTTACAAATCTTGTTAGAGACAAAGAGACTAGGTACATATTTTTCTTTTCCAAATTTTACTTCTTATTTTTAAGATAATTTAATGCTATCAGGCCTCGAATCGACTTTAAGACGCAAAAAAGTCGTTTTAGTTGATTTACTTTAAACTGCTGTTGTTTTAAATTTCTGATAACAATTCAATTTTAGAGTTTTTATTTGCAACTTTTGTAAATAATTAAATTTTTAAAAAATACTTTAATTATTTTAAAAAATTGAATTTTGGAAGAGTTACAGGGAAATTTTTAGAAATAATTGAATTTCAAAAGATTTTGTTAAATTTCAGATAATAATTAAATTTTACAGAATTGAAAATAATTTATTAAATAAATTTAGTTAACATTCTTTTAAAGTAATTTTCAAAGATTTACAATTCAGATTTTTTAAAATAATTGAACTTCAAATGATTTTTGATTAAAATTGTTGGTAATTTTATTTTCTTATTTTTTAATTTTTAACAATTATTGAATTTCATAAACTTTCTATTTGATAAACAGTTAAAGAGAATTGAATTTATGAAGAATATTGGTTAAAAATTTATTAAATAATTGAAATAAAGAAGATCTGAAGAAGATCTGCTATTTGTTTCTTATTTTTCATTAATTATAAATATTCGTTGTAAATTTTTTCAAAATTATCTTGAAACAAATTAACATTTAATTTTTTTGATTTTATTGTAGAGAAAATTAATAGAAATTTAATGTAAGAAAATTTATAGAAAAAGTATTAGGAACGATTGAATAAATTAATATTAAAATATTTCAGGTATGACATGTTCAAATGCCGAGTAGCCGGTGCATCTTCAATAGAAGCAAGTTACTCACTCCTAATATTAGTCATAGCCGCTCTTTATTCATTTCAACGAAGGTAAAATTAATGTTCTCATCATATTGAGAATGTAAGAACGTTTTTGAGATCTCATTACTGTATTGACCAAAAAGAAAATACCGTCCATTGTTAAGGTCACGTTTAAGACAAGTATCGCCACAATAATTAATACAATGCAATAGTAAAAGAAAATTTTCCCAAATTTATGTCGTGAATAAAACAACAGAGTACACTAAAATATTGAAGAAATTAGTGAATTAAAAAAAAGTGGAATTAGATTGGCTGATAAAATGAAGATCAAGTTTTATACAAAAATTAATTTTTTGTATCAATTGTAGTGGGATCGATTATCTTAAGAGAAATTAATATTCACAATACGTGAATAAGTTTTTTAAATCTTGAAAAAAACACAATAATGCTGTCCAAAATGTGTTAATGTTTATACTTTTTAAGAAAGCATTTTTAAAGATTTTATAAAATTACTTTATATAATTTAATGCCATGTCAGTTCAAGTTCCGTCCGAATAATATAAATGTTATGCATTGTATATTTTATAAATTTTGATATTTAACATTTATACCATATTAATGGCATAATGTCTTCGTAACAAATTTTTATACATATTATTTTATAAGAAATCTTTTAAAAAAATTTTATTTACAATTTTTATAAAACGTACTATTAGAAATTTCTCAAATTTTATAGGCTAAAAATAATTTTAAAAATTAATAATGATCTGCTAAGTTATACTCACTGGAAAAATGAATCTCAGATTATAGAAACAATTTTTTTTAAAGATGTTAACATTTTTATGCTACTATACCTGTGCTTATTAATTAGGATAGTTGTTTTTAATCAAATGATATTATCTGTAAAAGTGCAAATATTGTATTTAAAAAAGAACAAACGTTGATACTCAAGTTCTAAACTGTAAAAGTGTTTTCGTTACAAATTTTTGTATACATCATTTTTATAGAAATTTAAAAAAAATATATTTACAAGATTATTATAGATAATGTTTATAAAAAAAGCTATTAGGCATTTATCAGTGAATTTTATACATTAAAAATTATTTTAAAATTGATAATATTCAACTCGCTCGAAAAATGAATTTCAAATTATAGAAACATTTTTTTAAAAGATGTTAAAATTTTAAATGCTAACAATGTTAGCATATAAGATTTTTAAAAGAATTTTATGTGTTGAAAATCGTTTTAACAAAATCAATAATTGATCTGTTAAGTTATACTCGCTTGAAAAATTAATCTCAAATTATAGAAACATTTTTTTTTAAATGTTAAAATTTATACGATATATTGTTGAAAAAAAAGAACAAAAGTTAAATGATAATTCAGTTTTAAACATGTAAAAGTGTTAAAATTTGTTTTATAGATATACATGTAAACTTTGTATTTTGATACAGTTGTAATATTAGTTTTAAACATTTTAATTTTAGTTTTAAATTTAAAGACTGTCATTATTAAAATTCATAAATAAAAATAACAGTCTGTAGTGCGTCTTGTCGGTGAGAAACATTTCATTAAATGTAATTAAAATTCTCACAAATATCAAATTTTTATCTACAACTGTATCAAACTGTTGTCTAGAAATTATTATTAACAATTATAATAATATTAGTTTACAAGACATTGTAATAAATATAAAATAATTCCGTCCTCGTTAGACTAGAAAACTTTGTGCCTTTACATTTAAAACGTAATGAGTCATAATTTATATTTGTTTGTGCAATCAAACCTCTTTAAATGGTATAAAAAAGAAATGGTACATTTGATTCTATTTAAAGGTTCTCACTTAGAAAATTTTTGTGATATAAAAAATTGACTTTTTTTTCTTATTTGGATCCCCTTTGACTGGGTTTGACTGCACTTGCAATTACAATTTTTCCGTCAATTAGTTTAAAGACAAGAAGATGTAAAACTAAAATCTTTTTAGAAAAAAAAAAGAAACCGAAATTCCATTGCAGAGACTATTTTAATTTTTATACATCTTTTTTTGTATGTATTTTGTATATTATACAAAAATGTAAAATAAAATTTTGAAAATTTTTAAATAATAAAACGATTGTTTTATTTAGATAATTTAAATTTTGTCAGTTTGACAAGGAAAGTGGTTAATAATTTATTACAGAATTATATAATTTTAAACGATTTTATCAATATCATTATTAATATTTAATTTAATTAATGTGTTTTCTATTAATAATAAATTAAGTGTTCAAAAAATGAGAATAACTAAAAATTACTTACTAATAGTGACCATAATAACGTTTCTCGCAAATAGTTTGTATTCACTAAGAAATTAGTAGACGATATACAATAGCCAAATATATGGAAATAATTTAAGAACTTTAACGAAATTTTTTTCAAAATGTTGCAAATACAGCAAAATTTTTTCTATATACGCAATTTTGTCAACTATGACAGAATATCAGGATATTTATTGCTTTTAGAAACAAACAACAAGCGTTGCTATCAAAGAAATTATTTTTCACTGAAGCGACTGTCTTTTTCTACGCAATGAAGTGAGTCAACATTTTTAAATACATAGAAAATTATAATATTTTTATATGGTTATGTATTATAGATTGAAGAAAAAGAAATTTTTTTTATACTTACCGATAAGTAGTTGATATTTCTAAATATTTGTATAGTCATCTTAAATTCATCAATTTTCATTGAGTTGATATTTTACATATAAAAGAATTGCAACTGTTATCGAATACAAAAAGAGAAACACACTGACATAAAAACATAAAAATATTTTCAAACGTGGATTCATATATATTACGAACAATTTAAAATATGTTTATCAATACATTTATTTGTTTTTTTAAAGAAAGAAGAAATTTTTCCTTCAACTGAAATTTAGAATGAACTATTAGACCGTTTCTTGTTTTTTCCTTGCTCTCTTTATTACATTAACAAAATTACTTTAATTTTTATTAATAATCAAAAAATTAATAATAATGTCCTATATACATATAAGGACTGAATTAACAAATAGTTAAATAAAATAAAAAGTTGATTAATATTTAAAAATATAAGAACTAAATACTTTATCTCAAATAAAAAATAAAATAATATAATTATTTTTGTTTTAAATAATAATTTATTTTGAAAAAATGGAAGAAAATCAAAAATTTAAGAAAGTCGAACAAATTGAATGAAAAATTAGAGAATTTTAGAAATTGTAAAAAAGAAAATTTGAAAATATCGATAATTTTAGGAATTATTAGAAAAATATATTAATGTAAAATATTATTAATTATTGGCGTTATATTGATCCTTTTGTTTTATTAATTTATTTATTTAAAAAAATCTACATTACTTAAAACATCTAAAAAAATTGAATTAATTTTTACACAGCTTCGGATTGTTTCTTCTATTTTAGTACTAAAAATGTAAAATCTTTTAAAGATGACATACACACGACTTGTATCAAATTATTAAATTTTTAAGTTTCATTGTTCAATTGTACGATTTTTCTTTGTTACATTTGGAAATATTTATTATCTAGATTAAACATTACTTTTCTTCAGAAATTATATTTAAATAAAATAATTTAATAATAATTTAAACTCACAAAATAGTCGTATACAATTTTATTTTTGTATTTCGAATCAAATAAATACTTAGTTTTTTTAAATAAACTTTAGTATAGTTCAACAGAGCTATTTACAATCAATTAATATTAATGTATGTATATAATGCCACCGCAGGGCACCAATAATTTATATTACAAAATTCAATGTAAATTGGAACGTTTTTGTGGACTTTAGACTCTTGGGCAGACAATTAATTAGACAATTAATTTAATTGCATTTAATTTTCGATTTTTTTATCAACAAAGTGATATTTAATAAATCGGAATCCTTGCGTTAATTGAGCACATTCGTTGACAAAATGGCAAGAGAATAAAAGCATATTACGTGGTTGCACCATTATTGCAAATCGCATGAACATTGCTGAGTATAAACACAGAGCTGCAAAACAATGAATAAAGAGAATTAATAAACGCACAAATATTGCAGTAATTTATTGCTGTAGATATTATACATTTATGTATGTCATGATTTTTGTTATATTATTCGCAAATCGCGGTTGCTTTTTAATTTCACTAATATTTCATTTTTATATTACAAATGCAATGGATAGGAAAGAATATTTTCCATATCTAATTAATTCGAATTCCCATTGTGTTTAAAAATTCATAATTTGGAATTTGTATATTTATCCAAATTTTAGAAAGTATTTGTATTGAACCGAATTTACAAATCGAAGAATTTTTATATGTAAATGAGAATCCAAATAAAAAATTCCGTTAACTTATTCTGATAAGTAGAAATTTAATTGAAGAGTCATTTTATAGAAATAAATGAAAGTTTACTATAAAATTTGGTTCAATATAAATTCTACTCTATAAAATTCGAATTAATATGAATAATATTCGCGCGTTTCATACAAAGCAATGAAATAAAATAAAATAAATATTAATTATTTTTCAATTTTTTTTTTTTGTTCTAATTGGTTTATTTTCTATATATAATTTTCTTTATAAAATATAATTTAAACGTTCAAAAAAATGTTAAAATCTCAATCTAGTTATTTGGTTTCAATATTTTTGATCAAGTAAAACTAAATATTTTCATGAAAACTGTATATAGGTACATAAATTATATAAAGAATTGATAAAATTGCATTAAGTTAATATGCATTGAGTTATGAAAGATACGTAACAATTGTCTATTTACGTAAGAATTTTTATTGAATTACTATTAAGTTAAGAATGAAAAATTTAAATGCCTTTTATATGACCTTTCAAATAAACATTTTTATCTACTCACCAGTTGTCATTTTTCCACTAATATATTTTGGATCCCTTTGTATATCGGCAATTGCAGCTATGGGAATACCCCAATTTGCCATTGGTCCCCAAAAATGTGTGCTACAAACATTATTAATGTAATTATATAAATTGTACAGAAACCAAAATTTTCATTTACATATTAATAAACTAGAGAAAAAAAATCACCTCATTAGCCATTCTCGAGTTTCTTTACTCTTGAGTGATTTTAAAATTCGATTCATCCTGATTGAAACTAGTTTTCTATAGCAAAAGAAAATAAATTATTAGCTGAACTTTATCTGATAAATGATCAATTTTTTAAGGAAAAACTTACAGTTTTCAAGTGAAAGTTTCCAATAAAAATAATAAATTCAAGAGTTAAATTCTAGTCGTCTGCTAAACGCATACTGATGAAATACTGATGCAGTACAGTGATCTTCAGGTCAAGTTAGGTTATTAAAATATTGACTCCTGTTTTGATAATAAAAATATTTCAAATAACAACCACCAACATGAGCGCTATAGACTACAGAGAAACTGCCGATCAATAATGGTGCGGTCACACCTATTCTGGAGAATATCATTTTTCTGTTACACAATATTCTGTTTGTCACAATTTTCTGTTTATCTTACTTTATATTTTCTCAATACGCACAGAAAAATCTTCAGTAAGACAGTCTATATCATGCAACAAAGAAAAATGAGGTAATACATTTTTCATAAAAGGTGTGACCGCACCCTTAGGTCTATTACATATTACCATGTGCAGATGGCTCCAATTGCCACCAAAACTTTAAAACACAGAGTGACGTACTGATCACATCAATATCAATTCTATGTTTACAGAGATTTTTAACATTTAACGGTTAAACTCAATTAAATTAAAAGTACATTATTATTATTACATGAATTTTGGATGAAATAATTTTTTCTTTTTGTAATGTAACTAGTAAATTTGTTATATTTTTCGTTCCGACAACATAAACGCTTACGAAGAGAATATATGTATTATGGCTAATATATTTAATTTGTTTGAAGATTCAACTAAACTTCTGAAAACTCCAACGGTTTTTGGTAAGTTCAATTCTTTGTTTTATATCAATAAAATAGTTTTTAATGTATTCATTGTATTTTTAACTTTAATCAAACACAAGATTACAAGATTTTAATCCAATTAAAATAGTTAATTCTATATAAAATGAAATATATTTTAACTTATTATTGGAAACTCCGACGGAATTCCGATTGGAATTTTGCAAATTTTTTTCGCTGCGTCTATTCGTCCGACTAGACGGACAAAATAATTTTTGATAATTTTGTCCGTCTACGTATATTTTAAGGAAACCTTGGAGGAAGGGGGGGTCGGAAATGCCCGAAAGTATTCTGCGGACAAAGTCGGGTGGATATAGACGGACGTTTAGACGTTTTTTGATGTCCGTCTAGCCGGACGTTCAGACACTTTGATTTTTTTTTTAATAATTAAAATTATAAGGACGATTACATTAATCCTCAATAAAAAACAAAAGCGTTGCAAAATTGAATTATGAATTTTTTTTGCTTATTTCATGAACACTTTATGGAGATTTCCTATACCCGACAATAATTAAAATTTATTTAAAAAGAATCATTTTTAATTAACATAAGAAAGTATTTTTAAAAAAATTAACCGAAATGTATTTCAGAAAACAGACAAAACAATAGTTCTCATACATTGCCTTGATAATATGCAATGATAATATAGCAAAAAAATATATAAGAAATTATTAAGAATAATTTAAAAAAAAATTTTTTTTTTGACCACCTTTTGTTTTTAGGACATAAATAATGCAATAAAAAAATATAACATCGTGCGATCATTAAAATATAAAGGAGTGAAAAAATTTACAAATTAAAAATTTTTTTGTTTCTTATATTTGTCCGTTTTTTGAAAAAAAAGCCCCTTCGTATTATGGGGTGAATAAGTCGAAAACACCCTTATTTCCCTTATCATCAAAAATATAATTTTTCTTTGACGGAAAAAAATTTCAATCATTTGCTAAAAAATTTCAAGGGGTCGGAAAACAGGTCCTATAGACCCTCCTCTTTTTTTAGAGTTAATAATGGTACTCGTTCTTTAAAAAAAAATTTTTAATCATAATTTTTATCAACACTGGAACAAAAGAATATTAATTTGCGATGGTAAAATTCACAATGTTTATGATCAACGATTAGAAAAGAAATTTTTTTAAGCCGGAAAATTATAAAATTTATTATCTAAAAAAAATGTTTTTTATAATTTGTTGGTTAATAAACATTACAAAAAATATTTCTTAAAAACTTTAATATTATTTTAATATATGTTATGTTTAATATTTAATTAAATTTAATTTAATTAATATTATGTTGATTTAAAAATTTTTAGGATCTAATGGCTTAAGTAACAAGTCTGCGCAGAGAGTAAAAAATATTGGAGCACCAGGAGCTACTCCTGCTAAAATTTTTGGACAAAAGTCTAAGGGTCTCAGTATCCGATCTTCATCTGAATTAAATATCCATTCACCATCTCCTCGATTGACTGGAACAAAAAAAAATACCGTACAATCTGAAAAATTTTTCTTAAAACCGTTGGAACCTCGTGGCAAATCTAATTCTCCAAATAGACAAAAGTCTCCGGTAAAATTATCTCCTCAGGTATGAAACATTTTATACAATTATAATTATATTTTATACCATTATTTTTATTTCTATCGAAAATAATGATTTTTTTAATACCAGATGTCTTAAAAGTCTGGACTCTGTGAGAAAAAAGAAAGTTTTGTTTGAATCATTTTTTCTGACACTATATTTTTAGTTGAAATTATTTGGATTTAAAAATATAAATTTACAATATTGACAAATATTACCTAATGAATCTAATAAGTTTCGCTTGAATCAATGACACTTCTTTCACTTTTACTTTAAATAAACAAGAAATATTAAGTTAAAAGTTTGTTATTTCTGTTAAAGAATGCATTTTCTATTTGTATGTATATGAAATTATTGCTTAAAAAGTTAGGAAATTTTGGAAATGATCCCAAAAAAGTCATCCTGTATTTGTTTGATGCTAATAGTTTAAATAATGTTGTGAATGGTTTTTATTATTGATAGAGACAATTAAAAGCTTTAAGTCCAAAATTTGTGGTGTCTACGAACCAGAAAACACAAGCTTCGGAAACACCGCAGGAATTTGTTTTTAAAAAGCCACATACTCCTCGTATGACTAAAAAATCAAATATGGACTATCCAGAACCAGAAGTTTTGGCCCCAATTGGCGATATAGAATTTGATTTATGTGAGTATTATTTGGAATTCTCTTTTTTAAAAATGTAATATGACTTATAGATAACTTGTTTCTATATGTAATATTTTTCTTCTTCGAAAACAAAAATTGAACTCAATCCATTAAGTATTTTACGAAAGAACTTAAGAAAGTTAATTATATAAAATCATGTGACTTACAATTATTAGCAATATTCCCTTAATTTAATGATAACCATAGCTATTTTAAGACACTAGATTTTTGATTCAAATAGTTGTTTGGTCAAATAAGCTTTTTTCTAGATCAACTTGAAGTTTTGCATTTATTTCTTTTATGATATCGATTTTTACTAAATAATCAACACATATTAAATTATATAATTAGTTTTTAATAAAAATTAGAGAATTAAAAAAATAATAAATATAAGCATAAATAAAAAAGAGAAAGAAGACACTCGAGTAAAATGAAAATGAATAAAAATTTGGTTCATATCTTTGTCTCAAAATATATGCTCGGATAATGGTACTTTAAAGATTAAAATTTTTTTATGTCTTTATAATACAGTTGAGGAGACGTATATGAATCTTCTAAGAACAACCAAGGGACCATTTTCTTGTTCTGATGAAGATGAAGGATTTCTCTCCGGTATGCTTTATATGGAGTTTTTAAAAATTTATTCTTTATATTTGTTAATCTATTCTTAAATTCTTATGCATTTTAAAATTATTTCTCTAGATTGTGAACCCATACCATTTGTACAAGAAGAAGTTCAATCACGTGAATCTCTTTCAGAGAACATGGAAGTTCCATTACCTGATTTGGATGAATTTTCTGATTTAGACAGTTCTGAAGAGTAGATACTATTTTAAATAGTAACTTTTTTACATACTTGTGATACAATGTTCATAAAACACCTCAAGATTAACATTAAGGATTACGAATAAGTTTTGAATTTATATTTTAGAGAGTATCAAAATTCAATGAATTATTCCTTTTAATTGAGGCAAATTGAATTTTGAATTTAAAGTCTCTCTTTTTAAAAAGAAATTGCGTTTAGTTTGTGAGCATAAGACTTAATTGACCCTTTTACTCAAACTTATGAGTTATCGTTCTATCAATCAGCAATAACGCTTTTTTTATTTTATTTTATTTTATTTTATTACACAATTTTTTTTTATAAGTTTTAGAATTTTGAAAAAATACTCTTTATGTTGATTAGAAAACGATAAAAATACATAATAAACAAAATATAGAAGGGTTAATGTACTTCCGTCATAAAAAATCATTGAAATGAAACATTCGGCAAATCTCAAAGAGACATGAGTTTTATATAAGTGGAAAATTATTTTGTTTTACGTGTCTTCGAATGTCGCTTACTTTATATCTATTTTATGTATTTATAATAACTTTAGTTTTGTAATAAATTGTGTTTTTTTGTATATTAATTTTACTTAATTTTAATATAATATTAATTGAATTTTAAGATTTTTGTTATTATAAAATATTGTTTTTGACTTTGGAGGAATGGGATAGACAAATTAAAAGTTAGTCCAACTGTATATTTTCTTATTTTTAAGTTAAAAAGCAGTGAAAGTGATAAAAATGGAAGTCATGATTTTTTAAAATTTAACGGAAGCAACAAAAAAGTTGAAATTAAATTTAAAAAATGAGTTATCTCAAAGATGGACACTTTCGATTTTTAATTTTTTTTTTACACTGCAATCTCTGATAACTGAAGAATTTTTTCCTCTATCTTCAAAAGTGGTGTTTTTAATTTTTAAATTACTATTTTTAGTTTTATTAATACGGCTCAGAATTTCAAGCAGTTATTCTTCAAATATAATCTTTTTACATTATCATTTGTTTTTTTTTAATTTTCAAAAATAATTACTGTAAATCTTTGCGTCTAGCTTAAAAATTGTAAATAGTAATTTTTAAACTAAAAACACAATTTTTGTAGATAGGGGAAAAAATTCTTCAGTCATCAGAGATTGCAGTGCAAAAAAAATTAAAAATTGAAAGTGTCCATCTTTGAGAAAAAACACTTTTTAAATTTTATTTCAACTTTTTTGTTGCTTCCCTTATAGGTACGTTATTTTTGAGCACATTTTTGAAAAATTTGAGAAAAAGTGAACAAATTTCATATACAGCATAATTTTTTATTCATTAGTACAACAGATAAAAAAATGTTTCAAAAATATACTGTCATCGATGACGTTAAATTTTAAAAAATCATAACTTCCTTCATTTTTATCAAATTAAAAATTTTAAAAATACGTATTTTCTTAGTTTTTATATAGATTTAAAAAAAATGTTTCGGGCAACAAAAAATTTTGAATGAAAATTTCTCGTGGAATGCTCCATTTATTACATATTTATTGTTGATTAATTTGTTTATTATTTACACCTAACTTCAAAATAGTTTTTTTTATAATTAGTGGAATTGTCAAAGATGGATTTGGATAAAATCACAACTGTAGTTGCCGGTTATTCAGAAGATTTGGCATTAAATCATGTTTGTTACGTTGCCGATAATCTCAGCCAAATATTACCCAATTTTTCTTTCATCAAAATTTGTGTAGATCGATCAAAATGGAAGGTAACATTTTTAGTTTTTACTCTCTCAACATAAAAATATAAATATTTTTTTAAATTTATTGTAAATAAAAATATTTTATTCTTTTTAGTAAATGTCAACATTAATTAACAATTATTTGTTTATAAATATTATATTATTTATCCTTCCGTTGACATTTATTTAATTTTTTTTAGGCGACACTAGTTTAATGTATTATACCTTATTTTTAATCATATAGGAGTGGTTACATGAAATTTGTAAAAAGAACAATTGGTCCCATAGAAAGTCACCATTAATTTGGCGCGAATACAATTTATCAAATGATCGTCAATATTACATTGGAGGAGCCACTGAATTTTGGGAATTTGTTTATGAATATTATGGAGTGAATTCTCGACTTTCCAAAAAAGAACTTGAAGCTCTTAAAAAAGATACAACTTGGGTATGTGAAAAATAAAAGTAAGCTTGAGTTATTATGGTAAAATAATTAAAAGTAAATATTGTTTTATTAGGCACAATCGAAGGATGCAAGTTTAAAATGTTCAGAAGAAGAAAAAAATAAATCTTTTTCTATAACAGTAATAGGAGCCGGTCGTTCTGCTTGTCCAGATCTTATAGCTCAAATTATAACATTAAAAGAGCTTTCAACAAAAGCACCAGGTGGAATTATTCTCAATGTATACGATGAACTGAGTTATTTTTTAAAAATTAAGGATATGCTTACAGATATTTTATCTGTTGGAGGAACTTTACGTTCTACAAATATTTTAAAAAATGTTTCTGATGGATTGAAGAATTGCGATTTACTTATAATTTTGGAACATTTAAAAATGTAATTTATTTTATTTATTACTAATTAATATTAGTCCTGGGCGGAATGATAAACCCGAATATTAGTCTTGAATTGAAATTCAGTCAGCATTCGATTTGATGTTCAATATTTAAATTAAATTAATTAATTATTTATTTCGTTCTAATTCACAGTAATTTTATTTCCAATAACTTTTTCTACCATTTTAGGTCGATTAACTTAGATTGTATTAATGTCAAATCAGATGCAGACCAAATTTCAATCGAACAGAGTTGAAATATTTTACTTTGAAATATATATAGCGAAGATATGGAAACAATCGACTCTTGGTTAATGAGAAATTATGAATCAACTTTAAAGTTAGCCAAAAATATAAAAGAACACTCACCACCGCATATGAAGGTGATATTTTGTACGATGGGTCCAGCTTGTTTTTGTGCAAGTATTATAGCAAAGGTGGCAACAAATTTAAATAAATCCAATATTGTAGTAGTGAGTACACATTATGGTCTTGAAATGTTGTATGATTTTGTAAAATCTTTGGATGTTGAGATTAAAAATGTTGGCTGTCCTCCGGTGTGGGGATATTTAGGTTTGTATAATATAAAAATTCCCAAGAAGTTAATTTTCTTAATAAAATTTTGTATTTTTCAGGCATTAATCATTATGTTGATGTTGATCATGTTGTAGAAGTTAAAAATATTTTTCTATCCAATAACATTGCTAATGGAAGTAAAAGCTCAGCAGAACTTAGGTGGCTTTTCTATCTCACCTACGATAAGAAACCTTTTGATATTCTATTAAAACGCAAGGTCAATTGATAATAATATGTTTTTTTAATTAAATGCAAAATTTATCACATTATTGGTTCCTTATAGAGATAGTATTTTAATTAAAAAAATTTTTTTTTTAATTTTAAATCTCACAGTGTGACATAAAATCGTATGGTCAGGAAAAATATTTTTCTTAAGTAATTATTTACATTATACTGAATTTGAAAATCGAGTCATATAAAACGTTTTTTTTTTTTTTTTGACAAAAAAAGCATCTTGTGAATTTTTTTCTTTTCGCGCTTTTTCTCTTTTTAATATCATCAGGAAAGAAAGCTTGTAAATTTAAAAACACAGAAAAGTCAATTAATATCTAACATGAATATTTTAATATTTAGACTATATCATTCTATGAAGTTGGCAGAACGGAAGATTTTCAAAAATGTAAAGCACTGTGTGACCTTTTAAAATTATGGTTTGGATATGAAAATGAAGATGATATTATCTCGCTTGGAATTTATTCAGATGGTATAAAAATTAATCTTTTATTTATTAACTATTTAATCAATTTAAATAGTTGAAATTGAGAATAAAAGAATATTTACAAATTAATAAAATAAATTTTGTTTATTTTGCACGTGGTTGCTATGAAAAATTTAATTAGTTGCATAAAGTGAAAGTAATTCTTTAGTATAGAAAATATTACTTTTAATATTAATATAATCTCTTCCTATAATTCAGGAACTTTTGGAATTCCAGAAGGAATTTATTTCTCTCAGCCGGTCTATTTAAAAAAAATTGAAGATAATTCTTTTGTGTGGTCGCCTTGCATTGAATTTCCTAAACCAAATCTTCCATCTGGAATGTTTGAAAATTTAGTTACCACTGCGACAATAATTGAGAGAAGTATTAATTCAAAAGATGCAGAATTTGTTTTTAAAAATACCGACAGCGAGACTTTTGCCTAAGTAACGCAATATAACTTGTATTTTGTGATTTTTACATTTAAAATTCATATTGTCAAAAAATGCAATAAATACATGATGAAACTTTAAACTCAATAAAATTTATGGTTTTAATAAGAGTACGTTTAGTTTAAAGATAATTAAATGTAGATCATTTTTATTGCACAATCCTTTGCCTGGACTCAAACATTGAAAATTTAGAAATATAATATATAAATTTTCTCTTAAAAATTTTAAGTTATATTCTCGGTTTACATTAAGCGTAGCTAATTCTTTGTCTCAAAAGGATTTATTCTTACTTTCCAATAACTCAACGCGATAATAGAATCTATTTTTTAATTCGCGACTAATATTTGTGATTATACATATATATTATATTATTTTGATTATTTTTTTTTAAATATTGAAATATCCCGCTGCGATAAATCGACACCTGATTAGATTCGATATGAGACTCTAGCGCTCCTTTCGGCGATGATCACAACTTCATCATAACAAAAATCAGGTGAGTGACAGCTGATCGAAGTCAATGAACATCACGTAAACATTGTGAGTTTCACATTATTTCATCAATATTGTTTATACAATTCTTTTTATAAACAAAAAATTAAACTATAAGTTATAGTTACTGGAATTGTGCTTGTACTTTACTATTTCAAAATGTAAAAATATACATTCTGGTTGGGGTTATATGTAGAAAAAATTTCAATCGTTTATATTAAAATAAATGTTAGAATTTTTTCCCTTCGGCTGTATTTTAAATAAATTTATTTAAAAAAGGCCTTCATATTATACATTAATTATAAAAAATTAGGTATATATTAAATCAACTGGCTTTAAAATCAATCACATCAACATCAACAAAAATGAATTCAAACAATGAATTTGGGGTCATAAAATCCTACTCCAAAACGGAAACTGTATAAGAGGTCTTTTGGGGTATTATTTCTCAATCGTCCAAGTCAGAAATTAAATTTTAATGATTTAAATTTAATAAAAAGATAAATAAAAACGAAGACATTCGGACAACAATTCTTTAATGATACTCCAACATTTCGAAATCCACAAATTTCCTCTTCAGGAAGTCTATTTAACATACATAAAAATTAAAAACCAAATTAAAATACAAATTACAAATTAATAAATTAAAATAACATAACATAGATTAGTTTACAACTAAATTACTTTACAATAACAACATAAAAATTAAAACAAAGAGAGAAATAATAATTAAACTTATTAAACATAAATTAAAATAAATTATAAAAACTAAGTTAAGATAAAAATAATATGAATAATAATTATAAAATAAACTAAAAGTAAAAAACACAATTTTTCCAGAATATTGATAAGTTAAACATCAAAAACAATTATGAAAAATAAAATTCTTTATTCGTCAATTTGTTACAATAAATCGTCAAAAATAATATATTATAATAATCGTCATCCAAACATTGGAGACATATTATATGACACTTTTTCAAATTTTTTTTTTTTTTGATAGATTGCTTTAAAATTTTTTGTAAATGTGTATTTAAAGTAATTGAGTAATATTTTAATATAATTTTACAATACAATTACCGTCAGAGTAAAACTGACCAAAAGTTGGTTATAAATAATTAAAACATAGTAATCGAATGCACTCGAACTTGATAAAGAAGTATATTTGAGATTTCTCATTGAGATTATTACAGTTTAAATAATAAAATTACTAATTATAAATTCAAAAAATTTAAAAACCGGTAATCGACAAACGTCCTTAAGTGGATGTGTTCCTTTTTAAAAATGTTATTTTACGCCTTTTAGATTTTTTTCCCACTAGGCTATTATTATGTGTTTCAATTATTGTAATTTTTGTTTTATTCACTAATAATGACAGTCAGTTTAGAATTGAAATAAATAATTTATAACAAATTATATATGAAATTTTACAGTGAAAATAATGGCATCGACTAGTACATTAGAAATAGACCAAGAAATTGCAAAGCGTCTTCTTACTGAAGGCAGCACTGTAGTTATGTTAAATGTACCTAAGGGCACAGATTTTGGAATAGACATAAAGTCTTGGAATACTGGAGAAAATTTTCGTGGCATTAAGATGATACCTCCAGGATTTCATTATGTTCATTACAGGTAATGCTTCAAAAATAATACTAATTTTGTCTTCATGAAGAAACAATTTAAATAAACTCCATTTAACGACTTAAAATTGTTATTTTCATTTCTTCTTTGAAATATTAAAAAAACTTTTTATTATTTTTTTGTTAATATTATTATTAATAATAATAATAGTAAAATAATAAAATAAAAAAATATTATTTAATAATTTTTATTGAATTCGGATAAATTCATGGATTTTCGCACCTTTTTGAAATAACCTTTTTACTTTTTTGAAGTTTGATAATTTTTTTCTTGTTGCCAGTGAGGAAAAATAGTCCAGTGACAATAAAAATAAATACATTTGAGTTACATTGTAGGCAAAATATTAAACTATTATTTAAAACAAAAACCAAATCGAAACAATTTACTATAAAAATTTTACATAGAAAAGAATTGCACGTTCTATATTTACCTCTGATGTTCCATAATTACCCTGTCGACGGTAATATATTTAATATTTAATATCAAAGCTTTAAGTAAATAAATTCCTGGAATAAATTTTCGAAATGTAACTTCTGCCCATTGAGTAAAAACACTTCATTCAATGTCAATCAAAAATATATGAAGATTTTATAAAGATCTTATTTAAATTATGTTATCACAGTGCTGTTGATAAATTTGGAGAAATATCTCCAAGAATTGGTTTCATTCGGTGGTTCAAAAAAGCAGAATTTATAGTTAAACGTTGGGACACCAAAGAAGAGACTCTCAGCTCAGAACGTAAGTAAATATTTTATATAAATTCAGGGTGTCTAAAAAAAAAAATTAAAATTTTTTAATCTAAAAATACTTGAATGGTTTTTATTACCATTTGTTACTACCATTAAAAATTAATTTATGGTTAAATATGTCGGTTACCATATTTTTGTCCAAAAAAGTCAAAAAATGTCAGGGAAAAGTCAGGGAATTTTTTTCTCAATCCTTGTTAGACACCCTGAAATTTTTTTTGCATTATATCAATTATTTAATTTTAATAAATATAATTTGTTTAAGAACAGCCGTACCTGAGGAAACAATACAAAGTTTAAAGGACAATTTGTTAGATTTGGACAGATATTTAGGACCTTATCCTTATGATACATGGAAACAATGGCAAGAATTGACAAATAGAATTGACTCCGATATTGTGGATAGATGTGCACCAGCTTGTGGGTTTGTATCTTTTTCGTTAAATATTTTTGAGGAGTAAGTTTTCAAAAATTTATAAATCCATATATTGTTATTTCGAGAAATTTAAACAAATTACATTTCTCACATAACCACTTAACTTAATTTTAAGGAAGAAAAATTATAATAAATTACACAGGCACACAAAAAGTAAAATGTGGTTTGGCCGAGACACTACACTAGTCTATTTTCATGTATTTTTTCACGCTGAATCCGAATCCGAAGTCAGAATTATCAGATTGGCTTTTATTTTTGAGATAAACTCAAAAAACTGCTCAGAAAGAAAAATAAAATCAAAAAGTTAAAAAATTTTTGAATGTCACTGCGATAGTGTAATTCCATGTATTTTTTGTCGCTGAATCCGAATCCAAAGTCAGAATTGTTACATTCGCTCAAATTTTTGAGATAATTGCAAAAAAAACGCAAGTAACAAAAAATTCAAAATACTCAAAATCAGTTTTTTGGAATTATCTTCAAAATTTGAGCGAATCTGTCAATTCTGACTTCGAATTCGGATTCCGCGTGAAAAAATACATGAAAATGCACTATCGTAGTGTTTCGGCAAAAAAAATTTCTTTGAGCTAAAATCGCTAAAAACTGATAAAAATTCTGAATTAGGGGCACAGATAATTTTTTTTTGCCGAAACACTACGATAGTGCATTTTCATGTATTTTTTCACGTTGAATCCGAATTCGAAGTCAGAATTGACAAATTGGCTCAAATTTTGAAGATAATTCCAAAAAACTGATTTTGAGTATTTTGAGTTTTTTGTTACTTGCGTTTTTTTGCAATTATCTCAAAAATTTGAGCAAATCTAGCAATTCTGACTTTGGATTCGGATTCAGCGACAAAAAATACATGGGATTACACTATCGCAGTGACATTCAAATATTTTTTAACTTATTGATTTTATTTTTCTTTCTGAGCAGTTTTTTGAGTTTATCTCAAAAATAAAAGCTAATCTGATAATTCTGACTTCGGATTCGGATTCAGCGTGAAAAAATACTTGGAATTAGTCTAGTGTAGTGTCTCGGCCAAACAGCTTTTTATTTTTTGTGTGCCTGTGTTATTTTATATAAAAATATTTTTTGGATTCAATACGTTTTGTTTTTAATTAAAGTCTAATTGAAGAATTTTATGGTTTTGATAATTTTTTCTAGCAAAAAGAATTAAAATTATAAATTATTATTATTATAAAATTAGTTAAGTCAAAATGTTTTTAAATTGAAAATTCTTTGTTAATAATTTTTTTTCTTAAATTCTTCAGTAACTGATCGATTAGTAAGGACTTTATTATGTTTAATCTGCATTTATCTCCACTTTTTTGAAAAATGGATTTATCGACTTTTGAAAATAATTTGTCTCTTTATTTCTAGAGATTATTTTGAGTCATTTAAGTCTTTTTTCATTGAATTAAACATGTAAAATTAAGAAAAAGTGAATGTTTTTTACATTTTCTCATATCTTTTAGATGTCTTTCAATTTCTTGTAATTTTTAGTAATTTTTTTACAAGTTTTGACTAATGTTCAGGTTTTTCAGTAATATTCTTATTAATTTCTGAGTTTTGAGATACATATTTCGATTTTTTGCATTTGAATCATATATATGAAATTGTGCTTCACATATTTTAAGGTAGTATTACAGTTTATACCGTCAAAAAAATCAATTTTTTTTGTATTTTCCTGTTCCAAATCATCTTGGAAGTATAATCCCAAAATATTAAATCAATATTCTACAAAATATAAAAAAGTTACAGAACAAAATGCAGCGTAGTCTATTTATGCGTACAGAACCAGTTTTGCGTTTTTGTTTAAAAAAACAAGTATAATTTGTTTACTTAAAAATTTACAAAATTTTCTTGTGCATCATTCAAAAGAGTGGTTTTTGGCAGAAAAACATATTTTTTTTTACAGAATTTAATTTAAAGTTTAAGAAAAAAAATTTTGTTTGAACCCTTTTTTTTACTGCTTGAAAACTGTAATACTACCTTAAAGAAACTTATGAAGAATATAACTGCAGATTTCTTTATAAAAGTTAAAATTTGTTTTTTTTCAAGGTTTATTCATTCAGCTTTGGAATTAGAAAATTTTGACGATAAATCTAGACCAAGGGGTTTAGAGAATAGTAGGAAAAGAAAAAGAGGTGTTTGCCTATCGGTGGAACAGAAAGAAGAGGAATTATTGCCACAATTAAAACCAAAGCCAGGGACAGAACTTAGGTTAACAGAATTGCCAGATGCACAATATCCAGAAGGTTCGACGCCCGCAGAAATTACAAAACATTCTATGGATTCTACTTATACATTGGATCTTTTTCTAAGCAAATTGAAACAGTGAGTATAAAAATTATTCGATTTTAAAGTTCGGTTCATTGTAATTTCTACTTTATAAAATTTGGTTAAATAGAAATTTGACCTTATCTTTAAAGAAATTATAATAATGAATTAAATTGAAATATTTCAGACCTATCGAAGTGATTGGTGAAGTACAATTGGCATTTGTTTGTTTCCTCGTTGGTCAAAGTTTAGATGCTTTCGAACATTGGAAATTATTAGTGTCTTTAATATGTCGAGCAGATTGTGCAATTTCTATACGTCGTCAAATTTACACGGAATTCCTGAGAACACTTGAAGTTCAGCTTGCATTGATTCCAGAGGAAGTCTTGTATGACATAGTTGCCAGTAACAATTTTGTATATCATAATCTTCGAATACTTTTCGCAAATATAGAAGCAAATGGTGATGTTGATGCACGATTAAAATCCGAAGCCTCTCGAATGCGAGAAAGAATTTCCAATAAATTTATGTGGGACTTTTCCAATTTACAAGAAGAGAACGAAGACGATGCACCGGTTGTCGTTGACATGGATGAATAATGAAAAACACAATAATTATTTATACATTACATTTGTAAATATATCAATATTACTATTATTATTCTAAAATAATAATGAAAAATATTTTCGTTCCTTTTTATTCGTCATTGTTATTTTTTATTTAATATAATAAAAATATTTTCTATCATGGGAGATACTTCGCTAGCGAAAATATAGTAAGGTCATATTTAAAATTATAACTAAAATAAAAGTAAATTTTATGATAAAATAATTTTTTAAGATTTCAGAATTTGATTAAAAAAAGTACAAAAAAATGTTTCCGCCCGGGATCGAACCGGGGACCTTCCGCGTGTTAGGCGGATGTGATAACCACTACACCACGGAAACTATATGGGAGACTTTTGGAACAGTAAATCTTGACTAGGAATGAAATATCTATTTCTTTTCGAACTGCAACATATTAATAATAAGGTAATTTCAATATATAAATTTTAAAAAAATTTAATTTAAATTTAATTTCAAGAATCATGATACTGCAAACAGGATTGAAACATATAGGACAAAGCATCATTTTAAAAAATCATGCAATTATTTTTAAAAATGTCCAAAAATTTGTTGTTTCTTAACATTTTTGAATTTAAAACTGTCATAATAATATTTTATTTTTGTTAGTGAAAAGTTCACAAATAGAGTGTAATCAATATGAAATTTTAAATAATCTATATTTAAGTTGGATGTGATAGTTTAAAAGTTAAATAAATATTTTTAAACAAATATTTCAAAAAAGTTATCAATGACAACCTTTTTAATTTTTCAAAATTATTGTAATAACTTTTTTCAAAAGGCTCAAATTTCTTTTAAAAAGCAACTTTGTTTTAAAATACAAAAAAACTATATTTTTATACTTTAAAATACGACCTCACATTTTTTTTAAACATTTTTTTATTAAATGTTTAATCAAACCAATTGTTGTAGAAACTTCAAGACTTTATTTTATACATTTGAAATTTGTCTTTAAAAACGTTATTAGATAGATAGTTATTACTATTATGTCGACATTTAAATATCAATAAAATCTCATATTATTACGAGTTAACTCAAATAAAAGAAAAAAAAAAATACAAAATCTGAATTCCAGTATTTTTTCAAGTAAATATTTTCTGAATGTGAATAATATTTTAAAAAACATTATTTCTATGATAATTTTCCTCATTTTTGCAGAATTGATACTTTTGATGAGTTTCGATATTTTTTTAATATTAATGTATAATAATATTGTTAAAAATATAGTATAAAAAATTTCTATACTAAAATAAATAAAAATGGATATTATTGGGAATGGTGACAATTAATAAACATACAACTTTTTATAAAAACGTTAGCACTGCCCAGAGACTTCTTTTACCTATTAATATTATAGAGGAACATAAAGTAAAGAAAGTCAGAAAATAATATTAACAGATTTACACAACTTTATTAGAAATATCTTCAACATTATACATTATAAAAAAGAAAATTTCAAATTTTTTTCAGACGCGTCACTTTATTTGCTTTTATGTTTTTTAATATGTTGTAATACATCTTCTACATCCTCTTTTGATCCCAAGAAAATGGCAGATCTCTGATGAATATTTGATGGAATTATGTCTAAAATATCTACTTCGCCATTAGATGCAAGACCTCCTGCCTGAGATACTATAAATGCCATTGGAATGCATTCATACAGCAAACGAAGCTGAAATTAAATAAAAATTAACCTCATCTTCATTTTGCTAATTGAATTATCGACTATTTTTAGGTCACGTAATTTCACATGTAAATATTCTTTGTAAATTTTTCTCGTAAAATACCTTATATGGAATGAGAAAAGGCAAGTTACTTACTTACATGTATATTTTCTTAAAAAATATGAAATCCAATTGTTGAAAATTGACTAGCAAAAAAATATTTGTAAAACTTACTTTTCCATTTGGATTATCATTTGTCGCCGGATACATGAAAATCCCTCCATATTTTATTGTCCTGTGTACATCGGCGACCATTGAACCAACGTACCGTGCACTGTATGGTTTTCCACTGGTCGGATACTTTTTTGAATGAATATATTCCTTAATCTCTGGACCCAATGATTTTTCGTTACCTTCATTGATGCTATTTTAAAATATCAAAAATATTACTTTTCCACTGTCATTATTAAATTTCATTTAATCTTTTACGTCCGAGAAATATTACAGAACATTCGGATAAATATTTTTAATTAGTTTACTCCAACGTTTCGAAATCTAAATTTTTTTTCTCTCCAGGGAGTCTATTAAAAATACATAAAATATAATTGCCAAACAAATAATATAAAGAAAAATAAAAATAAAATCTAAACCAAAATTAAAAGGTTGTATAAAAAATTAAAATAATTAAATTAAATAATAAAATAAATGAATAGAGAATTAAAATATGTAAAGTCGATTTTTTTTAAATTTTCATAAATTTATAATAATTTAATTCTATTTCCATTAACTGTAGTAAATTTCTATTAACAATTGTTATTAGATATTAAAAGTAAAATTTAATAATTCCTTAATATGTTGTTTTAAAAGAAATTTTCAAGTTTGATTTATGCAAATTATTTACGAATTCAGAATTTTATCAAAGTTTGAAGTTAAAATGGTTAAAAAAAATTCATTTACTTTTTGAAAATAGTATATTTTATGGGAAATGGAGAAATTTTTACCTAAAAATATTTAAATTAATTGAATTTTAGAAGAACTTGATACTTAAAAGAATTTTAGGCAATAATTAAATTTTATAGAATTTTTAAATGAAAAATGTTTTAAATAATTAAGTTTTCGAAGAATGTTTTTAAATATATTGAAAATAATTAATTTTGCAAAGACTATTTAGATTCAAATTTTCAATATAATTAAATTTTTGGAAGATCAGGTACATATTTTGTTTTTAATTTAATAAGTAAATTAATATTTAATTTTATTTTGTAAAATAAGTCGGAAAAAGTCGTACAATCAGAGACTTGTATTTCCTATGTATATTTTTTAGTTTTGACTCTCCAAACTTTATATTTCTCAATTTTATTTATTGGAATTTTTTTTTTTTTTTTGCACTATTTATTTGGCATTTATATTTTATGTATTTTTTGGTAGTCTCTCTGAAGAGGAAATAATTTAAATTTCTAAATGTTGGAATAAAGAAATGAAAACTATTTGTCCGAATGATTATTTTAATACCTGTATATTTTTCCTTTCTTTGGTATCTGCATGTTTCTCTCGGTCAATATAAATTCTCCAATGGCTGGATCATAAGTGAATCCATTAACACCTTGACCAATTGAGAGAACCATCATTGTGGCAGATCCATAAAGTGCATAACCAGCAGCAACTAAATTTCTACCTGGCTGAAGGGCATCTTTAACTGATGGCATTTCGGTATTATCGGATTTTCTATAGATTCCAAAAATAGATCCCACGGACACTAGACAATCAATGTTGGATGATCCGTCAAGTGGATCAAAACAAACAATATATTTTCCATGTTTCTCACAATCGACTTCAATGGCTGTTGGATTTTCTTCACTAACAAGTAAACATGTGGTGAATGAGGATGTTACCATATTAATGAATAATTCATTGCTGAGTACATCCAACTTTTTTACTTCTTCCCCTTGGACATTTGTTGTGCCAGCAATTCCATACCTACGACATTTCATAATAATTTCCATTATATGCTTTGAAGCAATCAAATCCTCAAGATAATTAATTTGTTAGTAAAATTAAATTCGGACTATTTTCACTATTTTTCAACGCCAATTTTTTTTTATAAGCTTTTTTTAATGATTTTTTAGAATTCCTCTTATAGATTTTCAAAAATTTTAATTTAAAAAAAAAGGAAAAAATGTGTTGAAATTTCATTAATCTCTCCTCTTAAATATTGAACTACTTTTACAACTTTTGCTATATTTCATGGCTAATTTTTTTACATGCTTTTTAACGATTCTTTAGAATCTCTCGTATGGATTTTAAAAAAATTTATTTTTTTGACCACTTTGTATGTTTTTAGAACCCAAATGACGCATTAAAAAAAAATATAAGATCGTGCCATCATTAAAATTTTAAATGGTCAAAATAAAACTCGTGCCTTCCTTTAAAGATATTTTTAAAATATTAAAAATGATCCTTTTTTTATTGACTTAAATAGTTTTTTCATATATATATATATGTATATAAAAGAAAGAAAATTAGTCTGTCCGAAACAAAGTTGTAAACATGATATGGTAAGGAGATTATCTTTAATAAAAGCCAAGGTTTATGAGATAGTATTTATTGATAGGTCAAAACTACATACAAAGATAACTCCATTATTAAAAATCAATGATTCAATATTACTTCATTAATCAAAATAAAATATTTAAATATATAGAATGTAAAATACAAATGTTGTAATAATAAATAATAATATATTTTTTTATTAGTCGTCTACCATAATATAGATATAATTTCTGAGAAATGGAATAATTTAAACTTAAAATTTTCGATAAACCAGACACTTCATTACGAGTTCCACTGTTATGTATGTATCAGGAAACTTCTAGAAAGTGATATGGTGCTATAGGAAATATTATAATACTTAAAAATATATGCATTGCGGGATATAAAGTCAATTTAAATTTTTAACAATACATTGACATTGTATTTTACAAAATTGTTAATATTGTTAAAAAAAATAATAAAGAAAAACTTATTTTAAGATTTTTTTTCAATATTTTATGTTACTATATCATTATTACAGATTATATCATTCAGTGAAACTTATGACTGATGTGCGAGTACAACAAAATTCAGGGCCGAAAATTTTTAGCGCTATTTATAGTTTTCAGCAGTGTGATAAGTAAAAAATATGGTCATGCAGATGATACAAATGTATTTGTCATTTAAAAGAAAATATTATGTATGGAAAGAAATTAGTGCAGGTGTTTTAAAACAAATAACAATGGAAAAAATATATTATAAAGAAAACTAAGTAGTACGATTTTTTTTATAATAATTGTGAAAATAACTTGGAAAGATTACGTACGGCGAAATTTTTTAAAATGAAAAATTTACAAAGTAATTTTCAATATCTAAAAAACATATTTTTATTTTAATTATTTATTTTATATTTTATTTACGATTTCATTTATTTAATGCATTTTATATTTTAAATATTTTTAAACAAAATAATAATTTTCTATACAATTGGAATTATTCAAAATAATTTGCATTATTGTTTATATCTTTGCAGTGAAAGTTGAATTACAAAAATTGAAAAATTCTAATTACTATTATACCTGTTAAAAATTGTTTAAATTTATTTTTTGTTGTTCTGGTATCCTTAAATAAATTAATGTAAAAAATTTAACATTTTTGAAATATTTAATTGAAAAGTTGCCAAAATAACTTCTCATTGATTTCTGCTTTTAATAAATGAAAGTAATATTTTTGCGTTTAAAGATGTTTTTAATTCCTTAAAAAATGTATACATTCTAAGGCTATTTTTTATTTAGTAAGATTATTTATACTGTAAATAAATAAATATTTGAAGCATTTTCGAATACAGTTTCTGTACTCACATGTTAGCAATACCGGCTTTTCTTACAGCTGAGCTGATAGCTTTCACAGCTGTTTGAATGCTATTCAACAATTGTGAGAGATCACCAGTTGCAGTTGGTACTTTTCGTTGTTCAGCAAGAACAAAACGAGTTAAAGACATACAATTGGAATCAAAAGAACTTTTTGATTCCATTTTGTCCCTTTGGTTTTGCTGCAAACTTGTTTTTAAATTTATGTTAAATCAAATGAAATGAAAGTGGTGTCAAGTATTACGTATTGCTGTCGTAACGTTCTTAAACACACTGAAACATATACATTTGTTCAGACCTATCAAAAGTATCAACCAACTACGAAACATCATATTAAGGGGAGGGACAGGCGAAATTTTAACTCAACAAAATTAATTAATATAATTTAAAAATTTGTTAATAATTTTTAAAATAAGTCAAAATTCTGGAAAAATTAAAATTTCAACTCTCATAATTTCTATTATTTTTCATTGATAACTTTTTTTTTGTCAATTTGAGAACAGTTTAACAATAACAATTATTTAAATTGTTTAAACAATCTTAGAAAGTCATGTATATATATAAATAATAATACTTATTTTAGTTAATAGTAAAAAAATCCAGTAGAGAAATCAAATAAAATTAATAATAAGCAATATTAAAAAAATATATTTAATTTTTTTGCATTTTTGGAGGTTTTTGAGTTCCTTTAAAAAATAGTAAACAATAAAAATTTTATAAATAATAAATTGTAAGTTATTCTTTGAACATTTCTGAAGAAAATTTGAGTAGTCCGGTCAAAAAATGTTGATTTTTAACGATTGTGCAGTAAATCTAGAAATAATTTCGTTTACAATATAAAATAATATATTCAAGGGGTTTGTGATACCATTAAATATTTATTAAAATCAATATGAAAAAATATTTATCCCTTTTTTCCATTTAGAACAAAATTTTGACAGAATGATAAAAAATCGAAAATTAAAATTTTACCATAATAGAAATTATTATTTTACCACGAGTTGCACATGAAATTTTCTCCAACGTCTTGAGAGAAAATGCATTTTCGGATATCTTTATAATTTTATTTAATTTCCAGGAAAATAGTTTTTTGATCTAATTTATGTTCTCTCTAAATCTGAATTAGTAAAAAAGTTTACTAATTTGAATTAGTGACTCAATTTTTGCTTCTCAATTAGTAAAATTTTACTAATTATTAGTAACTTTTACTAAGAATTAGTAAAATTTAACTAATTCTAAAGCAAAAAGTTAGTCACTAATTTAAATTAGTAAACATTTTTACTGATTCAGATTTAGAGAGTTCTTAAGGAGGTTCATCCCTTCAAGCGGTACTCATTCTATTAGGGGTTTTCCGTAAGTTTAAAACCGACAGCTATAGTCCATAAAAGTTGAGCTCCACTGGCCAATTTAGAGGTTAATTTGCCGTTTCTCCTCTTCTTTCTTTTATTTACATGGGATAAGTTCAAAAGTTGCTAACTTTGATTAACATTTACTTCACAACCAAACGGTAAAAAAATTTCATATTTTTGTAAAAACTGTTAAAACTCATAATTTAAAACATATTAGTTTTTGAAAAAAATCTGTAGAACCGTTTTTTTTAATTAATGAAAACATGGTCATTTTTCATGTTTTTTCACTGTTCCCATGTAAAACTTCAAACTTTATCAATTTTTATCTTGAAAATGATACGGTAAAATTCAATAAAATTTGAACAACACATGTAAAGTGATGTCAATAATACATCTTAAAATTTTTTAAAAAATCTGTAGAAAATCGATTTTGGGATGAACCTCCTTAAAATAAAAAAAAAATTCTGAGCTAGCGTAAAATAATTAATAAATATTTTCTAAATAAAGAACAATGTATGATTCTCCCTTGCCAATTACCTTAACTCGAGTCTTTTCTATCTTCGTGAATAAATATAAGGGATTTAAATATATCAAAGGCATAAAATAAATAATAACAGTAAGTTTTATTTATTTATTATTTATTTAATATACGTTTACATAAGTATTGATAATTAAGTTTATTTACAATTTATCCTAAGAGAGGACGGATGGACTATAGAAATAAATCATTAGCCTTTTATTAGATAAAAAAATGTACAATTGTCTAAAAGTAAGAAAGCTAGATTAGACTAATTCGTTTGACTTTACACAGCAAGTAAGTTTGCGATTGATTACATATATATATATTAAAGGTACAAATCCTCCAGGGACTAGAGTCGATACTTATAAGAAAATATATAAGATGTTAAAAGTAAGTTTGCAAAGTCTTTTCACGCATACCTAGATAATGGAAAGTACCATCACCATAAATAGTAAGTGCTACAATGCTCATCATTATATCAAATACACTTTTTCCATCATGATCAATCGTACCCTGAGAAGGAAAAAAAATAAGTCAATGGAGGAAATGCTTGGAAATACAAGACTGGTCAATACAGGACGCGAGTTGCCCGAGATTGTAATTCCCAAATAGGTTAATTATAAAATAATCATTCTATGAGTTTTTTCTTTTATGACAAATGATAGTCGGGCGATGGTTCAGCCACTGATTCGGTGGTGAACAAGGGATTTGGAAATTCTGGTGGATGTGGCAGTGGCCCAGCTGTTTTTGGTTGACGACGATATGCCAAGAGCCAACAGGAAACAGCTATCGCTACGGCGACTAATGCCAGCAATGCAGTTATAACTAATGAGATTACAAATCCAACCATTGATACGCATATATCTTCCACTCGTTGAGCTGAAGGAGCTGAAACATTATTAATCAATTGAATAAATAATTCAGAGTTTCCATTAGCAAATTTATTTGTTTACGTTTGGAAAATTATCATTTTTATGGGTTATTATCATTTAAACGTCAAACTTTGTGATGTCTGTGTTTTATTTTTCTTTAATTTTTTCTAATTTTCAAGATTTATAAATTTTTTTTTTAAATTAACAAAAAGAATAATTCAATTCAATAAGTCTACAAAATACAATGTACATAATTTTATACTTTTATACATTAGAAATAACTGTAAAAAAAATTGAAAATTCTTAAGGTCATGTCATTGTTGTAATTTTCAATGGAAATATTTTCCACAGGATTTCTCGTAAAATACTTAATAGATTGAGTTAAAATTTTGTCGAACATTCAAAATTAGTATAAGGATTCGTTATCATGTGCCAGAGTACATTAATATTTTGTCAAAAAATTTATTCTTAAAAAATTGCATATTTGCGGAATTATCTAAAATCGTATTGTCGCGCCATATTAAATTTTCTTTAAATATGTAATTTTTTGACAAAATATTAATTCTCTGGTACATAACGGCAATTCCTTATTCTGTTTTTGAGTTCACCATAACATTTTAGCTCAATCTATCAATTATTTTTAGAATATACTTTCTTAGACGATTGATTTTTATTGCGAATAAATAGTGTAAATTAATTTAAAAATTTTCTTTAAATATTTATTGAAAATAAAAAAAAGGGAAAATTTTTTAAAGAATATTTTGTTTTTAATTTGAAAGAGTAATATAAATATTGCTTACGTTCAATTTATAATTTATTTTATTAATTATGTTCAAAATAAAATTGTATTGTAATTTGTTGAAAAAATAATTGAGAGAATGTCTTAATTTCAATTAATTGAAAAATAATAATTCTAATTAAATTGTAGATATTCGAAATATAGAAATTAAAATTTTATGATTGTATAATTTATATGAATTAACAATGCGTATAGTTTGCTCTGTTGATTTAAATAATATTGTCTTAATTTTTTAAATTAAATTTCAAGACATCGTGATAATTTTCTGTTAAGTTAATTAAGTTTTTCTAATTTGACTTACATTCTGTTGGATCGGCAGTATATCGAGCTTCTACTCTTTCTACGGTACGAATTAAATTTGATTTTACTGTTATTTCTTCTCGAAGTTGACCTTCATTGCTGTCTCTTACACTTAAGGCAGTGTCATTTGGTTCGGTATCGGCTGCTCTTCGCCGACGACCAAAGGCATTATATCCTCTGCAATTAACCTGTAAAAGGGTGAATAAAATTGTAAATATTCATAATTATGAATAAATTTGCCGCTTTTTTTCGAAAAATACTCACTGGTTGACATCTGCCGAAGCAAACGCGAATATTACATTGGAAACGTATATTGTCGCTATTCGGGAATTTGAATGCATTAAAACTAGCCATCAAAATTTGTGAGTCAGCGTCTTGTTCCCATTCTCCAAATATCGTTGGATCAGTGGCACATCCATTTTCATCAGTCACAATATATTCATTTTCCACTTTCTCTTCCATTGTTTTAGCGACGCAGTTGCGGGCAAATCCACCATAAATTGCTGCAAAAAAATTGAATGTGTTTAAAATTTTATTTATTGACAATAAAAGCTAGAAAATAATAATTATAGCTACTCACAATTAGGTGTGACGTTAACTTGAAGCATGAGATTGTCTCCTATTTCTGCATTTTCGACGTTATTTCCACTTTGAGTGACAATTTGCATCGAACAAGTTGGAGGTGGTCCAGTGTTTGCAATGGTACCGGCAGTTGTCAGCATTGAGACATTAAATCCTAGAGTCACATTTTGTTCTCCAATTTGGTACAAACATTTTATCAGATATGCTTGCGCATTAAACGTCATCAATTTTGGATGCTTTTGTATAATTAATTTAAAGGACGCTTCACCCTAAAAGAAAAAAAAATTTATAATCAAATATTCATTAATAAATTCGAATTAAAAAAGTTGAATATTAATTAATTCTTAATTAAAAACTTACGTTAATGTGAATTAATCCACAGGTTCCAAATTTCACTTTAAATTTCAAATGATGATTGCTCATTCCACGATCGAGCGAAATAATTCGTCGACAATTTTCTTCTTTGCTGTGACCTTTCACGTATAAAACTCCATCGAAACCATCATTAACTGTACTATTGTTAAAGGTGATATCCACTTCAATTCCATCAGACAAACAATGTGCTTCGACTTCTGATTTCGGGAAGTCCGTTCGATAAACCGTTGTGTTTTTGTTTTCTGTAAATTGAAACGGGATTTATAGTGACATAATCATTTTATTGTCTTATGAAGCTATTATCATTATTAATATTATGATTATTATGAATGTGAATGGATTTTTTGCTGGCCCATCTGGATGTGAAAAGCGAACTCACCGCAATTTATACCAGAGTAACCTTCGATACATTTACAGTTTGCTCGATGATTCTCTGCAGTGCAGTACGCATTCGAACAAATCTTATCCTCGCATGGATTTTCGCATTTGAAATTCAATGGCGAACAGAATTTATCGTCAGAGCATTCATCGTCTCGGAAGCATTGTTTCACTTCAAAAATTAAGTAGCATTAAATTTTGAATTCGAATGCGTAACACGAAAGAAGAAGGAGGAGAAGAAGAGGAAGAAGCAGATATTAGATGAAATGAAAAATGAAGCAAAGTTAGAAAAAAAATTTGTTGAATCATAAAATAATAAATACCAGGTTTGCAGTATCCATAGATGTCGAGAACGTAACCATGTTCCTCGGGACAACGACAATTTCCATGTCCATCAATTATCATTCCTTTCTCAAGAGCACACACACATTCACCTTCCTTGTTAATTACCATTCCAATTTCCTTTCGACAAATCACACAAACGTCATTCTCGTTCATAGCCTTACCAGGTGGACATACGCAATTGTCATTCTCATCACGAATCTGACCCTTTTCTATTGGACAGATTTTCACTGAAATTGAGGGGGGAAAAATGAATAAATTTCCTGAGAATAAATAATGGAATTTTGTTTTTATCATTAATACATACCTCCAACGCATCGATCTATTGCGTATCCTCGATAGCCAGGAATACATTCACATATCATCAATCTCACAGGCATAATATCGAGAACTTTACATTGAGCATTGATTCCACAAGGTTGGACCTTCTCACAGGGATTTATACATTCGCCATTGAAGCACGCTGTTTGTGAAGGACAATCCGAATCACTTCGGCATCCAATGTCCACTGTTAGGAAAATAAATTTTAAACTTTACAGAACAGAAAAAATATATATATTAAAATATTGCTCTATGTAAGTACAACAATTTTTTTTTTTGGTTTTTATTTAAAAATTTTTGCATTTGGAAATATCATACCTCGAGCGCATCCATTTCTGGAATCTCCAATAAATCCTTCGGGGCACAGACACTCGACAACATGATTGTGAACGTGACAGTCAGTTTGTCCAGTGCACGGATTGAGTGTGCAAGGATTCTCACATCTTCGATTGATACAAGCTTTGTCCGTGGGACAATCGGAATTACTTCGACAACCAAGAAGAACACAGGCCTCTCGTGGATTACCGCCATAACCAACAGGACATTCGCATATGGCTTTGTGATACAAGGCTAGACACTCGGCTCCCTTTCCGCATGATGATGATGCACACGCGGGCACACAACTTCGATTGATGCAAGTGTGAGTGCCACTACATTCACTGTCTGATCGACATCCAACAACTATTAAACAAAATTAAATTTAACGATTAATATTTTATTTTTTCATTATAATACCGTAATTAAAATTAAAATTCCAGAAAAATCCGTTATTTTGAAATTAGTCCGAACAAACACAGCTAGTGAATCCGAAATTATTCCAAAAGATTTCGGTTTATGATCAGGATTTTGTCGTCCGGAATTAGTTCGGAATTTATCCGATCTGTATTATATTGGATAAAAGTCCAATATTAAGAGAAAAACTTATTTTGTGCCAAGTGCTGCAAAAATTTTTATGAAAAAATTATAATTTGGACTCAAATTAAAAAAAAACATTTTTAAGCTTAAAAATTGCTACTTATTTATAATTCAAAATTAAAAATTGTGCAAGACCATAACAAAAAGAAATTCTTACAACAATTTTAATAATGTATTTTGAATAATAAATTTTTGAAGTAGTTACGAATTTCTCTTTTAGTTCGGACTGATTTTCAACTAACACGGATCATTTTCGAACTGTTTTCATAGAATTTGCAGACGTATTTGAAGTCTCCAACCCAGGGAAAGTCACTAAATAAAATAAAAAATAAACTTTTTATAAAGAATAACTCACTTTTACTGCAGTGAATTTCAGGGTTTCCGTCGTATCCAGGAAGACACGAACAAATTGGTTTATGATTTTTCAAGTTACAAACTGCATTCGAACCGCATGCACAAGGATCTTTACAAAGTGCATTGATGCAAGCACGGTCTGATGGACAATCCGAATCTCTTCGACAGACAGCATCGACGAGAATTGGTTCACATGTGCCACTGCCACTGCTGATGTATCCACTCGGACAGACGCAGATTAACGATCTCACGGAATAATCCGGAAGTACTCTGCACTCAGCTGGTTCAGTGCACGGTTGAATGGCTGTGCAAGGATTTTGGCATTTCTTATTGATGCAAGCAGTCAAACTGGGACAATCTTCATCATCCCGGCACTCTGGTTCCGGTCGTGGTTGGCAGCTGACGTATGGGTTTCCTGTCAAATGAACTTGACACTTGCAAATTGGATGATGATTGTGAACAACGCAGTTGGCACGCGAGGTACATGGATTGTCCCTAAGACATGGATTGACGCACTGCGAGTTGACGCAGGCATGATCGCTGGGACAATCGCTGTTGCTGTAGCATCCGATTATGCGACACATGTCCTGAGCGTTTCCTCGGAAGCCTGATTGACAGCGGCAAATTGCCTCGTGATTACGAACAAAGCATTCGGCATTCGTGCCACACGACTCGGACAGAAGACAAGGATTCACACAGTTTCCATTGTGGCACGCCTTATCGGGCATACATTCCGAATCTCGTTGGCATTCGACTGGGAAACACGCGACGTCCGGAAGACCCTGATATCCCTTCTGGCAAGAGCATATTGGTTGATGATTCTTGACATAGCAAACGGCATTCGTTCCACAATTGCAAGGATCCCGACATTGACGGTTGATACAGGATTCATTGTCAGGACATTCATCATTCGAAATACAACCATTTGGTGTTGTTATTTGAACTGAAAACAAATTATGTTTACATTAAAATATTTGTTTTTTTTTATAATTTAAAAAATAATTATTAGAAATTATCTTACTTCGTTTGCAGATTCCTTGTTTGTCGGTAATCCAGCCGTCAGGACAAGTGCAAGCCATCGTCCTCACAGGAACATTATCAAAGACACTGCAGCGAGCATTTTCAAAGCAAGGTCGTATCACAGCACATGGATCAACGCAAGTGTCTTTGATGCAGGCCAATTTACTGGGACAGTCCAAATCTTTGACACACTCAGGTTTATCTTCAGGTGGTAGGCGTTCACAGTAGGAGAATGGATTTCCACTGGGTAGAGTTTCTGGACAACGACATGATGCAAGATGATTTTGAACGTAACAAACGGCATTCTGTGCACATGGAGAGTCATGAGTGCATGGATTAACGCATCTGCTGTTATGACACGCCAAATTTGATGGACAATCGTAATTGCTGGTACATTCAGCTCTCTCGCAATAAACGTCTGGATTTCCAAAGAATCCTGCACCACATTTACATGTTGCTCGATGATTAGCTCCGTAACATTCTGCATTGATTGCACATTTGTTCTCTAGGATGCAAGGATTCATGCATTGTCCATTGTAACATGTATCGGAGACTCGACAATCGCTGTCTGATTCACACTCCACTGTCAAGTTGAAAAATTAATAATATTAATGGTGACTGAAGAATATTGAAAATTGAGATTTGATTGATTTGAATTACTTACACTTGGTGCATCCAAAGTGTGGATTGCCGGAATAGCCTGGCAAGCAAACACAAGAAGGATGATGATTAACGACTGCACATTTGGTGTTTTGTCCACAATCGCAAGGACTGACACAATGTCCGTTGACGCACGATTCAGTGCCAGCACATTCGCTGTTTGATTGACATCCAGCTATTTGTTTTGCTGTAATATCGAAACAAATTTTGGAAAAGTTTTCTCAAAGGTACTTATCTACTAAAAGCTACTATTTTTTTTTCTTTCTCGATTTTTGGTCTTTAACTCTTGGTTATATTTAAATACTTTTCCCTCAAATTCTCCTTATATTTTAGAAATTCTTAAAATTTATTTATTTATCAGTTAATTATTTAATTCTGAAACTTTTTCAGAACTAATATTTTATTTTACATAACTACGGCAGTGCTTGTTATTAATTCAGTTATTAGAATTTATAAGCTTTAAAATTTTGTTACATTTATGTATTAATATTTTGGATTTTTTGAAAGTTCATTACAAAGTTTCTTGATAAATAATGATAATAATTTGTTTAAATGAGTTTAAAAATATATAAAACTTTCGTAAATAGTCTATTTTTGTTATTAATAGCAATTAAAGTAAAAAAATTATTATTCTGATTTAGTTATTAATTAAGTTAATTTTATTTAATATTTTTTATATTTATTATTAAATGTTGGATAATTTTTTCACAAATGTAAAATTTTTTTGTTTATTTTTGTTTTGTAAAAAAAAATTCACTTACGTGGTATGCATTCAGTAAAAGGATTGCCCAAGTACTCTTCGGGACATCTGCACATGGCGTTGTGGTCACGGACATGACAGAAGGAATTTGTTCCACAAGGATTGCCTTCTAGACAAGGATTGACGCAACGAGAATTGATACATTGCTTGTCCGTAAAGCAGTCATCGTTCGATGTACATTCTGGATAGAATACAGGAGGTGGCAGAGGAACTAAAATAATAAAAAGAAATTAAATATCCATTAAGAAAATAAATAGTGAAATCGTAATTAGCAATTGATTCATAAAGATAAAAAGCAAATGATGATAAAAAATATTATATCATTACCTCGGGAGCATTCGATGTATGGGTTGCCTTCAAAATTAGCAGCGCATGCACAAATTCCAGAGTGAGACGTTGATTTACATTGGGCATTGAGACCACATTGAACTGTGAGACAAGCTTCAACGCAAGATCCACTCAGACAAAGTTCATGATTTTCGCATTCATCATCCAAACGACATGTATCCAATTCTGTATTTGAAAATTTGTAAAAGATATTATTATTTATACTTTATTAAAAAATATAAAAATCATTTAAAAATTGATTAGTTTCTTACCGTGTTTCACGCAATTTCCATTCTCATCAGTATAAGCATCCTTTGGACATTCACAAATAATTGTTCGAATATGCTCTGCCGGAATGACTCTACAAATTTGTTCACTGCTACACATATTTGTAACCAAACAAGGATCTTGACATCTGGCATTGACGCAGGCGAAATTTGGTGAACATTGTCGGTCTTCCGTGCAGTCTGCTTTGAATGGTTCGCCTGTAAAGTAAAACAGTTAAATTAAAACTGAGAATCATCTAATTTTTAGAAAATGTTTTAAAAAAAGATGTGTAATCAAAAGTTATAAATAATAAATTTGATTTACTTTCTGAATATAGAAATTATTACCTTGACATTCGACGTATGGATTTCCTTTGGTTCCAGGTGGACAGGAACAAATGGGCTCATGATTTTTGGCAGAGCACAAAGCCTCATCTCCACAACTGTCGTCGGAGCAAACCTTCTGACAAACTCTGTTTAATCTGTCGCAAGTTTCGTCCTCGGCGCAATCCTCGTTGTAATGACAGACAGCAGTAATGCAAGCGGTGCGAGCATTTCCTTGCGTTCCTGGAGGACAAGTACATTGAGCTCTATGAGCTACAGCTGAACATTCTGCTCCGCGACCACAAGTGACAAACGCATTGAGACATGGAGAAATACAATTATTGTTGATGCAAACTTTGTCAAAGGGACAATCATAGTCTGATGTGCATTCCGCTGAAATATCAAATTAATAATTTAGTCAGTCCTCTGAGACAGAATTAAATCATCTTTTTTAATACAATTTAACTTACTCTTGAAACACTGAACTTGAGGATCTCCAGCGAGATTTAAAGGACATCTGCAAGTTGGATGATGATTGTGTACCACACACTCTGCTCTCAATCCACATCGGCTACTCAAACATGGATTCTGACAAAGACGATTTATACAAGCCAGATCTGAAGCGCAATCTGAATTTCTCGTACACTCAGGAAGTATATCTGAAAGAAAGAAATAATCCAAAGTTTTGAGAAAGGTTCATTAAGGTTAATAAATTCTATTAACAAATGACTGAATCTTACCTCTGTAGCAATTAATGAATGGATCGCCGATAAAACCAGGAGGACAGCGACAAACGTGACGATGATTTTCAACGTGACATTCGGCGGATTCAGAACATGGATTAACTCCACATGGATCGACACAATGTTGATTTATACAAGCCATATTTGGATTGCACTCCGAATTTGATAGGCAAATATGATCTAATTTCTTTTCGACGGGAATGCAAGCGATTGTCGCGTCTCCAATAAAATCGGGAGCACATTCACAGATTAATGTTCTCATTGGTAGGCTGTCAACAACAGAACATTTGGCATTTGTAATACAGGGTTTCGATTCTGCGCAAGGATCTTTGCACATTCCTTCAAAGCAGGCCAATTTACTTGGACAATCTGCGTCGAGTTTACATTCAGGTGTTACACCAACTGGTTCTGTAATTATAATTGGTTCAGTTTTAATTCCAAGTGTTGAAGCAACAATTTGGAAAAAATTTTATTGGGCTCTTATGGAGCTTTGTAATAATAATTTAGGTAGAGATGTGATATTTACCCATTCCACAAGATTCGTAAGGATCGCCGGTGAATCCAGGAGGACATCGACAACTGGGTCTATGATTGACGACTAGACATTGAGCTGAAAGTGGACAATTACAAGGATCGACGCATCGATTATTGTGACAAGCCAAGAAGGAAGAGCATTCATCGTCAGTACTACATTCTGGTCTTTGACATCTGTCGTAAGGATTTCCTAAGAATCCCTCTGGACAATAGCAATTGGCACGGTGGTATCCATCGGATTTGCATTGCGCGCTTATTCCACATTGAGTTATTAAGCAAGAATCAATACACTCATTATTCACACAAGATTGAGATGGAGAACATTCATCATCGCTACGGCATCCAACTTGAAAAAAATTCGAGTACAATTAATTTACAAATTTACAATTACTTTATAATTAATCAAATTAAATAAATAAGAAGTTATTAATTTTTATATGTAAAACATACTTTCGACACAATGATGTTGAGGATTTCCAATAAATCCATCCTTGCAGGTGCAAACTGCTCGGTGATTTTGCACAAAGCAATTGGTGTTAAATCCACAGGAATCAAGTTCACAAGGATTAGTACACCTGAGATTAATGCAGGCTTTTTCATTGGGACATTCTGAACTATCTGTACATTCAGGTCGAGGTGGTTCTGAAAAAAGGGGACAAAACTGTCAGCTCGAAATTTTGGCGAAAAAAGTAGTTTTAGTCGATTTACATTTGAAGAAATTTCGAACAAGTCAATTTAAAAAATTGCAATAAGCATTTTATTTCTCTTAACCATTGTTGTTAGATATTAAAAATAAAATTTAATAATTCCGTAATAAGAATAATTCTATATAAGATTAATATCAAGAAAATTTATTTAGATAATATTTCAAAATTTTTATTTGTTTTATTGTTTTTATTAGTTTTTATCCGATTAAGTAAAGAAGCAAAGGCCTTTTTAATGATTTGAATTTCTTTGAATTGAAATTTTTTTAAACTTTCAAGAATTTCAATAATTTTAAATGTTACTTTTTTAAAAAAAAATTTCAATTCTGATTTATGCAAATTATTTATTAATTCAAAAGATTGTCAAACTTTGGAGTTTAAATGGTAATAAAAATTGTCACTTATTTTCTAAAAATAGACAGAATTTTTGCCTAAAAATGTTTAAAATAATTAAAGTTTTGAAGAACTTGATAAAAATTATTATTTGAATTGAAATAATTAATATTATTAAAAGTAATTTACTTGGCGAAGAATAGTAGATAATTTTAAACATAATTGAGTTTTGTAAGTTACATATTTAAGATTTTTAGAAATAATTAAATTTCAAGAGATTTTAAAATGAATTAATTGTAAAACGAAATTGCTAACAAATTTGCTATCTAATTTGCTTACAAATTACAGACAATAATTGAATATTAAAAAATTGTTAAATAATTAATTGTTAATAATTAAATAATTAACAAAAAATTTTAATAGTTGAATTTTAAAAGAACTTTCTAAAATTATTGAAAGTAATTTATGTCGTGAAGAATTTTAGATAATTTAAAAAATAATTGAACATTAGAAAAGAAAACAGTCCAGGTTTTTAGAATTAATCAAATTTTAGAAGATTTGGAATTAAAAATTTTGTAAATTTGAATTGATGAAAACTTTTTTTTAAAACAATTTTAGGGAATAATTGCATTTTAGAGAATTTGTAATTGAAAAATGTTTTAAACAATTAAATTTTCGAAAACATTATAACTATTGAAAATAATTAATTTTGCAAAGATTTTTTAGATTAAAATTTTCAAAATAATTTAATTTTGAAAAAGTTACAGTTTCTACTAAAAAAAAAATGTTTAGGTATTTTGTTTCTAATTTAATAAATTAATTAATTTCAAATTTTATTTTGTAAAATAAGTAAAGAAAAAAGTCGAAAAAGTTGTACAATTGGAGGCCTGGAAGTTTAAAAAATAAATTGTATATAGCAAAAGAGTAAAAAAAAATAGTTACCTTTTTCTGCTATTTTACATTCTTCATGGGGATTTCCTGAGAAACCTATAGGACAAGAGCAAATTGCTTTGTGGTTTATAGTTTGACAAAGAGAATTGATACCGCAAGCATTGATGCAAGGATCTCGGCATTTTTGTGAGAGACATGTCTTGTCACGTGGACAATCGCTGTTAATGAGACACTCCGGATAGATACAAATATATTCTCCATTTCTTACTCTACATTCTCCATTTGTGCTACATGGATTCGGATTGCAAGGATTTATAGCTAAAGAAAAATCAGAAGTTAAAAATTAATATTTATAAATCTGAATATTTTTGTACACAAGAAACCAAACTTTAAAAAATTAAAGATTTTTTAATCCGACACTTGGATCACTTCTTCTACATATTAATTAATAATTTTTCAAGGGATAAAGTCAAAACACTATGAATTTTTTTTCATTACTATTTATAATGCTTGTGATCAAAATAAAGCAAATAATTTTCTGAGACCTAAATTCATTTTTTTCAATGATATCAATATGTTTATTGAAATTGTCTGAAGGAGTAAAATTCTCTATTATAAATAAAATTGCAATTAAAAAAAAAATTGTAATCCAAAATTAAAGTTTTTTTTTGTGTCCATATAATTAAGTTTACTAAAGTTGTTTATTTAGTAAAAAGAAAAATGAATTTTTACCTTTTTCTTCATAACATTCGACGAAAGGATTGCCAACTAAAGAAGAGGGACAACTGCAAAGAGGGCTGTGATTTATAACTGTACAATAAGCTTTGACTCCACAAACATTTTGCGAACAAGGATTTGAACATTGACTATTGATGCAAGCCAAATCGGCTGGACAATCAGAACTGACGATGCACTCCGGTCGACAACCAGAGGGATCAGTAGGCACTCCCTTTAATTCTGGCAAGCATCGACAAAGAGCATTTCCTCCAACGCTTACGCAGATAGTATTTGGTCCACATGGTGATGGATGGCATGGATCCGATTTAGGTGGTACTGAATTCAATTTTACATTTTGTATTTTATGTCTTTATATTATTATATCCAAAATTCAATATAATCAATTAAATAAAATATAATAAAAAAATTTATTCAATACTTATTATATTATTAACTATTCTTCCAATTAAAATTTTTATTTTCTTAAAAAATTAATTATTTTTAAAATTATTTTTAGAAATTAAAAAGTATGAAAGTTTATATTTAACAAATGGAAAATATTTAAGGTAAAATTTAGTTCAATGAGAAAATATTGAATTTGTTTGTTTGAACTTGATAAAATAACATTTTTAGAAATAAATAATTAAATTAAAAATCAATCCTCTTTTCTCCTCTTAAGTATTTGTTTTCCTTTGCAAATTCTAACAATTAAATTCTCCTTTTTTAACCCAATAGAATGAGAAAATACTTTTCTAAAATATATTAATTGTAGGTATTTAGAATTTGAAATTATGACCCCAAAATTTTCTAATCTAATCGTTAAGTAGAAGATTTTAATTTTAATTCTAAATAATATAAAAAGATGATTAAATAAAAACTTGACAAAATGTGAGTCAAAATTTGTGAAGTGTGCTAATATTTTTTAAGTAGTCAAAATTTTTTTTATGAAATTCATGTTTTTCTATTCAAAACAGTAAGTAAAAAGTATAAGTTAAACAGTTTTTTAAAATTTAAAGCTTTATACAAAATATTGTTATAAACGTTTTTGTATGCCATTTTACACATTTTTGTTTTTCTATTAATTAACAAAATCAATTTTTCTGACGCTTTGCATTATTATTTTAAATTAATTAAAATTTGTTAAAAATAAAAAAAATTTATTTAAACAAATAAAAATTAATCTAACTTCTCCCTCGATTTTTAAAATATTTTTTATTGCATATTACTAGTAAAATTATTATCTAAAATTATTCCTGAAATGAATTTGGTAACTTACCTTTGGTTAAAACTTACAAAAACTTTTTATTCTAACGTGCAGCACAAAAAATCTCCTGACCAACGCGGTATTGTTTTTTGATTTTTCATGCTACAGGCTAGAATAAAAAATTTGTAAGTTTTAACCGAAGGTAAGTTACCAAATTTTTCATTTTGGGAATGATATTAGATAGTTTTACGAGTAATATGCAACAAAAAACATTTGGAAAATTAGAGGAGAAGTTAAATTAATTTCTGTTTGTTTAAATAAATTGTTTATATTTTCAAGAAATTACATAATTTTAAAAAATGAGAAATATTAATCCAAAGCGGTGTTAATTTAAAAAAAATAATGTCAAGCGCCAGGAAAATTGATTTTATTGAATAGAAAAACAAAAATTTGTAAAATCACGCATACAAATGTTTATAACTTATATCAGGGTGCCTAATAACTGCTAGGAAAAAAATTCCCTGACTTTTCACTGACTTTTCCCTGACCTAAATTACACTAAAAAGTTTTTATTTTCATCAAATAAAATTTATTTTGATACATTAAATCATTTACCTGTCTATTATTCACTAATTTCATATGTATTTGAACCAAATAAATAATGTTTCGTAAAAAATGAAATATTTAAGTGAATTAAATAAACTAATTGTGGACGTATAAATATTCTCAACATTTAATTTAAAAGAATTTTTACGGCATCAAATCTTAAATTATCCAATTTTTATTTAGTAAAATTAGATAAAGCAGATTTTCTAGTACATCGAATTTCAAATTAATACAATTTTAATTTAACGGAATTTATGTCAAGAAAAATTGCATAAAGAAAATTTTTTTTAACAGAATTGTTATTTTTAGTAAATTTCGATTTATCAAAATATTTACTTAACAGAATTTTCATTGAATAAATCCACAATTAACAGAATTTCTATTTAAAAAAATTCTTAATTAACAAAGATTTTATTAAAGAAAATTTTAATTCGAACTAATTTTTATTTAACAGAATTCTCATTTAAGAAAAATTTTACTTAATTCTTTTCTTGTCAATTTTTATAGACATAAATTTCGTTAAATTGAAATTATATTACAGTAGAACCTCGATTATCCGAGATTCCGTATTATCTGAGGCACCAAACACGAGGTGCATGCTCGGATAATAATACGGAAAAACTCGGATAAAATGGATGGAACCGATATGCATTAACAATAATTATACCCAAAAGTTAATCTACATTCATTAGATTTTAAGTTTTATATACATTTGTGATTAATTTTCTTTGTAGCATATTAAATATGTACATAAAAAAATTATTAAAATTTTTGAATTATAGGTATTTATTCCGTGTTATCCGAGTTTTCGCTTATCCGAGGTGCCTCTTCCCCACATTACCTCGGATAATCGAGGTTCTACTGTAATTTAAAATTTTAAAAAAATATTTAAAAAATGCTTTATAAGAGTTCTGCTAAGTAGAAATTCTTTTAAATCGAATTTTAGTTAAATGTAAATTCTTCGATATGAAAATTTTGCATAATATAAAATCCACTTTATACAATTTTGCTAAATAGAAATTCGTTCATTTAAGATTTGACGACGTAAAAATTTTTGTAAGTTAAAGTATTAAATAATTAATTATTCGTATTAATGAATAATTTACTTTATTTGAAGTTGAACCGATAAAATAAAATTGTATCAAATAATTTTTATTTATATTAAAAAATCAAATGTTTCTTAAGATATAAGATAGATAGGAAGATACTTTTGGTAACTTGCTTCCAATGTGTCTTATAATAAGATACTTCTTTTGCAGTGTAGTTACTTTAATTTATTCATAAAAAATTCCAGAATATTAAAGAAATTCTCTGACTTTTCCCTGACTTCCCTGACCGTTAAACACCTTGTATATAAATCTTCAAATTTGACAAAACTATGCAATTTGAATTTTTTATTTACCGATTAGATTAGATTTGATTTATTTCTTCATTGTACACTTTCTAAGTTTTACAATATACAGGGTGTTCCAAAAGTATGGAAACTTGCGAATATCTCGAAAAGTACGAATTTTTGTAAAAAATTTTCAAGACAAAAGTTGTTCCAATTTTTTACAAAAATTCGTACTTTTCGAGATATTTGCAAGTTTCCATACTTTTGGAACACCCTGTATAATTTTCCTCATCAATTTCCCCTTATTTTTTTATTTACTGTTTTAAATAGAAAAATGTAAATTTTATGAAAAAATTTCGACTTTTCAAAAAATATTAGCAGCAGTTCAAAAATTTTTGCTCATGAAGAATTTTTGTTAAATTTAAATCGAAACATTTTTTTTTAATTGAAGAGTCACTAAAAATTTCAGGGTCTTATCAATTTCTAACAAGTTTTCCTACAAAAATCTTATTAAAAATAGGGAAACCTGACAAGGTCCATACAAGATTCTTATTAAAATTTCTAAATATAAATTTTGAAAGACTAGTCTTACCTGTTTCTGGCTGACAATAACTGAACGCATCCCCTATAGTTTGTCGAGGACAGGAGCACGCAGGGAAGTGATTTGTCACAGTGCAAATTGCACCGATACCACAGGTCCTGGCACAAGGATCTTGGCACTTGGTCCTGCTGCAAGCTTGAGACTTAGGACAGTCGCTGTTAACCAAACATTCTGGATGACATCCTTCGTAAGGATTTCCTCTGTAGTCCTCTTGACATTCGCAGATTGCAGTGTCGACACGTTCTCGACAGAATGCATTAACTCCACAGGGTGATGGATTACAAGGACTTGTCGTGGGTGCTGGTGTACCTATATTAAAAAAAACATTCCATTCAGTAAATTGTTAAACAACCAATCCTTACTAAAATTATAAAAACTAGAGTAAATTTTCCACAATAATACATTTACAAATGGTTAAAAGTTTCTCGAACATTTAAGTGTGTGTCTATATATAAATACATGCACGTGTCAATTTTTAACCAACAGTAAATTTTATCATAAAAAATTTATTCCAATCATATGACTTTGTAAGGGGAATTTCATTCTATAATCTAAATATGCAAATGGTTCTATGTACAGAGTATAAAAATAAATAAGAACTTTTCTTCTTATTCAAATATTTTTGGATTTTATTTTTTGTTGAAAAGCATGTTTGTGTCGAATAAAACCATATGTAATATTTTTTAACGCAAAATTGTGTTTAAAATAATTTTAATTGACTAATATCAACCTCTATTTTTTATGTCAAAAAAATTGTAAAAATTTTTGTATAAAAGCTGTCATGCTGTTTATAATATGTAGATTTATTTTTATAAATCTTTTCTAAATCAAAATTTTTTAAAAAATTATATAACGTTGCTTTACATTAAAGTGTGTGTGTGAGTGTGTAAATCTGAGGATAAGTGGTTCTTAAACTATAAAAGCCATGCCATATTTCTAGAAACTAAAACTAATACTAATTTATATACTAAAGTTTCTGAAAACTATATACAATATCATGCAATTTGTACATATTTATTGCACCGAAGCGCAAATTAAGCCTGAAACAATAAAATCAGCTTTATTTAATAAACCATATAGGCGGTAAATTATTATATTTTCAAATATTTAATAAAAACGTTTTACTTTTCAAATATTACCGACTCATAATAATTCCAATATTTAAAAATTGTGAAAAAAGATTTATATAGTCTTATTGAAACGAAAATTTGAAAAAACTATTTTTGTAAATATTTTCTAACAGTACCGGTAAATTAGAATATGTATCAAGGATATATGTAGATATTCTAATTTACAGAAACCACCGGATAACATTAGTATATCCGTAGAATATTCTAACAAAAAAGAATTGATCCAAATTTTCCTTATATTTTAAAGATAAAACGTTTTCAATTCTGAAAAATATTCTAAAAATTCACTTTATACCAAAAAAAAAATTCATCAAAAGCAATAGCAATTATATCGATGCTTTTAGTAAACTGCAAAGCTAAAAAACCAAAAATTGGGCAACTTTGCGAGTTTTCTTACTCTGAGTCAGGACGCAAACTTGTTGAGGATTTCCTATATATCCTTCGGGACATGAGCACTGGGGTCGATGTAATGTTGCACGACAAATGGCATTTGTTCCACAGGCTCCTAAACAAGGATCGGTGCATTTTTGCCTAACACAAGCGAGATGATTTGGACATTCGCTATTGATAAGGCATTCGGGTTTACAGTTTGGTGGAAATCCTAAGAACGTGGGTAAACATGAGCACAAGGGTGTATTATCTGCGGAGGGTGTACATTGGGTATTTGGTCCACATGGTGAGGGATTGCATGGGTCTTTGGTCACAATTGCTATTCAAAACAAAAGAAAGTAAATCATTAGCAATATCATGGTTTTCATTCGTTCGCCACTATCAATTTTTATTAAGCTTTCTTATAATGATGGAATACTGAAAAAGATTGTCGATATTTGTACAAAAAAATTTTCTATTCTTCGCGAAGAAGACAAAAAAAATTTAGGAAAAATTAAAATGCACTATAAAAAGAAGGTACTAGAATAGTACCGATTTTAGGTATAAAAAAAGAACCATAAGGCAATTTAGTACCTAAAGTTGGTATTAAATTAATACCTCTCGTTTTACAGCGTGAATGAATATTCACCATAATCTTTTGCAGTCGATCATTTTGATCCAAAATTCAAGCTAAGGGAATATTTATCCATTTCGTTTTCTTAGGAGTTATGAATATTCTTCACATTAGACCTATCATTATAAATTCTAAAAATTAAAATTATATTCTATTTGAAAAAAGTCCTGTTTAATTGATTTATTGTCATGAACATAACCTCAGAACTTAGGCTAACTTCAATAAAAAAAAACTGTTTCCTGACTTTTGAACTAGCCTAAGCTTTGAGGTTATGTTCTTTACAACAAATCAATTGAGAGTGTCGAACAGTTTCTAAAATTCTTTGGCATTTAATTATCGCCCTATAGAAACGGCACTGAACGTGAAAATAATAAACATTTATTTTAAAATACTTTTTTCTCGAAACGCAGATACTTTTTACAAAATCGGCCAACAGACTAAGGATCTTTATCTTATAAATTTCCTAAATCCGAAAGATTGTGCGAATCCATACAAAAACGCGATTGGAAAACGAAAAGTAGGAAAGTAATATAATAACAGCTGTGACATTGTGCTCCCTGCATGCTTCTGCCATCTGACGGAGGCAGGGCGTAATAAAGCTGTCATTATATTACTTTCCTACTTTTCGTTTTACAATCACGTTTTTGTACAGATTTGCACAATCTTTCGGATATAGGAAATTTATAAAATAAGGATCCTTGGTGTTTTGGCCGATTTTATAAAATCGGTAAAATACTTTTTGAGCACTGTGAAAATCTACTTTATAAAATTCTGCTAAATAAAAATTCAATAATTTTTAATTTGACTTTGCAAAAATTCTGACAGGTCTAATGTGGGGAATATTTATGCGTTGTTTTCTCTTAAGAACCTTGGGAATATTTTCAAGGAATATAAGAAAATTATTTTCTTAATATTCTGCCTGAAATAAACACAAGTAACAGAATCGACAATGGTATCCCATCATTCTATGTAATTTATTAAGGATTTACTTACGCGCAGGGAAGCAGTTGACGAAGGGATCACCGCTATATTCCGGAGGACATGAGCAAAGGGGATTATGATTGCGCACATTGCATAACGTATTTTGTCCACAAGCATTAATACATGGATTTTGACATTTTTCATTGATGCACGCTTTATTTTGAGGACAATCAGTGCTGACGACACATTCAGGTCGGCAGCTGGGTGGGCTACCAAAATAGTTTTTCATACATGAGCAGGAGGCTTGATCACCTATTTCTTGACAAATACTGTAGGGTCCGCAGGGTGAAGGATTGCAGGGATTGGTTCGTTCTGCACAATACAAAAAAAAGTAAATTCTCTCTCTCTTTATCTTAAAAATAAAAACTATTCATTGTCACCAGAATGCAATGTTTAGTCACTTACTTTTCACAAGTTGACAGGCGGTAAATGGATCTCCTTCATAATTGGGATTACAGATACAAGTGAGAAGATAATTTATAACTTGACATTGGGCATTTTGTCCGCAAACTCCAGGACAAGGGTCGACGCATTTGTTGTTCATACAGGCTCTATTTTGGGGGCAGTCAGTATTTTGGACACATTCTGGTCGACAGCTGAGGTAGGGATCACCTCTATATTCGGGTAGACAAGTGCAAATTCCATCGCGACATTGGGCATTAGGTCCGCAGGGTGAAGGATTGCATTTGTCTTGTATTGTTGGTCTTGCTATAATTTAAAAAATAAAAGTTTCATGAGGTAAAATTTGGATTAGGTTTGTTTCAAGAAGGCAGGGAAAATAAGGTAAACGCTCGGGAATGATGATAATAAAATAATTGCTTACGTGGTATTTGTGGTATAGGGGAACAATTATTGAAAGGATCTCCGGTGAATTTTTCTGGACATGTACACATGGGTATGTGATTAACAACTTGACAATTGGCATTTTGGCCACAAGATCCCAGACATGGATCACGACATCTCTCGTTGATACAGGCTTTATTACTAATACAATCAGAATTTATTGTACATTCGGGTCTACAGTTGGGTGGTGATCCGACGTAGTTGTCCAAACAGGAACAAGAGGAGTAACCACCTCTATCCATACACTGAGCAAATGGTCCGCAAGGTGACGGCATACATGGACTTGCAGGTTCTTTTACAGGCGCTGATAGCATAATTATCAATTTTAATTTAATAAATATAAGAAATGTAATATTTGATAAAAGTGTTGTTTTAGTGATTCAGTTGTTGACTTACGAAGCATTTCGAAGCATCTAACAAACGGATCGCCGGTTTGTCTAGGTTTACAACTACAGAGAGGACTGTGGAATACTGTTCTGCATTCAGCGCCAATTCCACAAATTCCTTGACAGGGATCAACGCATTTTTGATTAACACAAGCGCGAGTCATTGGACATTCAGAACTGACAGTACATTCTGGTTTGCAAGCCGGTGGAGTACCTAAGAATGTCGGTAAGCATGTGCATATTGCTTGTCCATTATTATTTCGACATTGACTGTTAGGACCACATGGTGATGGATTACACGAATCAGTAGGACCTAATAACGTCAATATAAAACAAATTTCACTTAAAATATTCTATTTTAATAAAATGTGTAATTTATTTATTTCCATAATCAATCAATAACTTACGTTGCATTTGAATCATATTGCAGTATTGGAAAGGATTACCGGTATAACCAGGAAGGCAGGTGCAACTTGGCACATGATTAATGACTTGACACATGGTATTTTGTCCACAACTTCCTGGACATGAGTCTTGACATTTATTACGAATGCAAGTTCTATCTAGTTGACAATCGGAATTAATGAGACATTCGGGTCTACAACCTTCGTATGGATTTCCATAAAAATCTGTCAAACACGTGCAAATACTAGAACCCGAAGATTCTCGACAATTGGCATTTGCACCACAGGGTGATCGTTGACAGGCACTTACAATATCGGACTGTGGTGGTGGTAGTGGTTCTAAAAATTTGATAAAATTACATTTTTCAAACTAGAAATTTTATCAGGAAAACATAAGGATATCAAAATATGTGATTGATAGTATCTTACTTTCTGGAATGCATTGCACAAACGGATCACCAGTGAAACCACGAAGGCATGTACACATTGCAATATGACTAATCGTTTTACATTCAGCGTTCAGGTTACAAATTCCCGGACATGGATCTGCACATTTGTTGTTTATGCAAGCTAGATTATTTGGACATTCGCCATTGCTGATGCACTCAGGTCGACAGTTTGGTGGTGTTCCGATAAAATTAGGCATACATGAACAAGAGGGAGATTGATTAATTTCACGACACTGTGCGTTCGGGCCACAGGGATTTGGCTGACACGGATTGATTGGCACAGGTGGTTGAGCAGCTGAGAATAAAAAAAATGTTTTAAAAATTCTTCTTTTAAATCTTTAAAATTGGTGTCGCCAGTAACTTACGTTGTTGATAACAATATTTAAATGGATCTCCAGTGTATCCTGGAGGACAAGAGCAAACAGGATTTTGATTAATAACCGAGCACAGTGCTTCAAAACCGCAAGATCCAAGACAAGGATTAATACACTTCAGATTTACGCATGCTCTATCTCTGGAACAATCAGAGTTCACGATACACTCGGATCTACATGATGGTGGTGCTCCACTATAGCCAGGAATGCAGCGACAAACAGCTTGTCCATTGATAGTTTGACAATGGCTGTTAGGTCCACAAGGTGACGGATTACATGGTTCAGTTACGACCGGTTCTGCGTAAATTTCATTAGATTTTATTCCGAGAATTGTTTATGAATAAACAATAAAAACAAGAGAATGAGTAATTTGATAAACATAATAACAAACCTATTGGTGAACAAAGAGTGAATGCATTTCCAGTCATATTTCTTGGGCAACTACACATTGGGAGGTTATTTACAACTAAACATTCTGCATTTAAACCACATGTACCGATACAAGGGTCCACGCATTTATTTCGTATGCATGCTCTATTACGAGGACAGTCGGGATTAATGACGCATTCAGGTCTACAGCCAACGTAAGGATCTCCTGAATATTCTTGTAAGCATGTACATAATCCGTTTCGGCACTGTGTGTTGGAGCCACAAGGTGATGGATTACATGGGTCTGATGGTCTTTGGGCTAAAAAAATTATTTTTAGTATAAAAATTCTGCAACATTAATAATAGTGTGATAAAATGTAAAATATTCTCACGTGGAGGTGGTGGTGTTGGTAAGCAGCTGGTGAAAGGATCACCAGTAAAACCTTCGGGACAAGAACAACTGGGTGTGTGATTGACAACAGCGCAACGAGCTCCAAAACCACAAGATCCTGGGCAAGGATCTCTACATTTTTCTCTCATGCAGGCTTTATCGTAAGTACAATCTGAATTTATAGAACATTCTGGACGACAGTTGGGAGGCGAACCAATGTAATTATTAAGGCAAGCGCAAATGGCGCTATTTCCACTATTTCTACACATAGAATTTGTTCCACAAGGTGAAGGTAGACAAGGATCTCTATTCTCATCTTCGATTGCAACTATTGCGTTAGAAATGATAAAAAAAATTATTTAATTTACCCGAAAAAGAATTAAAAAGATTTTGTACAAATATGTGGAAGGAATTTTTACCTTGTTGAGGGAAACATCGAATAAACGGATCACCAGTTTGGCGTTCCAAACATCTGCATATTGGACTATGATTTATTACTCTACATTCTGCGTCAATACCACAGAGACCAGGGCAAGGATCAACACATTTTTGATTGATACAGGCAAGATTCGATCTACATTCAGAGCTTACGAGACACTCTGGCTTACAATTTGGTGGGCTTCCTAAGAATCCTTGTACACAAGTGCAAGTGGCTTGATTTTGATTAACTCTACAAACGCTATTTAGTCCACATGGTGAAGGTTCACAAGGTGTTACTGAAGCTGAAATATTTTTTGTTCATTAGTTTTTCTAGTAGTACATTTTTTCTTCTATTTTTCATTGTGGGTATTATTATTAATTGACTTACTGTCTTCTATTTGATATGCACAATTAACGAATGGATCTCCAGTCGAACCCGGAAGGCAACTACAAATTGGTAAGTGTGATACTACTTGACAGTAAGAGTTCCTTCCAGGACACATGCCAAGGCAAGGATTTTGACATTTAGATCTAATACATGCCAAATTCGCAGGACAATCTGAATTTATGGTACATTCTGGACGACATCCATCGTATGGATTTCCGATATATTCAGCTATGCATGAACACGTGGCAATGCCATTTTGATCCCTACATTCTGCATTAGATCCACAAGGTGATGGAACACATGGCTGAACTGGAATTGATGGCTCTGCTGCTTATGAATAATATCCAGTTTTAGATGAAATTGTGCAAAAAGTTAAGTAAAATTATTATCAGAAAAGAAAAATTCTTACGTTGTTTGACAATACATTGAACGAAAGGATCTCCCGTAAATCCGGCAGTGCATGAACACATGGGAATATGATTTACAACATTACATTGAGCATTAGAACCACATGATCCTTGACAAGGATCTGTACATTTTTGATTGATGCATGCTAGTCTACTGGCACATTCACCGTTGCTGACACACTCTGGTCGACAATTTGGTGGCGATCCAATAAATTCAGGAAGGCATGAGCAAGAGGGTAGATTGTTAATTAAATTACACTGTGAACTCGGACCGCATGGATTTGGTACACATGGATTTGATTGTTCTACGGGTTCTTCGGCTAAAAGAAAATATTATTCATGATAAAATGATTTTCTGAAGAACGTAATTATTTTTAAATAAAAATACGTACGTCTTGGGAAACATCTAATAAATGGATCACCAGTGAAAATTGGAGGACAACTGCAGATTGGATTGTGATTTACGACTTGACATTTTGCTGATAAGCCGCAAGTTCCAGGACAAGGGTCTCTGCACTTTTGATTTACACAAGCTTGATTCAATGGGCAATCAGAGTTAATGATACATTCTGGTCGACAACCCGGAGGGCTACCGGTAAACCCTTCTATACACATGCACACTGGTTGTTCATTGATTGGTTGACATCTACTGTTTGGTCCGCATGGTGATGGATTACAAGGACTTTTTACAACTGTCGCTAAAAAAATAAATTAATTATCACGCACTATTCAAAATATGAAAAATTGGTAAATTGATTTTCAAAAAGAAACCTACGTTCCACATTATCGCAAGCGATAAAAGCGTTTCCGCTCATACCGGCGGGACAAGAGCACATTGGTATATGATTGAAAACATTGCAAACGGCTCTTTGACCACAAACTCCAGGACAGGGATCATTACACTTGCTTCGAATACAAGCTCTAGTTGATGGACAATCTGTACTTTGAACACATTCCGGACGACATGATACATATGGATCTCCTAAATAATCAGGTAAACACGAACAAGATCCATTACGGCAGATAGCGTTTGATCCACATGGAGATGGATTGCAGAGATCAGTTGGTCTCGTTTCTTTAACAGCTGGTGATAGAATAATTTTGGTTAAAAAAAAATTATTCAAAAGCGGAATACAAAGTCAAATAAAAATTTAAATCTTACGAGTTGGAGTACAACTTCTAAATGGATCACCGGAGTAGCCTTCTGGACATGAGCAACTGGCTAAATGATTTACAACGGTACAATAAGCACTAAGTCCACAAGATCCCGGACAAGGATCTGTGCACTTTTGTCTTAAACAAGCCATGTTACTGGTACATTCGGAATTAATGGTGCATTCAGGTCGACAATTTGGTGGAGAGCCGATATAATCGCTCATGCAAGAACAAGCTGGCACACCTCCAATGTCTCTGCATGTTGAGAAAGAACCACATAGCGATGGAACGCAAGGGTTGACAACTACTGGATTTACTGGTGGAGCTACAAAGATTAATTTATTGAAATTTACAGTCTCAAAATGAATTATGTGATTAGATTTTGTAATTCGATTTAAAAGGTTAAATAAATTTAAACTAGATTAAAATTCGTTTGGATTTAAAACTTGTTTTGTTAAATATAAATTCCCTATTAGTTGAAAATGAGGACCAGCGAAAGTCTAACAGCAAGAACTTTGTATTTAACACGAAGAGTAAATGATATAATACTTACGAGGAAGTAAGAAACATCTTATGAAAGGATCACCAGTTGATCCAGCTTTACAGCTACAAATTGGACTATGATTATTAACGTTACACTGTGAATCGACTCCACAGACATTGGGACAAGGATCGCTGCATTTTCTATTGATACACGCACGATTTGTAGGACACTCTGTGCTAACAGTACATTCAGGTTTGCATGCCGGGGGATTTCCACTAAATGTAGGCATGCAAGAACAAACAGCTTGTCCATTTGATACACGACATTGACTATTTGGTCCACAGGGAGACGGATTGCACACATCAGTGACTAAGGCTAAATGAAAGGTATCATATGATAAGAGTATACAAAAGGTATAAATTTAAAATAAATTAAAAAATTCCACTGAAAAACTTACGGCTTTCAATGTTTCGATTGCAATAAGTAAAAGGATTGCCGGAGTATCCGGATTGACATGAACATACTGGGAGATGATTAACGACTTGACAGACAGCATTTGTACCACAAGTTCCCGGACATGGATTCTGACACTTTGATCTAATGCAGGCTCTGTCTGAGGTACAATCAGAATTTACGGTACATTCGGGCCTACATCCTTCATAAGGATTTCCAATATAATCAGGTAAACAGGAACAAGATCCTGCTCCATTTGCTTCTCGGCAAATTGCATTAGAGCCACAAGGTGATGGTATGCATGGTGTTGGTCTTTCAATAGGTGTATCCACTACAAAATTATTTTTGTAATAATTCAACTTTACCGTTTTTAAATTTCTTAAACAGCGCTTTAATAATTTAATGTTGAATAGTTATTTGACTTTATATAAAACTTACTTGGTCTTAAAGAACACTGGGTGAAGGGATCACCAGTATATCCTGCTATACAAACACACATGGGCGTATGGCTAACAACTCTACATTCAGTGTTGGAACCGCATGAACCTGGACATGGGTTTCTACATTTTCTGTTAATGCAAGCTAATTGATTGTCACATTCACTGTTACTGACGCATTCTGGTCTACAGTTTGGAGGTGTTCCTAAGAAATCAGCTAAACAAGAACAAGAAGGTGAATTGTTCACTACTTCACATCGCGCATTTGGACCACATGGTGAATTGTCACATGGATTAATGGGAGTCGCTGGTGGTTTTACAGCTAAAGGAAAAAAACTCATTTATCTTCTCAGTTTAATAAATATTTCAGGTTTTTAAAAAGCCACTATTGTTGGTTAGCGTTCTTTAACGACTTTTAGATTAAATACTTACGTTGCGGGAAACAAGCGACGAACGGATCGCCTGTCAAATCTCCTTGACAAGTACAAAGTGGATTATGATTGATAACTTTACACTGGGCTCTGATACCACAAGTTCCAGGACATGGATCAATACATCTCTGATTACTACAAGCTAAATCAGCACGACAGTCAGAGCTAATTGTACACTCGGGTCTACAATTTGGTGGAACTCCTAGATATCCCTGAACGCAAGTGCATACAGCTTGCTCATTTATTTTTCTACATTGACTATTTGGTCCACAAGGAGATGTGTTGCATGGATCTTGTAACGGAGTAACTAAAAGAATGAATTAATTTCTAGATATTGAACTTGAGAAACAAAATTAATTAAATAAATGTTTGTGGAACTTTTTAGAACATGTATTACCTGTTATTGGGGAACAAGTAACAAAAGCGTTGCCGGTCATATTGCTCAGACAAGTGCAGATAGGAACATGATTAACAACTGAACATACAGCATTGAATCCACAAGTATTAATGCATGGATCAACGCATTTATTTCGCAAACAGGCCTGCGATCTGAGACAATCAGAGTTGATAACACATTCAGGACGACAGCCTGCGTAAGGATCGCCTCTATATTCCGGTAGACAAGTGCAAGCACCGTTCACGCAATTGGTATTTGCACCGCAATTATCACAAGGACTAAAAGGTTTTGGTTCTGCAGCTACAAAGGCAAAATGAATCGTTTACATCAATACAAAAATTGTTTTTAGAAAAATAATTTCTCCAATAAATAAAATGGCATCCAGTGACTTACGAATTTGCAAAATTGGAGTACATCTAGTAAACGGATCTCCTGTATATGATGTCAAACATGCACAATTGGGTGTATGATTAACGACAGTACACTCGGCTCCTAAACCACAAGAGCCAGGGCAAGGATCTCTACATTTCAATTGGAAGCATGATTCACTACTGGGGCAGTCGGAGTTTATTGTACATTCAGGTCTGCAATTTGGCGGAGTACCTATATAATTAACTGAGCAAGCACACGAAGCTTGACCGTTTATATTTCTACATTCTGAATTTGGACCACAGGGAGAAGGCACACATGGATTTGTTTGACTAGGTGGTGCCAGTTGGGTTTCAGCTAAAAATAAATTATTATTATTATTTTTTTTCATTAAGAAAACTAGAAACAAAAACTATGAGAAATAAAAATGACTGCAATATTTGTTTTATAGGACACCATAATTTGAATATACTGACAGTAGCGCAAAAACTTACTTGGGCTTGGGAAGCAATTAACAAATGGATCACCGGTGAATTTTTCTGGACATGAGCAAATGGGACTGTGATTGATTGATTCACATCTGGCACTTAGACCACAAGTTCCAAGACATGGATCAGTACATTTTCTATTAATACAAGCTTTGGTAGAGGCACATTCAGAATTTATTGTACATTCAGGACGACATCCTGGTGGTTGACCTAGGAATCCTGATAAACATGAACAGACAGCTTGCCCGTTTATCTCTCGACATTGACTATTAGGACCACAGGGAGACGGATTACATGGTTGTCTTGCAGTAACTGGTTCTAGGTAATAGGAAAATATACATTAATTTTTGATACAGATCTTAATATAAAAATAATGTTGTCAAATGTTTGGCTGAAAGATATCAGATGGTACCATTGTGACTAAATTACTCGAAAAACTACATTTTTAAATCTTTTTAGTTAAATTAATGAACAACAATCCTACCGAATTTTTCTTAAATGTTCTTAAAAATCAGATTTGTAACCGCATTGAATCAGAGTTTGAAACAGAAACTGTTGAAGGTATGTGTACCCATAGAAATTTTTTAACCATGCATTTGAATTACAAAAGTACCTCGGGGAATAATTTTGCAATAAGTAAAAGGATCTCCAGTAAATTGTGGATTACAGGAACACGTTGGAAGATGATTTATGACTAGACATTCCGCGTTCATTCCACAAGTTCCCGGACAAGGATCTTTACATCTTGAATTGACACATGCTTGATTTGAGGGACAATCTGAATTTAATACACATTCTGGTCGGCATCCTTCATACGGATTGCCAATATAATTAGAAATACAGCTACAAGATGCTGCTTCATTAAGCTCAGTACAAATGGCGTTTGATCCGCATGGAGAAGGTGTGCAAGGTCTTACAGTTGGAGCAACTGGAGCTAAAAATTCATGTAATTTGTATTTAAAAAAATGGACTATTCAATTAATTTTGTATTTCGAAGTGCTTCTACTTACTGTCTCTAATGATACATTGTGTAAAAGGATCTCCAGTGTAATTGGGCATGCAGTTGCACATTGCAGTATGACTTACAACGTGACACTCTGCATTTGCACCACAAGAATCTATACATGGGTTTCTGCATTTTTGATTAATACATGCTAATTGACGAGAACAGTCAGTATTACTAACACACTCTGGTCTACAATTTGGTGGTGAACCGATAAATTCATTCATGCAAGAGCATGTAGGTGAATTAGCTATCACTTGGCACTGTGAATTCGGACCGCATGGTGACGGTTGACAAGGGTTTATTGGCTTTATTGGTTCTTCAGCTAGAATGAAAAAGGATTTTTAAATAAATAATAAGTATTTTCAAAGGTTCTCTAAACAGAAAAGTATTTCTTTTTAATCTTACGTGTTGGTATGCATCTGATAAATGGATCGCCCGTGAATCTGGATGGGCAGCTACAAATTGGACTATGATTGACAATTTCGCACATGGCACTTATTCCACAAGTACCAGGACAAGGATTTACACATTTTTGATTAGAACATGCTTCATTCTGTGGGCAATCAGTACTAACTACACACTCCGGTCTACACGAGGGTGGACTTCCTAGAAAGCCTAAAATACATGTGCATACTGCATGACCGTTAACAACACGACAGTCACTGTTGGATCCGCAAGGCGATGGGCTGCATGGATTAACTGGTTGTTCATCTGTTTTTAAATAAATTGAAAAGATAGAAAAAGTAAAGAGCTTTGGTTTTAAAAAATATGGAATATTCTGGTACCTCTCAAAGGAGAACACTGACTGAATGCATTTCCAGTCATGTTTGCTGGACAACTGCACATGGGCACGTAATTAATTACTGTACAAAGAGCTTCAGTTGCACAAGCACCGATACATGGATTTACACATTTATTTCGTAAACAAGCTCTATCTCTAGGACAATCGGAATTTAGAACACACTCAGGTCGACATCCAGCTAATGGATTTCCTTGGAATTCCGGTAAACATGTACATTGTCCATTGTCGCATCGGGTATTGGCACCACAAGGTGAAGGATTGCATTTATCTACTGGAATTGGCTCGACAGCTGAAATAAATTGTTCTTTTCTAAATATCCATTTTTTTGGATTATATCATTTTAGTTCTATATACCCAACTAGAAACGGTTTGCTTACATATTGCTTGAATGTTACAATTCTCAAATGGATTTCCGGTATATCCTTCAGGACAATTACAAATTGGTATGTGATTATTGACCATACATCTAGCACCAAAACCACATGATCCTGGACAAGGATCTCTACATTTTTCATTCATACAAGCCATGTTGCTTGAACATTCTGAATTAATGGTGCATTCCGGTCTACAATTGGGTGGTTGTCCTCTGTAATTTGGTAAGCATGTACAAGCTGGAACTCCGCCAATGTCACGACATTGAGAAAAGCTACCGCATGGAGAAGGTACACAGGGGTCGGATCTAATAGGTTCCGTTATCATTGTAGCTGTAAATGATAAATTAGATGAATGATGATACACGATCTGTTTATCATTTTTCCGGTAAATAGTCTCATTCTTACGTGGAACTGGTGTACATCTTGTGAATGGATCTCCGCTGAATCCTGTGTTGCAAGAACAAATGGGACTGTGATTCACGACAACACATTGAGTACCGATACCACAAGGACTGGGGCATGGATTAACGCATTTTTGATTGATGCACGCGAGTTCCGCTGGACATTCTGCACTTGCAAGACATTCAGGTCGACATCCTGGAGGACTACCGATGTAATTAGGTTGACAAGTACAAACTGCTTGACCATTAACTTCTCTACACTGACTATTTGGTCCACAAGGCGTTGGATTGCAGACGTCTCTTTGATCCTCGGCTGATGATTACGTAGCGTTAAAAGATGAATTTACAAAATAATGGTAATGTGATTGCAGGGTAAACTTACTTATTGTTATAAAATTACAGAATGTGAAAGGATCTCCCGTAAATCCTGAACGGCAGCTACACGTTGGTAAGTGATTAATGACCATGCATTCGGCATTTGGAGCACATACTCCAGGACAGGGATCTCTACATTTCGATTGTAAACATCCCTGATTGGATGGACAGTCAGAATTTATGATACATTCAGGTCTACAACCATCATAGGGATTGCCGATGTAGTTAGGAAGACATGTACAGGATCCTGCGTTGTTTGATTCTTTGCAAATGGCATTCGCGCCACACGGAGAGGGTATGCAGGGAGAAGCGGGAGGTTCATTTGGCCTTTCAGCTGCAAAAATATTTTACAAATAATCGTAAACTCACTAATTTCACAATAAGAAGTCTTTTTCACTTTATAAAATTATTAATTTAAAATTCTAAAGGAACTAATGTTATGGACAATTGTTTAAAAACAGAAAATTCTAAAATTATGGAATGTATATAAAACTTACTTGGTAGTAGTAGACATTGCACAAATGGATCTCCACTAAAGGGACTAAGACACATACAATTAGGCGTGTGACTGACTACTCTACATTCGGCATTAGAACCGCAAGATCCGGGGCAAGGATCTCTACATTTTTCATTAAGACACGCTTGGTTACTAGGACACTCGGAGTTACTAATACACTCAGGTCTACAATTTGGAGGTGATCCAATATATTGTGGTTGACATGAACAAGAAGGTGCATTATTTACAACTTGGCAAGTTGAATAGGGACCACATGGCGATGGTTGGCAAGGGTCTTTCGGTGCTGCTGGTGCCTCCGCTATGAAATTAAAGGACATTACATTTTTTTGCATTTTAACTTTTTTTCATTATATTTAAATGCATATTTTTATTTATATTCCCTTACGTTGTTCAAAGCATCTGGTGAAGGGATTTCCTGTGTAACGTTCAGAACATGAACAAATCGGATTGTGATTGATTACTTCACACTTGGCTTGTACACCGCACGTTCCGAGACAAGGATTAATGCATTTCTGATTAGTACATGCTTGATTTCTAGAACAATCCGAACTTCCAATACATTCAGGTCTACACATTGGTGGGCTTCCTAAATATCCAGGCGCACAAGTACATACAGCCTGATCGTTTACCTCACGACATATACTATTGGGTCCACATGGTGATGGGCTGCAGGGTTTCGCAGTGGGTGGGGCTGATGGTAATTTAAAACATAACATAAAAATTCGTCATTTGATGGAACATAATATTTGACTGATATTAAGCAATTTAGTTAAGGTAGGTTAAGTAAAAATTAGGCAATTAGCAAAATTATATCTGTAAAGTGAATGATCTTTTTAAAAAATACCTTTTACGGTTTGGCATAGAATTAGGGCGCTACCAGTCGTTCCTGACGGGCAACTGCACATTGGTATATGGTTAAAAACGTTGCAGAGAGCACCTGATCCACAAGCATTTATACAGGGATCCACACATTTATTTTGTACACATGCTCTACTACGATCACAGTCTGTGTTTAAGACACATTCTGGTCTACAACCAATTATAGGATTGCCAAAATATTCCGATAAACAGGAACATGTTCCATTATCACATCTAGTATTAGGTCCACAAGGAGATGGGTTACATGGATCAGATTCAATTGGACTCGTTGCTTTACAAAGATAGAAATTTATAAATTAACATTTATATTTAATATTTGGTAAAATTATTTAATGGATTTTAAAATAAAGGTGGATTGCTTACGTGGTGGTTGGTAGGTACAGCCTGTAAACGGATCTCCCGAATAACTTTGCATGCAATTACAACTGGGAATGTGATTGAATACATTGCAAATTGCATTCAAACCACATGATCCTAGGCACGGGTCTTGACAACGTTCGTTAATGCATGCTCTGGTGCTGGGGCAATCGGAATTAATTGTACATTCTGGACGACAAGTGGGTGGATTCCCAATATAAGTGGGTAAGCAAGAACAGGAAGGTATTCCATTAATATTTTGACACTGTGAAAATGGTCCGCACGGAGATGGATAACATGGGTCTCTCGTTTCATCAGGTACTGGTTGCATAACTGAAATAGTTTTCGGGTTAAGAGTAACAAACATCAAAATTTAATATAAAATATGTATTATAAATAATAATTTAATAACTGTATTTGCTCTGAACAATTTTTCGTTCAGAAGCAAATTAACTAATATCATTCCTGCATAAAAAGCTAGATGTAGAAATATTAATTTGTATTCAACATCGCAACATAAGACAGTTTGATATAAAGTGGCAAACAATAATTCGCAATATTCGAATTTCTAATACTCATAAATTTAACTTTTTCTGCAGGCAATCTATATATTTGTTGTCAGTCTTGTTAAGAAAAAAGTACTTCTTACTTGGTAAGGGGAAACAACTTGAGAATGGTTCGCCTGTAAATCCTGATTTACATGAGCAAAATGGACTGTGCGTAAGTACTCTGCATATGGTATTTTGACCACAAGTACCCGCACAAGGATCAACACATTTTTGATTAACGCATGCTCGATTTAGTGCACAATCTGCACTCACGGTACATTCGGGTCTACAATTTGGTGGACTTCCGGTATAAGTTGGTAGACATGAACACACGGATTGAGCATTTATAACCCGACATTGACTGTAAGGTCCACAGGTCTGGCAGGGTAAACTTATTTCGGAATCCGCTTCTGTTAATAATTATATAAAAATTTATGTCTTTATTATTTCAATTATTTATGTCGACTCCTTGCACTCAATAAATATGAAGGCAACTCTAAGGTGACATTACAGAAAATCGTCAAAATAATAAGTTCCATCGTCATTGTTGCAATACTAATACAGCACCAAATTTTGAATTGTCATCTCATTTGAGGAAAAATTATTCTAATTAGGAATTGTAATTTTGACGATTTTCTGTAATCACTAAAATCTGAGAGTCTCCTAATTATTCACTTAGAGCAGGAGTTAGTTATGTTCTAATTGTTAAAATTTATAAATAATTTCCAAACAATATTGTTAAATTTCTCTAACAATAGTTTTTGGTAATTATCTTAAATATTATTTGTGTTATGTAAAATCTTACGTAGTGGTGAAATTTTTTGACAACTGATAAATGGATTTCCAGTAAATGTTTCAAGGCAAATGCAAGTGGGTGAATGATTGAGAACATAGCATTGTGCATTTTGCCCACAAGTTCCAGGACAAGGATCCGTACACTTAGAACCAATACACGCGAGATTTGATGGACAATCAGAATTTAATACGCATTCGGGTCTACATCCTTCATAAGGATTTCCAATATAATTTGCTAAACAACTGCATGATCCAGCGTTTTGCTGAATCTTGCATTCCGTATTGGCACCACAGGGAGATGGTATGCAGGGATTTAATGGTTCCACTGGTCGTTCGACTAGAAAAAATTATCAGTAATATCTATTAAATAAACAAATCATTTATAAATCTTTGGATTTAAAATAAAAATTAATAAAATGCAAAAGTTTAGCTAAAATATATGTTCAGGATACAACGGTTTTAAATATCCTAAGATATATTTTAGTCAAATTTTTGTTTAAATTTAAAGAACTTTCCAGTTTTAAAATCTTACATTGCGTCAAGACACATGAAGTAAATGCGTCTCCTGTATATCCGGTAGGACAAACACACATTGGTGTGTGACTGACAACGCGACATATGGCACTAGTACCACAAGATCCTGGACAAGGATTTTGACACTTGCTATTAAGACAAACAAGCTGACTAGCACATTCACTGTTACTAATACATTCTGGTCTACAATTTGGTGGTGAACCAATAAATTCCGTTAAGCAGGAACATGAGGGAGATTCATTGATGACTTGACATTGTGAGTTCGGTCCACAAGGTGATGGTTGACATGGATTCACAGCAGGTGGAGGGGTTGGAGCTTTAAAATTTAATTTTGAATTAAAAATAACTCATAAGTATAATAAAGTTAATAAAGTAGCTAAATTAATTTCTTTTTAGAAAAAATATTTATCAAAATGATACAAATAATCGTTTTGAATGCTTACGATTAGTGAAACACTGAATAAATGGGTTTCCTGTCATTCTTTCGGGACAACTGCATACTGGGTTGTGATTGACGACTCTGCATTCAGATCTAATGCCACAAGAGCCAGGACAAGGATCAGTACATCTTTGATTGTTACATGCTTCATTTCGAGGACAATCAGAGCTCACTACACATTCTGGTCTACAAGTTGGTGGTGCTCCAATGAATCCAGAAATACATGAACACACCGCTTGATTGTTATTTTCTCTACATTGACTGTTTGGACCACAGGGGGATGGGTTACATGGATCTTCGTTGATTGGAGCTGTTTGTATAATTGATAACGAAAAAATTGAATGAAACAATTGCTAAACATTCAAATTTGCAAATATTGTATGATTACATTTGATGCTAATGTTTGTGAATAATATTTCATTTTAAGGTGTACCTTGCAGTGCTGTACATAAAACAAAAGGATTTCCCGTCATTCCTGAAGAGCACGAACACATTGGTATGTGATTAAAAACATTGCAAAGGGCTCTTTGACCACAAGTTCCGATACAAGGGTCGGTACATTTGTTTCGGATACAAGCTAGGTTCATTTGGCAATCGGTATTCATGACACATTCCGGACGACAACCTATGTAAGGATCTCCTTGATATTCAGGTAGGCAAGTACATAGTCCATTATCACATCGTGTATTTGTTCCACAGGGTGAAGGAATACATGGGTTTGTTTCAGAGATAGATGCTATAAAATAAATTATTGCTATGAAATAAGATGTCAGTTTTTATTATTTTGGATAAAAGGAATTAGATCTTACGTTCTTGAACGGGATTCAAAGCACATTGTTGAAAAGCATCACCAGTGTATCCTTCTGGACAAGAACAAACTGGCGTGTGGTTGACAACATTACATTGTGCTGAAACTCCACAGGATCCTGGACAAGGATCTCTACACTTCGCTTGAATGCAAGCTTGGTTACTAGGACATTCTGAATTTAAAGTACATTCTGGACGACAATTTGGTGGAGATCCTATGTAATTTTGAAGACAAGTACAAGACGGTATTCCTCTAATGTTTCGACATTCCGAAAAAGGTCCACAAGGATTTGGAATACATAGGTCAGAATTATCGTTTGTAATAGCGGGGACATCTAAAATAAATTTCAATTTTAGTTGTAAATTTGGAAAAAATTTTAAATACTCCAAGTATACTTAATTATAATGTAAAGAAAATTAAATTGTGTAAACTTACTGGGTACAGTAAAACATATTGTGAAAGGATCTCCAGTAAAACCTGGAGCACAATTACAAAGTGGCACATTGTTTCTAACTCTACAGAGTGTATTTTGTCCACAAGAAGCCGGGCATGGATTTACACATTTTTGGTTCATACATGTTCTGTCAGTAGGACATTCCGAATTACTGACACATTCTGGTCTACAACCAGGCGGACTTCCATTGAAATTGGGAAGACATGTGCAAACAGCTATCTGATTAATTACTCTGCATTGACTATTGGGTCCACAGAAAGAACTGGCACAGGGATCAGTGTTGTCTGTTTGAACTTTTGTAAAAGATATCATAAGATAAAACATTTGAATATTCATATTTGAAAGCATTAAGATATTTCATAACAGTAGTTAAAAATTTCCTAAAAAGAAAAGATATAACCTACCATCCTGTTTTAAAACGCAATTACTGTAGGGATTTCCAGTATAAGAAGCAATACAGGAGCACGATACAAGGTGATTAGTGACAAAGCACTCAGCATTTAAACCACAAGTTCCTGGACATGGATCAATGCATTTAGAATTGATACAAGCACGGTTTAATGCACAGTCGGAATTTAGCACACATTCTGGTCTACATCCTTCATAAGGGTTTCCGAAATAATTTGGCAAGCAAGAGCAAGCTCCTGCGCCATTTTCTTCAGTACACATTGCATTGGAACCACAAGGTGATGGTGTACAGGGAGTTGGTTTATCTTCTATTGCTGTAAGGGTTTTAAAGTATTTTCAAATTCTCTTTCAAGAACTTTATTTCTATAGTGAAATTATAAGTAATGGTAAAAAGTCGCTTACGAAGAATGGATTCAGGTGTACATTGTGTAAATGGATCTCCTGAGAATCCATCACTACAGAAACACATTGGAGTGTGACTCACTGCTCTGCATTGTGCATTAATTCCACAAGAATTAGGACAAGGGTCTTTACACTTCTGATTGATACATGCTTGACTCGTTGGACATTCACTATTGCTAATGCATTCGGGTCGACAATTTGGCGGAGAATTTACAAAGTTTGGTAAACAAGAACATGAAGGCGAGTCGTTAATGACTTGGCATTGTGCATTTGGTCCACAAGGTGATGGTTGACATGGATTAATTTTCACTGGTTCTTGAGCTGTTAAAAAAGTAAATAGTTTGATTCGCTGTTAATTTGAGAAATAAAATTGATTTAAAATTGACTTTCTCACGTTTTGGTATACATTGAAGGAATGGATCTCCTATAAATTCTGATGGACATTGACACACTGGATTATGATTTATAACTCTACAATTTGCTCTCAAGCCACATGCTCCCGTACATGGATTCTGACATTTCTGATTGATACAAGCTTGATTTAGAGGACAATCTGAATTTAAAGCACATTCGGGTCGACATGTTGGTGGACTTCCCAAAAATCCTGAGATACAAGAACATACTGCTTGACCATTATTTTCTCGACACAAACTATTTGGACCACAAGGTGATGATTCACATGGAGACACAGAAGGCACTATTTCAACAATTTCTGTGTTAGGTTAATGTTTAGAAAATAAGTAAGGTAAGCTGAAAATAAAGGTATACCTTGTACAGGATTACACATAACAAAAGCATTTCCTTCAAATCCTGTTGGACAACTACACATTGGTGTATAATTGATTACGTTACACACTGCATTTGTGGCACAAGTTCCTGGACAAGGATCTTGACATTGATTACGCACACAAGCTCTGTCTCGAGGACAATCTGTATTGAGGACACATTCTGGTCTACATCCTGTGTAAGGATTTCCAATATAGTTCACTAAACAGGTGCAAACACCATCGTTACAATTTGCATTTGCTCCACAAGGAGATGGAATACAGGGATTTTCTTCATTTACAGGTTCTATGAGTAGAAATTAATCATTAGAATAAAAAAAAACTAAACAGAAATTTAAAGAAACTGTTTGTATAATAAACTTACGTTGTTGGGTTATTAAATTGCATTGAGTAAAAGGATCACCAGTAAATCCATCGCGACACCGACAAATTGGAATATGATTTAAAACGGAGCATTCAGCTTCAAATCCACAAGATCCTGGACAAGGATCCCTACAACGTTCCTGCATGCAAGCTCTATTGCTGGGACAGTCAGAATTTATAGTACACTCTGGACGACAATTGGGTGGACTTCCAAAATAGTTTGGTAAACAAGAACACGCTGATGTTTCTCCAACTTGTCGACATATGGCGTTAGCACCACATGGATTTGGCAGGCAAGGATCTTTATTTGATAATATCGGTTGCGTGGATTCTAAAATATTTTTCAGGTATTTTAAAATAATTTTAAAAATCTCTCTACTATGAAATTGGAGAATTGTAATAATAATTTTACATTCCGTACCGTTATTCAAGAAACATCTCGAAAATGGATCTCCAGTAAATCCGCTCTTACAGAAGCAAACAGGACTGTGATTAATAACTCGACAGTCTGTATTCATTCCGCAAGGTTCTGGACATGGATTAACACATTTTTGATTTACACAAGCTCGTGATGTTGGACAATCGGAACTGACAGTACATTCTGGACGACAAGCTGGTGGACTACCAGTATAGGTGGGTAGACAAGAACAAACTGCTTGACCATTGTTCATTCTACATTCACTATATGGTCCACACGGGGTAGGATTACAAAGATTTGTCGGATTTTCAGCAGCTATAGAAATGTTTAGAAAATATAATAATTATACTCCCATAAAAAAGGGTACAGATCGAAATTGGGATGGCCAAAACGTCTTTATTGATATTTTTCTTTGATTCTCTAGAAAATGTGGAAAAAATTATTGAAAAAATAAAGCTGCAACAACGAAAAAGAATTTTTGGCCAACCCAGTGCATAATTCTGGATGAAAAAAAAAAAAAATTAATATCTTACGAGTATCAGGCATTGGTATACAAATTCGTAAAGCATCTCCCGTAAAGCCTTGAATACAAGTGCAAACTGGAGAATGATTTATGGCTTGACAAATAGCATTCTGACCACACGTTCCAGGACACGGATCTTGACACTTGGATCTAGTACAAGCTAAATTTGCCGAACAATCAGAATCTATTACACATTCGGGTCTGCATCCTTCATAAGGATTTCCAATATAATCTGTCAAACAAGAACAAGACCCAGCTAATCCTGATTCTCTACAAATGGCATTTGTACCACATGGTGTTGGTGTACAGGGTTTAGATTCTTGATCTGTTTAAAGTAAAAGTAAATTACAGGGAAATGTTAATTGCGCTGATAATAATTTCTTCAATATAAAATATCGAATAAAAACTCACTTATAATAGGGGTACATCGAGTGAAAGGATCTCCAGTAAATCCTGTATTACATAAGCACATTGGAGTATGACTAAAAACTCGACATTCTGTGTTTGAACCACATGAACCTGGACATGGATCTGCGCATTTTCTGTTAATACAAGCTTCTCTAGAGCTACACTCACTGTTACTAACGCATTCTGGTGAGTCTACAATATTTGGTAAATTAGCGCAAGATGGTAAACCGTTTTTAACTTGGCATTGAGATTGTAAACCACATGGCGATGGATTACATGGATCACTAGGTCTAACAGTAATGTCGGCTGTAAATTTCATTAATTCATTAATGCATTGTATCATTAGGAAAACAATTTTTGTACTTTTTTTTATCTTTTTTGAAAATTTTCTTTTCTTAAAATATCAATATTGTAAAAATAGCTTACTTGTTGGTGTTATGCAAGCTTGGAATGGATTTCCGGTTAAGCCTTGACGACAACTACATATTGGATTGTGATTTACTACTGTGCATTCGGCACTTAAGCCACATGAGCCTAAACAAGGATTTACACATTTTTGATTGATACATGCAGTCGCGGTAGAACAGTCGGAAGATACGACACATTCAGGGCGACACAATGGTGGACTTCCTGTGAAACCTTCAATGCATTTACATACAGAAATGCCATTAATAGCTTGACAGTGACTGTTGGGACCACAAGGTGATGGGGAACACGGTGTCGTTAAAACATCAGCTAATAAAAGGGAAATTTGTCATTAATATCACACATTTTATTTTAAAGCAAAGTACGCTTTTTTATTTAATCAAAATATGAATAAAAATATTCTTTTGCATTTTTTAATACCTGGTCGCTGGGAACAAAGAACAAAAGCATTTCCTTCAGTGCCGGAAGGACATGTACATATTGGCAAATGATTTATTGTTGAACATTGTGCATTTTGTCCACAAGTTCCAATACAAGGATCAGCACATTTCATTCGAATGCAAGCTTGATTTAGTGGACATTCGTCATTGGCAACACATTCTGGACGACATCCACTGTAAGGGTCTCCTCTAAATTCGAATAAACAAGAACAAATTCCATCACGACAAACAGTGTTTGGTCCACACGGCGAAGGATTGCATGCGTCATTAACAGAGGTATCAGTAACTATAAGGGAAGCATAATATTTTCAATTTTAAAAATATTCTTTCTAAAAGTGACGAGATATTAAAGCAAATGAAAATATATTTCTTTCACAGAAAAAAACTAGAAAAATAAATGTAAATTATTCTCATTTGTTTCGAGTATTCCATTAAAAAATAAATGAGATTTTATTTCTCTTACTGATTGCAGAATTCATAAGACACATGGTAAATGCATCGCCGGTATATCCTTCAGGACATACACAATTGGCAGCGTGGTTAACTACACTACATCTGGCTTCGACGCCACATGCTCCAGGGCATGGATCTCTGCATTTTTCTCTGATACAAGCTTGATTCAATGGACATTCCGAGTTTATAGTACATTCCGGTCGGCAGTTTGGTGGTATACCAATATAATTGATGTCACATGAACATGATGGATTTCCTCCAGTATCACGACAAAGGGAATTTGGTCCACAAGGTGATGGAAGACAAGGATTTGTTGGTTTCGTAATTTGTGGATCCATTGGGCCTAGAGTGATTTTAGGTACAAAAAATCCATTAATCCACCTTTTAAGTGAATTTGAATACTAAATTAAATGAACAAAACAATAAAACGTTTTTTACTAACTTTGTATTGCAAAACAAAATGTGAATGGATCTCCAGTGAAACCGGATTTACATCCACATATCGGATTGTGATTTATAACTCTGCAATCTGCATTCATGCCACAAGTGGCAGAACACGGATTGACGCATTTTTGATTGATGCACGCTTGCGAAAGAGAACATTCGGAATTTACTACACACTCTGGTCTACATCCAGGCGGTGTTCCAATAAATTTAGGAAGACATGAACATACAGCATTTCCAGAATTTTCTCGACAAATACTATTTGGTCCACATGGTGAAGGCTGACAGGGATTAACAGCTGCTACTACTGAGGAGAGGAAAATTTAATTAGGAAAGACTTACCTACAATGTATGATAAATTTTTATAATTGGAACTTTCGTAAATACCTGGCGCTCGTTCTTCAATACAATAACGGAATGGGTCTCCTGTAAATCCAGGATTACATGTGCATGTTGGAGAGTGATTTATAACTTGACAAACAGAATTTTGTCCACAAGTACCAGGGCAAGGGTCTTGACATTTAGATCTCACACAAGCTCTACTTGGAATGCAGTCGGTACTTAATACACATTCGGGACGACAACCTTCATATGGATCTCCAATATAATCTGGTAAACAAGAGCAAGAACCTGCACCATTTCTTTCCTTACAAATGGCATTACTACCACATGGTGATGGGACACATGGTTGCGACAAATAAATTGGTATTTCTAGAAAGAATTAAATATGTTTTCATGTTCTTTTTAAATTGAAACCAACATTCTGATTAAGAATAGTTTGGTTAAAATGCTTACGTTGTTGAGCGTTACATTGAGTGAATGGATCTCCTGTGAATTCAGCAACACAGGTACAAATTGGAGTGTGTGTGATAACGTTACAAACAGCATTAGCTCCACAAGTTCCAATGCAGGGATCTTTGCATTTCTGATTGATGCATGCAAGTTTGTTTAAACATTCGTCATTACTGATACATTCTGGTTTGCAATATGGTGGAGAGCCAATAAATTCTGGCATACATGAGCACGACGGTGTATTATTAATTACTCGACATTGTGAATTTGGACCACATGGTGATGGTTGACATGGGTCTTGAACTGGTTGTTCAATTGCTGTAATATTATTTATTTTTAGATATATTTTTTTAATCGTGCTGCAAATAAAAAAATTGTAACTGCAAAAATTTTCTAGCAAATTCTTACGCATTGGTATGCATCTGATGAATGGATTGCCAGTCATTCTTTCAGGACAACTACAGATGGGATTATGACTGACCACTTGGCATAATGCAGAAATACCGCATGATCCAACACATGGATTGCTACATTTTTGATTAATACAAGCATCCATTGGAGGGCAATCAGTACTGACAATGCATTCTGCTCTACAAGTTGGTGGAGTACCGATAAAGCCAGAAAGACATGAACAGACACCCTGTCCATTTATTTCTCGACATTGACTATTAGGACCACATGGTGAAGGGTTACATGGTTGAACGGTAACTACGGGATCTATTTAAATATCAAAATAATTTTATATGTTTCAAACTATTAGTCAATAAATTTTTGTAACTTATAAATTTCATAATAAGAATTTTTTAGCCTAAACACATAAATTGTTAAAATACACAATTTGTTGATACCTCTAATTGGTGAGCAGGAGACAAAAGCATTTCCTACCATGCCTGTTGGACAAGTACACATTGGAATATGATTATAAACGTTACATAAGGCATTTTGACTACAAGTTCCAGGACAAGGATCAATGCATCTATTTCGAAGACATGCTCTATTTTGCGGACAGTCGGTATTTAGGACACACTCTGGTCGACAACCAGAAAACGGATCTCCGAAATAATTTGCTTGACAGGCACAAGTATCATTGTCACAAATGGCATTAGGTCCACAAGGCGATTGACTACATGGATCCACTGGTCTTTCTTGTATGGCTATAATTGTTTGAACATTTTTTTGTAGTATTTTGTAGGCTTTTTAAAAACAATTTTTGGATTACATTTTGGTCTTTGTGTTTGCAAATAAAAAATAACTGCTGTTTTTTAAATAATAAAAAACTTCTTCACCTACATTAATGTCATTAAAAACAGAAGATGTTTTTTATTTTAAAATTCAAAGGCCTGAAAGTAATCTAGAAGTTGTTTAAAAATATTTAAAGTGTTGTACAAAAATGGAAAAAGCATGACATCTTACGTGTAACAGGTTGCAAGATACAGTTGGTAAATGGGTCCCCAGTATATCCTTCTAGACAAGTGCAAATTGGCACATGATTATTTACTAAACACTGAGCTAAGATTCCACAGGAACCAGGACAAGGATCTCTACATTTTTCTCGTATACATGCTTGATTACTTAAACAATCAGAGTTTATAGAACACTCAGGTCGACAGTTTGGAGGACTTCCGATGTAAGATTGTAAACAAGAGCAGGATGGTATGTCTCCGATTGGTCTGCATTCCGAAAATGGTCCACAGGGAGATGATAAACAAGGGTTTTGCACAACAGACGGTGTGACAGGTTCTGTGTTTAAATTTGGGAAAATAAAAAATTAAACTTAAATATATCACTTACAAAAAAAGTTAGTTTTTTGATTTTTTTAAGATGAATTAATGATCATGTAATGAATGACGTTACCAAATGGAACAATAATGGAAGTGAAGAAAGAAATTTTGTTCTCATTAGTACATTTTCTTTTTTTAAACTTACTTTGAACAGGGAAACATCTAATGAATGGATCTCCAGTGAATCCATTTTCACAAGAGCAAATTGGACTGTGGTTTCTTATTGTACAAACGGCATTTCTTCCACAAGTATTGGTACATGGATTGTTACATTTTAAATTTATGCAAGCTCTATCCATTGGACATTCTGAACTAATTGTACATTCAGGACGGCAAGATGGTGGACTTCCGGAATATTGTGGTTGGCAACTACAAACTGCTTGTCCGTTATTGTTTCGACATAAACTATTAGCGCCACAAGGTGTTGGATTACAAGGATCTGTTTGGTCTTCTGTTATCACTATGAAAATGATAAATATTTTGGTAATAAAATTGACTGATTTAAAATTATTAAGTAATTAACTAAACTAATAAGTTTAGTTAATTACTTGGATACTTGATAATAATAATTTTGGCACATGATTACCAGATTGTGGAACAGGTGAACAGAGACGAAATGGATCTCCAGAAAATCCGGTTCGGCATGCACACTGAGGTAAATGATTGGCAATGTAACAATCAGCATTTTGAGCACAAGTACCAGGACATGGGTTTCGACATTTTGATCGTATGCACGCCAAATTTGAAGGACAATCGGAACTTATGGTACACTCTGGTCGACATCCTTCATAAGGATTTCCTAAATAGTCTGATAGACATGAACAGGATCCTACATTTCCTTGTTCTTTACAAACGGCATTTGCACCACAAGGGGATGGTGTGCAGGGGGATACATTTTCAACAGGTATTTCTAGGAAAACGGTATAAATTGATTATTTTGCATACAAATTTTTGTTTCTATAATTTTTTAAGTGTCGATGGCAGAGATTTTCAGTAATTTCTGCCACCTGCACTTTGAAACGTTATTTGTAATAATTTTTTGCTTCAAATACTCTAGCGTAAAAAAAGGGTTGACTTACGTTGCTCGAAAGTGCATTGCATAAAAGGATCTCCAGTGTATGACGCAGGGCACATGCACATGACAGAGTGACTGACAACTCTACATTCTGCATTCGTACCACAAGATCCGGGACAAGGATCACTGCATTTTTGATTGATACATGCTTGTTGACTTGGACACTCACTATTACTGACACATTCTGGCCTACAATTTGGTGGCGATCCTAAAAATCCTGCCAAACAGGCACATGATGGCGCGTCATTCACAACATTACATTGGGAATTAGCTCCACAAGGTGAAGGTTGACATGGATTTATGTTTGGTCTTACAGCTGAAAAGGGAAAGGCGCAATTAAGAGCCTGACAAATATTATTTAAATAAATTGAATAGCTAATTATTTCTTACGTATCACTTCACAGACAGAAAACGGAGAACCAGATAGTCCATCAGGACAACTGCAGATGGGATTATGATTGACAACTTGGCATTGTGCACGTAAGCCACAAGATCCTTCGCATGGATTAATGCATCTTTGGTTACTGCATGCTTGATCTTTCGGACAATCTGAACTAACAACACATTCTGGTCTACAGGAAGGAGGACTTCCAATGTAACCAGTAACACAAGTACAAACCGCTTGATTATTAATTGGTCGACATCGACTATTTGGTCCACAAGGTGATGGATTACAAGGATCAGCTTGAATTGGATCTACAATATAATTCGTTGTTAATTTGATTTCTTGTTAAACTGAAATCAAATTTTTTTTAACTTGGACGTACCTCTTTGAGGAGAACACATTAGAAAAGCATTTCCTGACATGCCAGATGGACAAGTGCACATTGGAACGTGATTAAAAACGTTACAAAGGGCATTTTTGCCACAAGTGCCAAGGCACGGATCTACGCATCTGTTTCGAAGACATGCTCTGATTTGTGGACAGTCGGTATTTAGAACACATTCTGGCCGACAACCAGTGTAAGGATCTCCTGTATAATCTGTTTGACAGCTACAAATACCGTCGTTACATAGAGCGTTTGTTCCACAAGGGGATGGATTACAAGGATCTGATATCACGGGTTCTTTTGCTAAAACGGTAAATACTGTTATTATTCTGTCTCTTAGAGATTTTCATCAAAGTAAAAAGTAATGTCTTACAAGGTGGTGGTATTGGGAGACAGTTCACGAAAGGATCACCAGTAAAACCTTCAACACAAATGCAAGATGGTACATGATTAAGAACCATGCATTGCGCTGATACTCCACATAAACCTGGGCATGGATCTCTACATTTCTGATTTAAACAAGCTTGATTACTTGGACAATCTGAATTTATAGAACACTCAGGTCTACAATTAGGCGGTGATCCAATATATGAAGGCAAACATGTACAAGCTGGTAAACTATTCACATCGCGACATTCTGAAAATGGTCCACAAGGCGTGGGTAAACATGGATTTTGAGAAATTGGATCTGCTATTGGTTCTGAAAGATAATTTTTATGTAAAAATTAGTTTTTAAGTTTGTAAATATTGTTTAATTTTTTGTAGAAACAAGAAGGCATCTTACTTGGCAAAACAAAACATATTGTGAGAGGATCTCCCGTAAATCCGGCTTTACAAGTGCACATGGGACTGTGATTTAAAACCCTACAGTCTGTCGCTATACCACAGGAAGCTGGACATGGATTTATACATTTTTGATTAACACATGCTCTGTCTAGAGAACATTCAGTGCTTACAACACATTCAGGTCGACATCCAGGTGGACTGCCAGAGTAGCCTGGCAAACATGAGCAAACGCTTTGTTCGTTTACATTTCGACATTGACTGTAAGGGCCACAAGGAGAACGAGAACATGGATCTACTTTGTCAGCTACGACTAAAACATTATTTTCAAAATTCGGAATAAAATTTCAGAATTTCTACCAGAAACGTTAATTTTCTTTTTCTTAATAATTAATTACCAGGTTGTTTTGATGGACTGCATTGTCGGAATGGGTCTCCAGTAAAACCAGAAATACAATTGCACGAGGGAATGTGACTTATTACTTGACATTCAGCGTTTAGTCCACATGTACCAGGACATGGATCCTGACATTTGGATCTTATACAAGCTAAATTTTGTGTACAATCTGAATTAACTGTACATTCAGGTCGACATCCTTCATAGGGATTTCCTATATATTCTGGTAAACAAGTGCATGAACCAGCACCATTTTGTTCTCTACATTGAGCATTCGAACCACAAGGTGATGGTGTACATGGTGTTCGATTTTCAACGACGACAGCTGTTGATATAATATTTACTATTTTAAATTTTTTGGATAATTTAACTAGTATCAGAAAAAATTATACAGTAGCAGCATTTGGTGTGGTACTTTCATTCTTTTATTACAAGTAGAATAACTTTTTACATTCGCCGTGATAAATCCGGTGTGGTTTTTTAAAACTGATTGAAGTTCCCTGAAATTTTTTGGAAAAATGCCATCTCCTATTATCGACATAAACCAACTGGTACTGACTCGATGGAATAAATATCGCTCTTGGATCCATGTTAAGGATTTTCCAATTTAAGAATTAGTCTAATAGTGTCTACGAGTCTTTAACTAATAAGGGCAGAAGATTATCTTTTCTTTTATAATTATTTAAAAATAAAAAAGTTAGAGAATAATATTGCAAATTTGAAGCAATTACATTTGTGGTAAATATAATTTTTGTGCCCATGCATATTTTTGTATGAATTTACATGATCTTCTAGACTTCGGTATTTCAGAAATAAAAAACTTTTTCTGAAAAATATCAGTATTCTAAAAATAATATTGGAAAATGCGTGCACAGAAAATTAAAAGGCATTAAAATAAGCTTCAACGCTTATTATTTTAATCCAAAATGTTGCTTATTTTAATACCAAAATGGATTAAAATAAGCAAAATTGGATTAAAATAATAAAGCGTTGCAGCTTATTTTAATGCCTTTTAATTTTCTGTGTGTTTACTAATTTCACATCATTTTATCATATCCATGTCGTTTCTTTCAATAGATGGAGGTGCCCTTATTTCTGAAAATTTCTGAGATTCTCAATCAGCCTAAAGTTGTTCTCTAGTATCTGAATACATATTCTGCATAAAGAGATGATGTACTCAGTGAAAAACTAATTCAACAAGAAAAAAAAACAACTTATCAAAAAAGATTAAGAGTAAATAATTTCATAAAAAAGTTGAGTTTGAAAGTACCACATTATTAAACCCGATTCTATATTTATTCATTCTTTTTAAAATCCGTATCCAAACAAAATGGAAGTTCAAAGTTTAATTTTGTTCCGTTTCGAATTAGAAACGTAAGGAATTTCAAATGGCAAAACTGCACGCGGAAGTTATTTTGGCTTCGAAATTTTTGAGAAACAAAATTGGAAGCTTAACTTTTTTTCTGTTCTATAACGAAATAAAATAAATTTTAAGTTCACCCTAACAGAAATAAAATAGAATTAATCTATTCGATTTTGCTTAAATTAAGTTCCCTGATTCTAGATCACTTTTCTTGTTTGAGTCTCGTCATTCCATGTAGTTTATTTAAGGATTTTAAAAAGAAGGATAAACTCTATGAATAAACAAGATTATCTTACGTTGTTCAAGGATACACTGTGTAAATGGATCACCAGTATATCCAGCTCTGCAAACGCACATTGGTGTATGACTCACAACACGACACTCTGTATTTGAACCACACGATTGAATACAAGGATCGGTACATTTACGGTTCGTGCACGCTTGTTGACTAGGACATTCACTATTGCTAGTGCACTCGGGTCTACAATTTGGAGGTGAACCTAGAAATTCTGGTAGACAAGAGCACGAGGGCGCATTATTCGAAACTCTACACTGGGAGTTTTGACCGCAAGGTGATGGCATACACGGATTTCCAGTCTCTTGAGGTTCATCATTGGCTAAAAGAATAATTAAAGTATGGCACCTTCTTTCAAATTCGATTCCAATTAGGAATTCTTTTATAATCATTCTCCAAAACCTATTTGTCAGAATTTCCATTTGACAAAATTTAATAAAATTGTCATTTAATTTCAAATTAAATTTAGTCAAATGGAAATACGGTAAATTCAATTGAAGAGAAGATTCTTGTAATTTGAGAGAATATTCTTACGGATTGGGTAACATTGGACAAACGGATCACCGGTGTTTTCTGGTAGGCAACTGCAAATTGGATTATGGGAGATAACTTGACATTGTGTTCTAATTCCACAAGTTCCAGGACAGGGATTTATACATTTTTGATTGCTGCATGCAAGGTCACGTGGACAGTCAGAACTAAGGGTACATTCAGGTCTACATGTAGGTGGAATTCCTTGGAAACCCGGCACGCAGGAGCAAACTGGTTGTTCATTAACGACTCTACATTGACTGTTGGGTCCACACGGTGATGGATTGCATGGATTTGTCGAAATGGGTTCTAAAAAAAATTTCATATTTATTACAGAAGGAGAAAACTTAACGATTTGCATTTATGATTTGAAAACATAATTCATTATATTATTTTGTAATAAATTAAAAATCGGAAAAATTTATCAAAATATTCAAAAAGCAGTAGTGGAATTAGTTCGCTATAGAGGTAAATTTGTAATTACACACCTTTTAATATTGAGCACATGACAAATGCATTTCCTGTCATTCCCGGTGGGCAGTTGCACATCGCTATATGATTATAAACCGTACATTGGGCATTTTGGGCACACATTCCAGGACATGGGTCGGTACACTTGTTTCGAATACATGACAGATTTAAACTACAATCTATGTTGAGAACACATTCTGGTCGGCACATGCTGTACGGGTCTCCTTTGTAATCGGGTAAACATGTGCAAATTCCATTATTACACTGGGAATTTGCTCCGCAGGGGGATGGATTACAAGGATCTGTTGTGATTTCGTTTCTTGCTGTAAATATTCATTGCATTGATTTATCATTGTGATCATGAGTATGATTGTGTTTTGTAGCAATGAGAAAGTAGTGGTGAAAAATTCATTAATTTTTATGAAGTAATTCTATTTTTATCTTTTTTTAGTTATCCAATCCGTTAAGTATCGATGGCAAAAATTTTACCAGCAAAATCTTTGTCATTGAAACTTAAGGGCTTGAAAATGAAAAGAATTGATGGCAAATAATATTAAGGGATAATTTTGACTGAAGTGCGATATGATGCAAGTGTTGTGATAAATTAAGAATCTTACGTGGCTGTGTTGGCAGAGGTTGACAATTGCTAAATGGATTTCCAGTGTAACCCTGAGGACATGAACAGGCCGGGGTGTGGTTATTAATGTTACAAATGGCACCAATGCCACATGAACCTGAGCATGGGTCTCTGCATTTTTGCATAATACATGCTCTATCACTTGGACAATCAGAGTTTATGGTACACTCTGGTCTGCAGTTGGGTGGGCTTCCAAAGTAGTTGGGCAAACATGAACAGGAAGGTATACCTCCATTATTTTGACATTGAGCATTTAATCCACATGGAGAAGGTACGCATGGGTTTAATATTTGTGTTGGGTCTATCACGGGCTCTGTAAAATTGACAACATATTTTTTAGAGAAATTTCAAGAATTACACATGAATTCCACAGTAAGCATTTTTTTGCTATGCAAATTTTTCAAGCGCAGTGAAAGCAAAAAAAAATGTTTCATTTCATAAATTCAGTGTGCTCATAGGTAAGAAGTACTTTTTTCTGTTTTGGTTTTGGACTGACAACATTTAGACTGTACGATATAGAGTAAATTAAATTCGCAATTAAAATAATTATCTTACTTGGTATAGGGAAACATCTGGTGAAAGGGTCTCCTGTGTTATCTGGTTTGCAGGCACAAATGGGACTATGGTTTACAACTCGGCAAATTGTATTTAGACCGCAAAGGCCAATACATGGGTCAGCGCACTTTTGATTTATACAAGCTCTATTAGTGGCACATTCGGAACTGATAACACATTCGGGACGACATCCAGGTGGACTTCCTAAATATGTAGGAAGACAACTGCACACTGCCTGTTTATTAACAATTCGGCATTGACTATTTGGTCCACATGGTGTAGGTTCACAGGGATCATCGTTTTCAATAGCTGTAATTAATGTATTAAATGCTAGCTGCTTTCATGTAATAATTACTGAGGTAATTGTTTTATTAAATCCCTTTTTTATATGTAATTCTAATTGCAGTTGAAAATATAAATTTCTTTTGTGATGATATTTATTTTAACACTCAAAGCTGTAATAAAAATTGTGAAAAAATGTAAAATTTCGTGCGATGTTAAAAAATCACAATTGAATTAATGAATTAAATTAGCTGCAATGAGATATATTGCCAAATGAATAGCTTTAGAAAGTTAGGCAATTTACTCACAATTTTCTGAATGTAGAAAATTAGCCTAACTGTTCGAAAATTGATTTATTTGGCAGAAATAATTTCTATTTAACACCATGTGACTGTTAGACCTCGTATTTACGATAATATTAATTTCTCCACGGGATATCTTGTATAACACTGAATGGACTGAACTGAAATTTAAGAAGAAGTTTCAAATATGATCAAGGTGGTTAATGACATGTGAAAGTGTTGATTTTTCGTCGAAATTAACTTTTTTGAAAAATTGTTAGAAAAGGGACATTTTTTCTAACAATTGGACAATTTTTTAAAAAAATATCAACACTTTCGCGCATCACTGCCCATTCTTATTTTAGTCCTTTCTATAGAGTTTCAACAAAACTCATTCAGTATTTTACGAAAATTTTTGACAAGAAATTAAAATTACAGTGAACAATTGACCGCAATGTCACATGCTGTTAATGAGATACTATGTATTACTATGAATATTAAAATATATAGTGAAATATGAAAATTTCGAAACTGAAAACATATTTTTATCAAAATATTAATCAAATAACATGAATTATTAAAATAAATGGAAAGTAATTTTTAAATAATAATTTTATATTTGTTAGCTACACAACTTACTTTGAAATTATAGATATTTCATTATCATACAAATTTTAAACGTAAAAAAAAATTCTTAACAAAATTTGAAACATCGATAAATTTAAAAGTTAGATGTAAACATGTAAACATTGTATTTAAATTAAATTAAAAAGCATAAATTTCGATTCTATTTATCATAAGCCATTAACAATATGAATTAATGCTTAATAATACGATTAATTTGATTTTCAAGCGTATTAATGTATTAAAATATGTATTAATAAAATGAAACTATCCATACTGAAAAAAATTATTTATTTGGTTCAGACAACTATTTATTTGATAATATAGTCAAATAAAAAATTATTATGAATCACATTTTTTTTCAATATATGAATTTTTTAAATTATTAAACTTGCAATTATAATTTATTACACGATAAGAAAAATTGTCTATAAAAATTTCACTTTCACTATAATACAGATACTATTGCCTGTATACTGTATATGGACAAAATAAATTCAGCGAATTTTACATAACTTTTCCGGACTGAGTTCTGTAAAATTCATTGAATTTATTTTTATCGAGTAACAAGAAATTTTAAAGAAGTTAATTTTTTTATCGTGGTTCTTAATTTGACAACAATTATATGTGGACGTCCGCATGAAAATGTCCACTTTGTCAATTACAATAAGAATTATTTTTGCGTGAACATTAATGCGAATATAATCCTTATTGTAATCGACAAAGTGGGACCTTTTCATGCGGACGTCCACATATATTTCTTCTTCAGCATCTAAAAATTAATCATTTTTATCAATGCCTTATATATTCTTGTCAAATTAAAATTTTATTCCAATTGTTACTTGAAGCAAGCAATTGTAGTATTTTTGATTAATTTTAATGTTCGTTAATAATAAATCTACACTTTATTTGGCATATTTCGAAAGACTCTTCATCGAATTGTTAAATATAATTGTTTAACAATTATAATGTATAACGATGAATGTGTGAAATTCCAGGAGTTTTTTTTACCTTTCGTTGGAGTAACCTCGCTAATTTAAATTAAACTTGGGAGTATGATATTTATTGAAATCCAAAAACAACCTTTTTTTGATTATAAAAAAAATACACTTTAGAACGACTACACTAAATGAAATGGCTTAAAGTTCAAAATTTTCCTTATCTTTTCTGCTTAATTATCCAAAAAGAAAATTCGAGTATTTGCTAACTTGTTTAAAATTTTAGAAATTGTTTATCTTTTGTTTTACTTTAATCATAGTTGTTACGGCAGCGCAAAACGTTTCTCATTTTTCCAGTTAATGATACCAACATTATGCTTAAATGGCTTAACTCGTTGGTATTTATGACTGGAAAATAAGAAAAGTTGCGCGCAGCCCCAACAGCTGATTAAAATAAAACGATAAACAATTTCTAAAATTTTGAACAAGTTAGCAAGCACCCGAATTTTTTTTTGGATACAAAAGTTGTAAAAATAAGAAAAATTTTGAACTCTAAACCATTTCATTTAGTGTGGTCGTTCAAAAGTGGATTTTTTCAATATTAATTATTCTATCTTTTTAATCAAAAAGTGTTTTTTTTTTTGTCAATAAATATCAAACTTCCAAGTTTCATTTAAATTGGTAAGGTTTCTCCGAAAAATGATGAAAAAAATTCCTGAAATGGCACATGCTTAAATTGACTACTACCCCGACAAAAGTTTCGGATTAATATTCAATCAGTTTTGGTAAGTATTATTCTGAGACAAATTTGATTCCGAGGGAATCAGTTTTTATCCGAATCTAAATTTCTACATAACTAAAACAAATTCTTTCCGGATCATTCCGAATCAACTCGTTTCATTTTAAACCTTAATAGTGTTTCGCAATGGCATAGGGTGCATTTAATTTAAAAAGGATTTTTCTCTCAACTCGGATAGAAACGGAAAAACTGAAAAAATACCAGTTATCCTGAAATGTTGTACTTTCATTTACGCACAAGAAATTGAAAATTCATTACGATAAACGACGTCAGGAAGTAAAATAAAAATTTTTTGTAGCCGTTAGGTGCTGCTCCAGACGGTAAATGTCAGTACTAAGCAAATGTTTATACTCTTCCTATTTTACTTCCTGTCGTTTTATATGTGAATAAATCTTTAATTTCTTGGAGGCAAATGAAAATACACAAACTCAGGACAACTGGTATTTTTTCCGATTTTGACATTTCTGTCCGAATTGGGAGAATAATATTTTTGAAATTAAATGTACCTCATTTTTAAAAGACAACTACTGCTTGCCATTACGGAACACCGTTAATTTTAAACCTTTTGAATCTTGAAATTTTAATGAGTTTGATTCAGAATGAAATTTCACGATTCAAAATCATAATATTAGGTAAAAAGGATAAATTATTGGCTCAGAAACAAATTTCGGAATGTCTCGGAATATTACTTATTAAAAATGATTTAAAAAACCTAAATTTTCGTCAGAATTTTACAAATAAAAAAGAAAATATTTTTTTTTCTATGTATCAAAGTAGGTAAATATCAATGAAAATTGAAAATTATTTAGAAAGGAAGTTTCCCTTGAATGGATATTTGAATCTTATCTAATTTGGACTAGACATTTTGACTAGGAGTTTATGAGTATTTGTATTTAAACAAATATGTTCATACAATGTAATATTTATTTATGACTAGAGCAATTAATACTGTTCTGCTTTCAAATGCATATTCAAAACATTTTCTCCAAAAATTATTATTATTAATTTAGCCATGTATTTTTTATTAAACTATATTAATATTAAAATTAATTTATTGCCAAATAAAGAGTAGATCGTTTAGCGAGATAATTTAACAAAAACCATGACGTAAAAAATATGAACTAATGATGAGCACACAATTGTTAAAAATGTGTGCAAAATTAAATTAAAGGGTTAATTAATACCTTGCTAATGAATTAATAATAATAATATAATTAATACTTAATTCGATGAAATCGAGGCTGTATGCAAATGTGACTAATTGCGGCATGTTATCTTTTCTTTTCTTTGATAGGAATTTTGCGTCAGACTCCCTATACGTAAGCAGGGGATATGGTAGTAATTCGTTAAAGTGCTCAAATTCTACATGTAAGGCTGGTGGCAATTTTTTGTTATGCGGTGTTTTGCGCAATCAATGAATATATATTAATAGTGCGCGAGCATTATTATTAATTTGTTTCTGATGACTTACGAGTTGGTGGCGGGGGTATGCAAATTCGGTATGGGTCTCCTGTAAATCCAGGGATGCACGAGCATCTGGGCAAGTGATTAACAACTTGGCATTGGGCATCTTGACCACAGGTTCCGGGACAGGGATTTTGGCATTTTGATCGGATACAGGCGAGATTAGACATACAGTTCGAATCAACTGTACATTCGGGGCGACATCCTTCATATGGATCTCCAATATAATCAGGTACACATGAACAGGAACCTACTCCATTTTGTTCTTTGCAAACGGTATTGGGACCACAGGGGGATGGCGAACATGGGGTCAACATCTCAGGAGGGTAGATTTCTGCTAGAAATGGGATAGTATTTCAATCATTGGAATTCATCCAAATTTCACAAGCTGACCTTTATTCATTTTTTTTTTTCGCTAATCAAAGGTCACGGCTAAGCAGAAAATATCAATCGCAGAAAAGCCATATATAACGCTGATTTGTTCTTAATTACTAATTCGCAGTTTCGAGATATATATAATAATAAAAATTGCTACGTTGACTGTTGATATGTTGAGTTCTCTGTAAAATTTTCTTTTCCAAATTGAAAACTTTTGTCAAATACATTGACTTGGATCTGAAGCATTTCCACTAAAGATATAAAAATTATTGTTTCAAAAGCATTTGCTATAGAATTTGTAAAACATGATATAAATTTTATAAAATATGCTTTGGAAACAATATTTTTTATAATTTTGGCGGAATTGCCATAATATCCACTAGCATATTTTTCTCAGTGTACAGGATAAATAAATCTTTTAATAATAATCTCTTCAAATTAAATCCTTTTGTACAAGTCATCTTTATTTGATTTTAATTAAAAGTTGCTTCTAATTTTTTTTCTATTAGGAATAATTTATTTTTAATTCCATTCATAATTTTCTTTGAAGTGTTTATTATCTTTCAATAAAATAAGTTTTCAAATGAATACAAATTTAAAAGCGCGAAAAAATAAAAAATTTCTTTATAAAATGAAATTGTACTTGTACCAGTGTAAAAGAATCTTTGTAAAAAAATTTAAAAAAAGAACTTTTTATTAATAAGAAATTTTTAAAGTCAGTTTATTCCTTCATCGCAGTTTATTTATTTTTTTTTTTAAATCAACAGGGTGCCTATTATATTTTTTTTCACAATTTTCTGAGTTTTTCTTGCATTTTTTAAAATATTAAACATAAATTTTGGATAAGCAAAATAACAAGTTTAAAAAAATTTTATGTACAAAATAATTAATTTAAAAAAAATTTACTTGGCAGAATTCTTATTTTACACAGTAATTTCTCTTTTCACAATTTTTTATTTAAAAGAATTCTAATTGTACCAAATTTTAATTTAGCATAATTCTCATTCAAAAGAATTTTGAGTCATTCAAAATTTTAAATATCAGCGAGTTTTTGTCCGAAATTACAAATGGCCAAACAAACAATATTGACCAAAAGATTTTTGCGAAATTTTTTAAATTTACTAATTACAATTACAATATTACTAATCCGAAATATTTTTGTAGATATTTTTTGTTATTTCCAATTTAGGACAAATGAAGATTCGTCGTTTTAAGAATTCTATCAAATAACAATTCGAACAAATAGAAATTCGGACAAATGAAGGTTCGATGAATTGAAAATGCAGACATGTAAAAATTCGAATCACTTAAAATTCTATTGAATGAGAATCATGATAAATAAAAATTCGGGTTAAATTAGTATTCTTTTAAATAAAAACTTGGATAAAAAGAAATTTTGTGAAATAAAAATTCAGTACTTAAAAAATCTGTTAAGTAAAAATTCGTTTAAAAAGAAATTCTGTGAAATGCTAATTCGAGAACTGAAAATTCGACTAAAAAATAATAATATCTAATAAAATTCTTTAAAATAAAAATTGCAATTAATGATTTTTATGGGATAATTATGCGCCCCGATATACATAGTAATCAATTTGGAAAAGAAAAATAGAATCTGTCGATGATCCATCTCTTTGAATGAAAACTTTCGAGATAGGACAGAACTTACCTGAATGGCATGCAAGAAAAGTTTTGACTCATGCAAGATTTTTAAATAACAAGCACTTACCCTTGATGGAAGGTTGGCAGCTGCTGTAAGGATCGCCGCTGAAACCTTCTTCGCACGTACAGACTGCATTGTGATTGACAACGTAACACTGAGAATTAGTACCGCAGCGTCCCACACATGGATCACTGCATTTCTGTTGAAGACACGCGAGATGTGATGGACATTCAGGATTTATTGTGCACTCGGGTCGACAATTTGGTGGGAGTCCAATGTAATTTGGCAGGCAGGAACATGCTGGTCTTTCTCCGCGAACATGACACTCGGCATTGGGACCACAAGGTGATGGTTTACATGGCTCAACACTAGGTTCAGGGGGAAGTTCTGCAAAAAACAAGAAATAAATTTTATTTCAAAAATTTTTGTTTTGATTAAAAGATTAATCTTAAAAGACAAGAAACTCACTCTCGTCTGGATAACATCTAATAAATGGATCGCCAGTGAAGCCGGTAGCACAAGAGCAAATTGGATTGTGTTGAACAGTCATACATTTTGAATTTTGACCACAAGTTCCAGGACAGGGATCTTGACATTTGTTCGCTAGACAAGCTTGTGTCAGAGGACATTCAGCGCTGACAACACACTCGGGTCTGCAATTTGGTGGACTGCCGATAAAGTTCGCTAGGCAAGAACAAACTGGATGTTCGCTGACTACAATACAATTGCTATTTGGTCCGCAAGGCGATGGCGTACATGGGTTTATGAAATCTAGAAACAAATAGAAATATTAATATTTAAAGGCGAAAAGAACAATGTGTAAAATAAATTTTTTTTTTCTAAATATAGATCAATTGAAAGAAATGTTTACCTGGTGTTGCAATTTTTCGACAACCAGTGAAGGGATTTCCAGTTGTTCCTGAAGGACAACTGCACGTTGGAATATGATTGACGACATCACATTCAGCACCAGATCCACAAGTGTTGACGCATGGATTTACACATCTTTGATTAATACATGACTTCATTCGTGGACAATCCGTATTTAATGTGCATTCTGGTCTACAGTTGGAATAGGCATCACCAAAGTAATTAGGCAAACAGGTGCAAATTCCATTATCGCAATTAGCATTTGCTCCACAGGGAGATGGACTACAAGGATTTGGAGGCGGTGGTGGTTCTGCAAAAGAAAAATCAGATTCGATTATTTTCACTGACTCTCTTGTTTGGTATTAAGAAATATTTTATTAGGGAAAATATTGAAAACACTTACCTCTAATTATTGGGGTACAAAGACTGAAAGGATCTCCAGTATAATCAGCCTGACAGAGACAAGTTGGAATGTGATTTTGTACACGACAATCGGTGTTTTGACCACATGATCCATTACAAGGATCTCGGCATTTTTCAGAAATACAAGCTTGATTTGATGGACAATCGGTGTTGACTGAACATTCTGGACGACAATTTGGTGGTGATCCTATATATTCTCGTAAACAAGAACATACAGCCTGTTGTCCATTTTGCCGACACTCCGAATAGAGTCCACAAGGACTTGGTAAACAGGGATTTATAATGTGATCTATCGAAGGAGGTACTTCGCCTAAAAGTATTTAGCAATTTAATAATTTAAAAATTACAAATAATAATGAAAGTATGTTATAACTAAATCAACTTACGAGTTTCGGGATAACATCTTATGAATGGATCTCCCGTCATATCTGTAGGACAATTACACAGTGGATTGTGATTGATAACTCGACAATGGGCTCCAAGACCACATGTTCCAGGACAAGGATCTGTGCATTTAAATTTGTAGCATGCTCGAGTTTGAGGACATTCTGAATTGACTACACATTCAGGTCGGCAATTTGGTGGCGTGCCGATGTAAGAATCCTCACAAGTACACACAGCTTGTCCATTAATTGTTCGACAAATACCATTAGGTCCACAAGGTGAAGGAGCACAAGGTGTTACGTCTGGAGGATCTGAAACAATTTTTTCCAAATTAAATATTACTTTTTCTATCAATGACAAAAAAGTATGTCCGATTCTTCTTTCTAATATTCTTTTTTGTAAATAATATACAGAGTTTTTCACAAATCAAGGAAATGTCAGGAAATTAAAAAAAAATCTTACAATCTATTTGTCGTGAGCATGTGATGAATGGATCCCCAACGAAGCCGGGTAAACAAGTACAGGTTGGAATGTGATTGACAACGGAGCAAAGAGCATCAGTTCCGCAAATTCCAAGACAAGGATCAGCACATTTATTGCGAATGCACGCTTTATTTGTTGGACAATCAGCACTGAGAATGCACTCCGGTTGACAACCCTCGTATGGATTACCGTGATAATCTTCAATGCAAGTGCATGCACCGACATTATCGCGTCTTTGACACACGGCATTTGTTCCACATGGCGATGGTTCGCATGGATTGAGATCTATTGTTTGTCGTATGCACTGAACAAATGGATTGCCTGTAAAGCCAGGTGAGCAGGAGCAACTAACTGCATTATTGATAACTCTACATTCAGCATTCTCTCCACACGATCCAGGACAAGGATCTTGGCATTTTGAATTAATACAAGACATTGTTGATGGACAATCTGGATTTATAACACACTCTGGCCTACAGTTTGGCGGAGTTCCAATGTATGATGGAAGACATGCACATTCACGATTGTTGTTCACATTTCGGCAAAGGGAATTTGGTCCACAAGTTGATGGATTACAGGGATCTGGATTTACATCTGGTGGTTCTGAACAAAAAATAATTAATTTAATTATGCAATTTAATTTTTTTCTTTAGGTAAATGAAAGAAAATTTACCTTCGATTTCCTGGCAACTTCTGAATGGATCTCCCGACTGTCCAGGAAGACAACCACAAATTGGCGAATGATTTATTACTTCACATCGGGCATTTATTCCGCAAGCTCCCAAACATGGATCTGTGCATTTTTTGTTTACACATGCTCTCGTAGGTGGACATTCTGGACTCACTATACATTCAGGTCTACAAGATGGTGGCGTTCCTAAATAACCCTGAAGGCAGGAGCACACTGGATTATTGGCAATATTGCGACAATCGCTGTTTGGACCACAAGGCGATGGTGAGCAAGGATCTTCTCTGATCGGTTCTGAAGCACAAGATTAGAGTTAAAATAAAATAATTTTTTAATTCAAACAGTGATTAGGTTTTACGAAAATACCTTTGGGTTTTGGTCGACAGCTTACGAAAGGATCACCGATGTATTCGTCGAGGCACAAACAAACGGGAATATGATTGATAACATCGCAACGAGCAAATTGGCCACAAACTCCAGGACATGGATCCCGACACTTGAATTTCAAACATGCTTTATCGCGAGGACATTCCGTACTGAGTATGCACTCTGGACGACAACCCTCGTAGGGATTTCCAGAATATTCCGGCTCACATGTACATTCTCCATTGCGACAAATAGCATTTGTACCACAGGGTGAAGGATTGCAGGGATTAAAGTCTTTAACTGCTGGTGTAGCTGAAAGTATAGAAAAATATTTTATATATTACAAATTTTATTTTTTCTCAATAAATTGGTCTTTAATAATAAAAACAAATATTTACTCGCTGGTATAGCTGAACAGGCTTTGAACGGATCTCCCATATAACCGTCCATACAAGTACAAACTGGAATATGATTCAAAACATGGCACTGTGCATTGATGCCACAAGAACCAGCACAAGGATCTTTACATTTTTCATTGATACAAGCCAATTGTCTCGGACATTCCGAACTCAAGACGCATTCAGGTCGACAGTTTGGCGGTGTGCCAATGTAATTGGGCAAGCAGGAACATGCGGGAATTCCAGAAATAACTTGACACTGTGCATTAGGACCACACGGCGATGGAGTGCACGATGGAGGTTTTTCAGTTGTTGAAACTTCTTCAAGCGGGAAACAGAATTTAAATGGATCTCCCGTTAATCCCGAAGGGCACGTACAAATGGGAATATGATTTTTCGTATCACAATTTGCTCTTAAGCCACAAGTATTTGGACATGGATCGGCGCATTTTTTGTTGACACACGCAAGATGAACTGGACATTCTCCATTAGCAACGCATTCTGGTTTACAATTTGGCGGTGAACCGATAAAGTTTGGTAAACATGTGCAAACAGGTTGTTCATTGATTTCTCGACATTTGCTGTTCGGACCACAAGGCGATGGGAAGCAAGGGTTTATTGGGAATTCAACTGTAAACAGAAATTAAACATTAATTTTTATTTTTAATTTTTTAAGATAAAGATTTTTTAATGGATAAGATACGTACCTCTTCCTTGCTCACAAGCAAAGTTTGGATCTCCAATGTGACCAGGTGGACAAGAACATACGGGAAGATGGTCTCGTACATTGCATAAAGATAAGGTGCCACAAGCGCCAGGACAAGGATCGATACACTTAAATCCAACACAAGCCAAATTTATTTGACAATCGCTATTTATTTCACATTCTCGGCGACAACCACTCTGTTGATCGTAAGGATCGCCTATAAATTCTGGAGGACAAACACATGCTCCAGCTCTACTTCTTTCCCGACAGAGTGCGTTAGGTCCACAAGGATTTGGTACGCAGGGATTTGGACGTTCCGTTGCTGTAAAGTTATAAGTTAGTAAATATTTTATTATAATTTAATCATATTTATATTAGTGTCAACTTACAAGGAGGTAGGGGAATTGAGCATCGAATGGTTGCATCACCTTCGTAACCCTCTGGACAGGAACAAATGGGTAAGTGATTGAGTACTGAACATCTTGCCATCTCTCCACAGGCACCGGGACAGGGATTTTTACATTTTTCATTTATACAAGCTGACGATGGAGGACATTCCGAATTATCGGAACACTCAGGTCGGCAATTTGGAGGTCTGCCGATAAAATTAGTCAAACATGAACACGCGGCCTGTCCGTTAATTTCTCGACACTGAGAATTTGGTCCACAAATGTTCGATGTACAAGGATTTTCTCGTGGAGTCGGAGGACTGGGAGTAACAACTTCCTTCTCGCATTTGATGAAAGGATTTCCTGTATATCCGTTCGCGCAACTACAAATTGGATTGTGACTGACGACCAAACATTTTGTATTTTGTCCACAAGATCCTGGACAGGGATCAGCACACTTGTTATTGATGCACGCTTTGTTCTGTGAACATTCCGAGCTGCCTGTACATTCGGGACGACATGAAGGTGGTGCACCTATGTATCCCAGTTGACAGGAGCAAACTGCATGACCATTGAGTGTTCGACAATTGCTGAATGGTCCACAAGGTAAAGCTTCGCATGGATCTGTTGGTGTTTTCGGTTCTTCTATTTCAATCAATACACAGCTACTCAATGCATTTCCTGTGTAGCCCGGAAGACAAGAGCAGGAGGGTGCGTGTTTCGTAACACGGCAGAAGGCATTTTCTCCACAAGCATTAACGCATGGATCGATGCATTTGTTGTTCACGCAAGCCTTACTACGATCACAGTTGGAATTCGTAACACATTCTGGCCTGCAACCTGTATAAGGATCTCCAAAGTATTCGGGCATACAGGTACACGATCCTGCTCCATTTCGTTCATTGCAGACTGCATTTGCACCGCATGGCGATGGACTGCAAGGTGTTCTAGGTTGTTCTGTTGTACTTGGAACTGAAATTAACAACATTCAGTAAAAATAACTCCTATTTGCTCTTTAATTTAAATTTTATTTCATTGTATACTTTACTTACCTTCCATAATAGGTGTACATTCAAAGAACGGATTTCCGGTAAATCCAGAATTACAAGTACAAAGAGGATTGTGTTTAATGACGTTGCAGAAAGTGTTAACGCCACAAGATCCTGGACAAGGATCGATGCATTGTTCATTTTGACAAGCGAGATTTCCAGAACATTCCTCGTTGATAATACATTCAGGTCGGCAATTTGGAGGTTTTCCAATGTAGTTTGGCATGCACGAGCAAGCTGGGAATCCATCGATATTACGACATTGTGAATACGAACCACAGGGAGATGGAATACATGGATTACCACGATCGATTACTGGAGGTGCAGTTGGTGTTTCTATTAATAAATTTCTCATATTAATTAACTTTAACATTGAATAATAATTTAAAAAACTTTCTTTCTCTTACCTTCCCTTGTACAACCATAGAATGGATCTCCGGTGTATCCGGATTTACAAGAACAAACAGGACTGTGATTAACAACATTACAATCGGTATTTAGACCACAAGTTTCAAAACATGGATCGCGGCAGAGTTGTGAAATACAAGCTTTATTGTTAGCACAGTCAGTACTAACGAGACATTCGGGTCTACAATTTGGTGGTGTTCCAATGTAATTTTGTTGACAAGAACAAACAGGATGACCGTCAATAACTTGACACTTGCTGTAATCTCCACAAGGAGATGGTTGACAAGGATCCACATATGGTGGATGAACTAAAAAAATGATATTTTTAAAGAGAAATTAGAAGATTAGAAAAAGACTCAAATAATGAAAACTGAAATTAAATTACCTGGTGGTGGTACGTGACACGAAACTTGAGGATTTCCCGTAAAACCAGATAAACAAGTGCAAGTTGGTTGATGATTGAAGACTTGACATTGGGCATTCAGGCCACAAACTCCGGTACATGGATCTTTACATTTATTTACAATGCAGGCTAATGTGTGAGGACAGTCGTTATTTTGTACACATTCTGGTTTACATCCTTTATATGGATCTCCAATGTAGTCTGGTAAACAAATGCAGGAGGCTGCACCGTTACGTTCGTTACAGACGGCATTTGATCCACAAGGAGAAGGACTGCATGGTGTACTTTGCGGTTCCGTTGGAGAAGTTACTGAAATTGTCAATTATTTATCCATCAATTTGTAAACAAAGAAATAATAAAAAAAAGGGCATTAGGAACTAGGAAGATGTAATGTAGAAGATTTTAAAAGACGCTTACCTGCGCGATTGCATCCAAAGCGAGCGTTTCCCTCGTAACCTTCATAACACTCACAAACTGGACGATGATTTTGAGCACTGCATCTGGCATTGTAACCACACGAACCAATGCATGGATCAGAGCATTTGGATTGTATGCAAGCAAGATGATTGGGACAGTCCTGATTGATGATGCACTCGGGTCTGCAATTTGGCGGTGCACCAAACATTCCAGTGATACAGGAGCATACGGGTCTATTTTCATTAACACGACATTCTGCATTGGGTCCACAAGGTGAGGGCAAACATGGAGTAGGACCATCAGTGGGCGAATCTCTTTCAGTGCATTCCACAAGTGGATAGCCAGTGAAACCAGATGGACAACTACACAATGGATTATGGTTGTTGACATGACACTGTGCTCGCAAGCCGCATGCGTTTTCACATGGATTTTTACATTTCTGATCTATACAAGCTAAATGCTGAGGACACTCGGAATTCACGGCACATTCAGGTCGACACATCGGTGGAGAACCATAAAATCCTGGACTGCAGGAACATACGGCTCGGTCATTCATCACTCGACATACACTGTAGGGTCCACAATGAGACGGAGAGCATGGATTTTCCCGTGGTCCAACTGTAAATTACAAAATATGTCTAATGATTTCAAAAACCAAAGTACAGAAAAACTTTTTAACAGTGGTTTTAAATTCTAAATTTCTCACCATCAACTTGACAAACTTCAAATGGATCTCCAGTGTATCCTTGAAGACAGGTACATGTTGGAACATGATTGATAACCTCGCATTGAGCATTAGCTCCACAAACACCTAGGCAAGGATTTCTGCAGTGTTGATTCAAACAAGCCAAGTCACTAGAACACTCAGAACTGAGGAGACATTCGGGTTTACAATCGATATATGCATTTCCTACATAGGGTGGAATGCACGAGCATCTTGCAGATCCATCATGAATAGTGCAGAGTGCGTTGTTTCCACAAGGTGATGGATCACATGGATCTAATGGCACTGGGGTTCTCGCTGTAAGAATAAAAAGGTCAAAATTTACAATTGTATGTACAGTTTTCTTCAATTCTACTTTTCCTATCAGTTTTGTTTCCATAACTAACCTAGTGTACAGCCTATGAAGGCATCTCCCTCAAAACCTTCCTTGCAATAACACTGAGGTGTGTGATTGATAACCGTACACTCTGAATTGTCACCACAACTGCTGGGACAGGGATGAACACATTTATTTGAAACACAAACTTGATCAATTGAACACTGTTGATTAATGAGGCACTCTGGTCTGCAATTCGGTGGCGTTCCTACAAAATTACTTTGACAGGAACAAACAGGTCGTCCCATTTTTATCTGACACACAGAGTTGGATCCACATGGCGATGGATTACAAGAAGATGGTGGCAAATCATCTGCACAATTAAAGTCGATTTCAAGAAATGAAAATTTAATTATTAATACTTTATTTCGTGTTGTAAAATCTTACCAGTTTCTTTGACGCATTGAACGAAAGGATCACCTTCATAACCACCAGGACAACTGCACACGGGATTATGATGAATCACCGAACACAAAGCACCGTGTCCACATCGTCCTGTACATGGATTGACGCATTTGTTGTTTATACAGGCCTGTATGTGCAAACAATCAGAGGACACAATACACTCGGGTGAACAGAGAGGAGGAGATCCTCTAAAGCCTGGAATGCAAGAGCATGTGGAATATCCTTGGGGAGAAACAATGCATCTACTATTTGGTCCGCATGGTGATGGATTGCATGGTGAAACTGGAAATACATCTTTAGGCTCTGAACAATAGGAAAATGGATCTCCCGTCATTCCATTTGTGCAATAACAAATTGGATTATGATTAACCACATCGCATGCAGCTCCATTTCCACAAGCTCTATCGCAAGGATTCACACATTTATGATTAGAACAGGCTTGCGTCACATGACAATCAGAATTTTGAACACATTCAAGATGGCAAGCTATCAAGGGATTTCCTGTGAAATTCGGTAAACATTTGCAAACTGTAACGCCATATTTCTCTTCGCAATATGCATTGGCTCCGCATTGTGTTAGGCTGCACGAATCTGGAGGTTCTGCGAAATTTTCAAACATATCGTCATTACATTAGAAGTACTCAAATTTAATTATAGAGAATTACTCGATAATAAATAAAGAGAATTAATACATTTTTTTAATTGATAATTTAATGGAGAATATAAAAAATTTACCTATTGGTGCTGGAGCACAACTTTGATATGGATTTCCAAAAAGACCGGTGGGACAGCTACAAACTGGAGAGTGATAGATGACCTCACAATTTGCATTAATACCACAAGAACCTAAACAAGGATCCGAGCATCTCCAACCTATACAAGCTTTATCTAAGGCACAATCGCTATCGCTTAAGCACTCTGGTTTGCAGAAGATGCTATCTTGATTTTCAGGGGCGGCACAACCACCACACATGGCAACTTGATTTATGTAAGGATCACAAACATTGTACTCGCCGCACGGAGATGGTTTACATGGCAGTGTAACGTTACGTTGATTATCGGTTGTAATTGGAGCTAAAAATTAAATTAGAATAATTTAATCATTCACTTTTTTAATGATTTTCATAAAATAAATAGAATACAAATAGAATAATTTATCATAAATTGACAACTTTAAATATTGACTTACTTTCCGGATAACAATGAATGAAAGCATTGCCAACAAAGTGAGGTCTGCAACTACAACTTGGAGTATGATACGAACAAGAACATTCTGCATTTGAACCGCAAATTGTTCCAAGTGTACAGGGATTGACACATTTCATATTAATGCAAGCCTTATCATTTGAACAATCCGAATTGATGGTACACTCTGGTTGACATCCTGTTTGTGGATCTCCCAAGAAATCTGTGAGACAGGAGCAAACTGCTCGATTGTTTAGCACTTGACAGACAGTATTCAAACCACAAGGATTGGGTTCACAGGGATTTTGAGTTGTGACAATATGAGGAGAGCATCTAATCAATGGATTTCCAATGAATCCTTCTCTACAGCGACACACTGGATGATGTACTTCGACGTGACACTCTGCATTAATACCACAGCCTCCCATACAAGGATTTTGACATCTGTAACCAATACAAGCTTGACTTTCATCGCAATCAACGTCCTGCGTACATTCCGGTCTGTCACATCCCAAATGACTCATTGGATCGCCAGTTGTTCCCGGTAGACATTCGCAGATTGGTTTATTTTCTATCGTCGTCTTGCAAATTGCGTTCGGTCCACAGGGACTTGGTTGACAAGCACTAATTGGTGGTGGATGACAACCGAGATAAGGATCACCATAGAATCCATATCGACAGTAGCAGTGCTCTTGATTCGCAGTGATGTAGCAATCGGCATTAGCTCCACAGGGTCCCGGTTGACACAAGGGTCTGATGATTATTTCTAGAAAAATGAGCGTGAAAATTAGTTGAGATTGAAATTTTCTGAAATGAGAAAATAAAGCGACGTACCTGTACAGCTCTTGTAAGGATTTCCAGTTGTGCTTTCAGGACAATAGCAAGATGGAACTCTTCTGGGATCGCAGAGAGCATTGTGTCCACAGAAATTAGGCTCACATGGATTAACTTGTTGTATGCATCCTCTGATTGTGTTTGGACTTTCAATAAATCCAGGCAGACAAGTGCATTTAAAGATTCCATTTGGTAGAATTGAACATTGTGTATTTGGACCACAAGGAGATGAATCACAAGGATTGTTGTAAGGTGCACAAGGTGTGGAGGGTGGTTCTCCCTGGAAACCTGGCAAACAGAAACAATTTGCTTGTCCTCTTATCATTCGACAACCGGAATTGCTACCACAAGGATTGTCATGACAGTGATCACCTTCTGGAACTGAAATAAAAAATTCATTAATTCATGATATCATCATTCAGGGTTACCACAAAATTTTCATTATTTTTAATAAAATGAAATATTTATTTCTCATCGAAAATCCATTACTATATTGTCACTAAAGGCGATTAAATAATACTCACTGCATTGTTCGAAGGGATTTCCAGTCAGACCCTTTGGACAGAAACAAATTGGATTTCCATTATCATTTTCGCAGGCTGCATTCACTCCACATGGATTTGGAAGGCAAGGATCATTTGTTGTGCCATTGCATCCAATCTGAGGATTTCCTTCAAATCCAGGTGGACATCTACATTTCGGCTCATGTTCTTCGGTGTAACATTCTGCATTGTCTCCGCAAATATCATCGGAGCATGGATTAATGCAACGTCTATTAAGACGATCACAGTATGTATGAGGTGGACAATCTTCGTTATATTGACAAACATCTCTATCAACTTCAACTGAAAATTGAAGAAAAATCACATTGTCAATTCAAAAGAAAAATCTTTTATTTTTTTTAATAATTGAAAAGAAATGATGAAATTTTCACCTAAGGCACATGCCGAAAATCCATTTCCTTGATAACCTTGTTCACAAAGACAATCTGTTCCATGATTAGAGTTGATACAAACGGCATGAGCAGCACATGGATTTCTAATTCGACATGGTTCCTGGCAAATTCGGCCAACGCAGGTTTCTGTCAGGGGGCAATCCCTGTTGCTAGTGCAACCCACTAAAGAAAGAGTGATAAAAAAGCCCATATAACCCAGAGATGTTTTGTGCATGAATATCAGAAATATAGAAGTAAAAAAACAGTCATTGCATCGGTGTGTAAGTACTTTCAAGAAAATTCTGAATATCAGCTTAGAAAGTTTGTCAGATATCACTTTGTTTATTATATACAAAATATTTCTTCCAGAATAATTAATAAATTAAGATTTAAAAAAAAAATTCTTCTCTTTTATCCTTTAAACTAAACAATTTTGATTAAAATTTTAAAAGAAATTTGAGAAATTGATTTTTCAGAATTAAAAAAAAGTCATTTCTAGTGCAAAAGAATTTCTAAAAGTATACAGTGCATCAACTGGACATTCGATGCTAGATACTTTATTTATTTATAATTTGTCATTATTTACAGTACTTACATATTTACAATGAGTCAATTTGTTTTTGAGTTAAAAAAAAGGGGAAAAAATTGTCTCGCATGCAAAATACAAACCTTTGACACATTGATTTGTCACTGGATCACATTCTTCGCCTGGTTCACAGAGAGGACAAACGTTCTTTAGACCTGAAATTAAATATTTCAATTTTTAAATTCAAAAATATTTTTTGGAAAATATATGTTTCTGATAAAATAAATAGTAATAAATACATTTTTCTATTTCATAGGTGCGATTGTATAATTTTATTTTGATTTTGACTTTCATTTTAATCTTCATTTCAATTTTCAATTTCACTTTTTCAGTGAAAATTTTCAGTCAAATATAAATTAATAAAATAAATTACACTTAATGGATTTTTACCTGCAATGCAGAATGCTCTATGATCTTCAACAGTGCACTCTTTAGCAACTTCACATGGATTCCGATACGTACATGGATTCAAGCATTGTTGATTAACGCAAGCCAATTCAGATGGACAATCGGCATTTGATGAACATTTAACATCTGACAAAATCAATCTTCATTACAATTTCAAACCTATATTAAAATTTTTCTACATGCTATGATATTAAAGCAAAAAAAATCATATATTATCGATAAGCGATTGATGAAAAAATTAAACAATATATGAATGAAAGAAATTGTTATAATTAATAAAAAAGAATTTTTATTAAATAAAATCCTATAATATTTTTTTTTCTTTTTTTGTTATAAATTTAAAATGTCAATTTATGTTTAACCAAATTTTATATATGTGCTTTTAAAGTCGTAGTCTGAAAGAAAAAGCAAAGCAGCAAGCTGATGGTATAAAAAGAATATATATATTTTTTTTCATGAAAATAGATAAATAATAGTTTAAAAAAAGTTTTAAAGAACAAGAATGCCTTGTTCCGAAAAATTTTTTAATAACGAAATAATAATTTTTCTACAGAAAGAAGCTTATAATAAGTTGAAATCTAAAACAAAATAGAAAACAAGAGATATTTGCAGTTCAATAGATAAATAGTTTTCAAAACAAATATATATTAAAGCAGGCAATAAAATTGAAGAAACGTGCTAACTTTTAAATAAAATTAGGTGTACAAATATTTCAATAAATTTTATGTTAATTTGGTAAACACTCTCAGCTGGCTGAAAAGTAAAAATTAAAGTATATATATATTAAAATATTACAAATTTTATCTAAAAGCTAACAGTTCTTAACACGTATAATAATAATAATATTCACAACAATCACCGATAAGAAACATGCAAATTAGTAAACATGAGATTCAATATTACACAAATTAAGAGAATTAGTAATTTGCAAGCAATATAATAGTTATTACGATTTCAAATCAAAATTGATTTTTTCAGTTTATTTTGAATTTCCCTCAGTCTTGTTTATAAAACATTATTTAAATAACAGTAAATTAAAAAAAAATAATTTTGTAAAAAAATGTTTTGAAAATTAATATAAGATTCGGGAAATTTTATTTATTTTTAAATTACTTGTATTGAATAGATGTCAACTTTTGTTAAACTCAACAAAAATGTTATTTACTTCGAAATTTTATTGGTAATTCTATTGTAAAAATACCAAGAAAATAATTTACTATTAGAGCAAAATTATTTCCTAATAGAGTATTTTTATTTTGGACAAAAAAGTAAGAATTTTACGAAAATGTACTTTCTTAGAAAATATTGATATATAGTTTTATAAAGAAGTTTTGTTACCAATTAATGATACATAATTATATATCAAATCTAAACTACAAATTAAATTGTTTAAAAATAGTTCCAACTACAAGAAAAGAAGTATCATGCTTACACAATAGAGAAGCTATAACAAATAAGAAATAATTCATTAGAATTATATATAGAGACAGATGTATCGGAAAAAAAGTCTTCTAAATAGTCAAAAAAAAGGACATTGGCTGAAAATAGTAGGAATTTTAGGATTCAAGGAGCATTCAAATTTCTCATATTTCACTGTATAATATAGATTTTTTAAAATGGTACGTTGCAAATTATATTCGCAAAAACATTTTAAACTGAAATAAGCCCAAATAAGATTCGCTGAAAGGGAAAATACTCGTTCCTCACAGATTCGATGTTTTAAAAAATGATTTTTTTAAATTCTTGTTGAAATTTTAAACTGATTTTGAGATACGATGAGAAATATATAGTTTTACATTGTTTTTTTTTTGAATTTGAAAAATCGAAGGGAAAACATTTTTTTATATTACATTACAAACAATATTATTCAGTCGAAGATATTGCTGATATTTTTTTAGCTAATAAAACTAAAGATAAAATTATTATCAGTTCATTATTTAATTATCAAAAAAACTTTTAATTATTTATAATAACTACCTAATTTTATTGGAAATTAATTTCTAAAATAGATTTAAAATTTTTTCAGAATAAGTTTTAAAGTCTGAAAATTGTTAATTTTTGACAAAATTAACTTTTTTTTAGCAATTCTGATAGAAAAAAGTACGCTAGCTGGTTTTATAAATTAGATGTCAGTTTTTCAAAATTTAAAATGAAAATACAAAATAAAAAATTTGTCGGAAGATTTTTTCAAAGTCCCCAATTAACCAATTTCAAGTGATTCCAAAAATTCCAAGCGATTTTCAAAAAATCGTCCGCCATATTTAATCTGACATTTTTAATTTTGAAAATCCCGATGTCAGATTCGTAATTTACCACCCTGAAAACTTAATTTTGCTGATAAATTAAATAAAGAAAAAGAATTTTTTTTACCATAATTCCTTAGTAAATATTAATCAAGTAATAGGAAAAAGTCAATCACTATTTCAAATTCATTAAAATTGTTACTAAATTCAGATTTAGAGAGAGATTTATAGAATATTAAAAAATATCAGCGATGTCTTTTTTAACAGTAAAAAATAAATTCTATCACTGAGATAAAAGGTTTGAATTGACAACAAAACATTTTCGTTAATATATGATTTTCTACGAGAAAAGGGACCTTATAGGAAAAAAAAATTTAGGTTATGTTTAGTGATAGTTTTAATGCTTGATTAAACGTTAATTTTAAATTAAGTAAAATCAAAATCAATTTCCACTGAATATTTGTGTATATTTTATTCCAAAAATCATTAACATAACCTAAAATTTTTAGTCTCTAAGGTCCCTTTTTCCGTGAAGCGTCACATATGTGCAACAAAAATTTTTTTGTCGCGTCAACAAAATTTTGGTTGTCCCAATCATAGGACTTTGGTTAACATAACGAAATTCCTCTATTTTTCTTATTTGATTGTGTCAACCAAATTTTTTTTGTTTCAACTAAAATCTGATTGAGATTAGCAAAATCTTGTTGAAGTAATGAAAAATTTTTTATTGCACGTATGACGCTTCACGAGAGAAGGGACCTAACGTCAAAAAAATGTAAGGTTACGTTAATTAACCTTGATAAAAAAATTTATTTTTTATTAGGTAAAATCAAAATTAGTTTTTATTGGATTTTTTATAAATGTAATGCAGACTTAAACCTAAGACATGTTTTGTATGTAGAGTTGATTTTCTGTGAGTGTTTTAACTTAAAAAATTACTAAACATAACCTAAAAATTTTTTGGCGTAAGGTCTCTTCTTTTATTAAATAAAATATTTTGTTGTCAATTCAAACTTTTTTTCTCAATGTAATTGATAAGTCGAGTAGCAGAAATAATTAAGCGCAAATGGGTTATGTAATTTGATAAAAATGATGTCAATTTTTTGATCTGAAGGTTGAAAGAAGAGCATTTATAAATAGTTTAATAATAGGTAAATCGTAAAAAAAGGCTTTGGCGGCGATGGCGGCGGCTAAGGAAGCACTATAAAGATTGAAGATGCATGTAGTAAAATGTATTTCAGAGTGTTACGGATTAAATCGCATATTTATTGGAAATTCAATATTAAAAAAAGGTGATCTTTTTTTTTATTGGAAACTTAATTTCTAATTATAACTTATTTTTGCATCAAATTCTTCAATTTGATTTTAAATAGTAATTATAGTTTCTAATTTAAAAAAAGGTAGACTTTCTTTTAGATATTTTCAATTTTGCGACTTAATCGAGAACCCTCTGTATGTAATATTTTTTGTCGTTTTAGATAAATGTGTGTGTCGCGTAAAATATTGTAATTATGAAGAGGAGATACTCGATAGCAGAGGTGAGAAATGGTGTTTACCTTTCATGCATCCGTACTTAGTGTCTGGCACAAAGCCGGGGGGACAGAACTTGCAGATGGGTTTGTGTTCCTCGACGTAACATGGAGCATCAGCTGGACATGTGGAGTTGGCGCATGGATCCACGCAGCGATATTTGCGACAGGCCAAATCTGGTGAGCAGCCACTGTCTCGTAGGCAAATTGAGAGGGATGGATTACAATTTTTTATACAAATACAAACGGGACGATGATCGAGAACCTCGCACGCCTTATCATTTGGACATGGCGGTTTCTTTCTCATGTTACATGGATTTTGACATTTTCCATTGAGGCAAGCGACGTTTGATGGACAATCAGAATCCTTTGAGCAAGCCACAGTGTCAGGCGCACAGGTCAATTCTCCCATTTCGTTAACAACAAATCCATATTTACAAACGCAGACTGGTTTGTGATTTCGCACTTGACATTTTTTGTTAACTTCACATCTTGGCTTTGAGCTCGAGCATGGATCTCGACATTCTCTCGTTTGTGCGTGACACGAAAGACTCTCTGGACATTCACTATCGGAGGAGCAATCGTTGTTTGACGGTGAGGGTCGTGATGGATTTGCGAGATCACATTTTGGATCCGGTCGACAGACAGCACGTGGCATGCCGATGTAACATTGAGGGCAGGAGCAACGTGGCTTGTGCACCACAACTCGGCACAGTGCGTTGATCCCACAAGCTCCACGTAACGTACAAGGATCCAAACACTGGAGATTTATGCAGGCTTTGTCGTTGGGACATTCTGAATCACTGGTGCACTCTTGCTCTAAAGGAAAACGATTTCACGATTTCATATGGATGTGTGGTATACGGCGTGGTCATGGATTTTACGGGTGGAATAGGAAAATAACAAAGAAAAAAAGCAATTTATAAGAACTGTGAAAAGAAACTTTCTCACAAATAACATAAACCACATGCTTTTTATTTATAATAAAAATGACAAAAAAAAATATAAGAGTAGCTCGGCAAAGAGATCTTTTTACCACACTTTCGATGTATGTATATATATATATAATATAAAACTATGTATAACACAAGAACAACAACAACAACAATAACAAATAAAAAGCAGCAATATTTACACTTAAGCCCCCAAAAGACTTTAAGAAAGAGGAAAATCACCTGCAAAACTCAGCAGATATCAAGCATGGGTATATGAGAATGTCCCTTTCGCAGTTCCCAATCTGTATTAAACCTAAACTATGTAATAAAAAAAACAGTGTAACATCGTGTACCTCCTGTTATCCAAGTGGCACTCTACGTACCACTGTAACATCGAATGTTGATATTTGCTATTCAACAAATATATTTCCAAAAGACAGATTGGATACTGAAATAAACATTCTACATATGCAATATTTTGTGTGAGACTAGTGACTAGTCTTCTTGTGTGTGAGACTATAGAACATGTGTCGGTGTGTTTCTTTACTTCATATGTACAATTTTCTATAACCTATCCAATATGTACATTTTAAATATTCACATTCAATTTCATTTCTCTATTTTTTAATTCTTTTTTCACAATAATTGTGAGATGTACTCGTATTTCTTATCACAGTTTTCAATTTTTCCTAATATGACTAGTTTAGTGTCAGATGGCACTGATGCTCCAATCACATCTGTCTCTCGGTGTTAACGACTTGCTAGATTAACACATCTCTTACTATATTGCTATTATGATTATTTTAATTACTATTACATTATTTATTATTATACTATTTATTATTATATTATTGTTAAATTATTCATATTATTTTTGTTATGTCAAATACTATTATTTGGTTCATCCTACCAAACGACACATTCTACTGACCATGTTCCTTCATGTTTAATTGTCAGTATTGTTCTCTAGTCACAAATGCTGTACATAAAGTTAAATTAAACCATATAAACAGTTAGTACGTTGTCACTCACCTGTTGCACATTCGATATCCGGTGATCCAGTTGTACCTGGAATACATCTGCAAACGAACTCTGATCTGTCCCTGATACATTCTGCATTCTTACCGCAACCCACTGTTCGACAGTCTGGACGTATGCCTATAATATAAAATAACATTAGTCGCCTCTTTCATTAATTTAGCCATCAAAATATAGCATTTCAGAAGTAAGCAAATTCCACATCTAGGGAAAATGATAATTACCATCACACTGACAACCCAAATAGGGATCACCGTAACAGCTGGATTTACAAGTACACTCATACCCGCTGGAAGTCTCTCGGCAATCTGCATTCGAACCGCAAGGGTTTCGAAGACATTCTTCATTTCCTGAATCATTTATTTGGAGAATTTAACATTACAATTTAATTTTACATTGAAAACAAAAAAATCTAAATTTTTTCTCTACTTTTCCTACCTTGTTTGCATGAAACTTTAGGATTTCCTATATGACCTGGTGGACATGAACACTGAGCTTGTCTGTTTGCGACACGACATTGAGCATTAAAGCCGCAAACACCATTTTGCATGCAGGGATCTGTACATACTCCAAATTCACTGCAGTGTTTATTTGGTTCACAATCCTCGTGATGATGACATTCCAATTGATAACATTCCTGACTTGGCTCTCCTTGATATCCTTCTGGACATAAGCAAACTGCTCGATGATTAGAGACTCTGCAAAGTGCATTGAGACCACATGGTTTCGATCCCGAGGAACATGGATCTGCACACTGTCCATTCATGCAAGATAATAAGTCTGGACAATCTGAATGACTTCGACAACCAAAGAGACATAATCCATTTTCGCACATGTAGCCCTGAAATTTCGCAATATATTTATTTTCAAAAAAAAAAATTATCAAAATACATATTGTATATAGAAGAATTTCTCCAACTTCACTACTAACGGAAAATGCTCCTACTATCCTACATCTCCACTATCGTCAAGCCATCCACTCCTCTTTGTTATTTTCTTGCTACTCACCTCTCTTTTCTCATTTTTCGAATTACTCTTTAATACAATTTCTTTTTAAAAGAAATTTTTACTTAACAAAATTTTTAGATAGCGAACTTTTATTTGTCAGAATTTCTTTCTCCCCAACTTTTCATTTAAAAGAATTCTAATTTAACCGAATTTCAATTTAGGCATAATTTTCATTTAACAAAATTTTAAGTGATAAGAATTTTTAAATGTCAACATTTCTAATTCATCGAATCTTCATGTGTTCAAATTTTTATTTCATTTAATTCTTAAAAGGACGAATCTTCATTTATCCGAAATTGTAAATGAAATATTACGGCGCGATTATTAAAATTGACCAATCAGAAATTATCAAGAAAATCGTGATTGGTTAATATTAAAAACAGCGCCGAAATATTTCTGTTGATTGTATATTCGGCCATTTGCAATTTCGGATAAATGAAGATTCGTCGTTTCAAGAATTAAATGAAATAAGAATTCAAACAAATGAAGATTCGGTGAATTAGAAATTTTGACATTTAAAAATTCATATCACTTTAAATTCTGTTAAATGAGACTCTGCTAAATTAAAGTTCGGTTAAATTAGAATTCTTTTAAATGAAAAGTTGTGTAAAGAGAAATTCTATAAAATAAAAATTCTATCAAATAAAAATTTGGTAGTTAAAAATTCCGTAAAATAAAAATTGTAACTAATGATTTTTATGGGATAATCATGAGTTTTTAAATTCTTATTCTATAGTAAGAAAAAAAGAAAAAAAGCGAATGAACGATTGTGGTGCTGGAGGAAGTGTCTATCGTAGAGGAAGCAAGAAAAGTGGATGTAAATAGAAAAGTGGAAATATTAAAAGGAATAATAAATAAAATGAAGAATAAGGAAGAAACAAAAAAACGTTTTTTAATAAAAAAAAGATAAGGAAAATATTTCTAGAGAAATAAATTGAATTTAATGAAGAATTACTTACTTTTGCACATTCGTTGTTATGATCACAGTTTACTCTACATTTTCCAGCATTGCAAACTTCACCACAGGAACATTGATTTTGAGATCGACAGCTTTTAACACAAAATCCTGTTTCGTCGCACTCACATGAACCATCGCATGGAATCATCGATTTCATACAACTAATGCGTGCGTCGCCATAATAATTTGGAGGACAACTACATTGGGCAACATGATTTACCACACGACAGCCAGCACATTCTCCACATGATTTACCTCCTTCACATGGATCTTTAAAACAAATAATTTAATATTATTATGTCCTGCTATTAAAGTTTCGTTTAAAATATAGAAACAGAAATTATTTCCTGACAAAAATTGGCACTTACTTCTACATCTATTTTCAATACAGGATTCATCGGAAGGACAAGCGTTGTCACTGCGGCATCCAATGTCACACAAACGATTTTCGCATACTTGATTGGACGAACATTGATCGTCTGTGTTGCATATTGTCTTGCAAAGTCCTCCGTCACATCGTTCATCATTTAAACAATTCACATCACTAGAATTAATTTTTATTTAATTATTCCTTGAATTTCGAGAAAAAATATTAAATAAAATTATCAACTTACCTTCGACAAGTTGAGTAACAGGATTTCACGTAGCAAGCTTGACCAGGCGAACAATCAGACAGATCTGAACAGGGTAGGAAAGATTGTCTGCAGCTAATAAGTGGATCTCCTATTAATGATTCTGGACAGCTGCACCGTTTCCAATGATTGACAACCGAACAATGAGCATTAATACCACAGGCATTTGACAAACTGCATGGGTCTGGAAATCAAAAATCATGATAATGTAAAGTTTAATTATTAAACTGTGACGAAAAGTCTAAAATTCCATTGAATTTAGTTTGGGACTTAATATAATGATTAATAAAATTCAAATACCTATGCACTGGTTGTTAATGCATGCGAGATTTTCCTGGCATTCAATGTCGGCTCGACATCCACCCAAACAGATTAATCCTTCGCAGATCTCACCACTCTGGCAGTCTTCGTCCCTTCTGCAGAGGCCTCTACAGACTCCAGTTGAATCACAACGTTCATTACTCAAACAATTTGCATTCGATGAACAAACTGGCGTGCAAGTACCAGAAATGCAAGCCGTTCCTGCCAAACAATCTCTATTTGCTTGACACGATGGACCTGGTGAACGGAGACACGCAACTTTTGCTGTTGGATTTGGAATAAAACCCGTGGAACATGAGCATGAGGCTCGTTGATTTATAACCGTGCATTTTGCATTAGGACCACAAGGTGTGATCTCACAAGGATTGGCGCATTTATTTCCAAGACAAGCCTCGTTTGCATTACAATCTTCGTCCGCTCGACATCCAAAAGTGCACATATTGTTTAGACAAATATGTCCCAAGAAGCAATCATTGTCCAATCTACATGTTAGAAGACAATTTCCTCTCACGCATTTCTCATTAAAGGCACATTCATTGTCCACTTGACAAACAGGCAGACAAACATTGTCTCGACAAGTATTTCCCACGTTGCAATCGATGGTATTCGTGCAAGACACTGGCACTGTAAAAAATAAAATAATAAATAAAACCAAATGGCATCAATTATGATTAAAAATTTGGGAATTATCTTTAAAAAAATACTAACGTCTCACGCATTCTACTTCGGAATTTCCTGTGAATCCTGGCGGGCAACCGCAGTGTTTCAAATGATTTCGAACAGTACATTCAGCATTAATACCACAAGCTGCTCGTATTTGACATGGGTCCAAGCATTGACCGTTGATGCAGACGTCAGACAAGGTACATTCATTATCAGATTGGCAAGATGCTGAAAAAATTGTTACCACAGTTTAATTATTATAATTTTATTCAGCTTTGAACTGGGTGTCCAGCAATTATTGAAAAAAAATTCAAGGACTTTTCAAGATAACATTAATTTCGATGAGTTGAAATTTCACCGGTCCCTCCCCTGAAGAGATATAAATTGGAAGAAAAAAAAAGAAATAAACAGAAAAATTCATTGAACTTACGTCGGCAGATGCTTTCATAACAGTAGGTATTGAAGCTGCATTCTGCAGAAGACGAACAGACGACTGGCGTTGGACGACATCCGATACTTAATTCATTAGCGTCACCTTCATAACCAGGTTGACATTTGCAAGAACCAATATGATGTAAAGCAGAACAATCTGCATTTGGACCACACTGAATGCGAGCGCATACATCTGAAAAAGGAAAAATAAAATAAAAATTCTTAATATACCGAAAAGTGGAAACAAAGAAATTTTCGTTACTGTTTTAGGCAATTTAATGAAAGTTTTATGTAAAAATATCAAACATACCATGACACTTGGGAACGTTGTTGATATTGACGCAATTAGCAGTATCTGGACAATCTTCATTGTGTAGACATTCGACTGGTTGTTGACAGCCACTATTGTATGGATCACCAACTGTTCCAGGTTGACAATAACACTTGTATGATCCTTTTGAGTTTTCACAAACAGCACCAGGTGCGCAAGGTATATCAGCACAGAAGTTGATCAATTCGCATCCAAGAGATGGATCTCCAGTATAACCAGGTTGACATGTGCATATCTGTAATCATAAATCATGTTCAACATTAAATTTTTCTAATCAATGTTTAAAAATATAGTAATATCTAAAATTCCAATTTTTAGATGATTTTGAAATTACCGAATGTTTGATTAAAACGAAATTAACCGGTAATTTTTAAATATTTAGATAAATATTAATTTTTACCTGAAGATGTCGTTCCGTTGAACAAAGTGCATTAACTCCACAAGGATTATGAGCCAAACAAGCGATTCTACACTTGTGATCCTCGCAAATCTTCTCCTCGGAACACTCCTCTTTTGTTTCGCATTCAATTGGTTGACAACCGATCTTATCGTCATTTGGATCACCAAAGAATCCTGGTTGACAAGTACACTTGGCCTTGTGATTATCAGCATCACAGATTGCATTACGTCCACAGAAAGCAAGATTGCAGGCTATCTGACATTCAGCCTATTGAGAGATTTAATTCAAGTAATTTATTAGAATTAAAAATTTTTGTATTGTTTTTAGTTCTAATTTCATTGCATTTTATACTAAAAAAGACATATTTTTTTTAAAAATTTGGTAAAAAATGTAAAAAGTCGCATCTTATTAAAATAAGTCGAAAAAAGTCATATAATCCGAGGGCTGAGAATTAGATTACTTACTTGTCCAATGTTGTTCTTAACACACTTCTCGTTATAGTCGCAATCATCGTTAGTAATGCATTTCAATTCCTGTACACAGATGCTGTTCAGACAGTATTGATAATCAGGACATGTGGCATTGTGTCTACATGTTGGTTGACAAAGGCCATTGATACATAACTGATCACCAATGCAATCACGCGTGCTGGAACATAATGATGTACAGATTCCACCGTTGCAGGATGACCCTGTTGGACATTGATGATCAGCTTTACAGTACTGAACAGGTGTACAACCAAGGTTAGGATCTCCAGTGTGACCGGGTTGACAAGTGCAAACTGCGCTGTGATTCAGAGGAGAACAATCTGCTCCTGGACCACAGACATTGGGAACTGAACAAGGATCTACACACTTGTGATCAAAGCACGATCTGGATGGACCACAATCACTGTGGTAATTACATTCCAAATGGATACATTCCACCTAAAAGAGAATCATTATTTATTACTTTGACATTAGTTTTGAAAAACAATTTTCAAGATTTTGAATCAGTTCAAAATTCTTCATACCAATGGATCTCCTCTTGTTTGGCCAGGACATTTACAATGTGGTACATGATCTTTGACGAGGCATTGGGCATTTTTACCGCAGACAGAAGAAGCGCTGCATGGATCACGACAAGTGTTATCAATGCAAGCTGCAGAATTTGGACAATCGGTGTGGGTGAAACAATCACCTGGTTGTTTACATCCAGTTTTAAAAGGATCACCAACTAAACCGTGAGGACAAGTGCAAGTAAAAGAACCGTCTGTATTTTGGCAACTGAAATCAGAAATTTTACATTAAATCTTCGCTAGTCGAATATAGAATTTCGAAAATACAATACTTACATTGCTGTGTTGTGACATGGATTTTGTAGGCATTCGTCGACATCGACACAGCTATCACCAAGGAGAGAAAAGCCTGGGTAGCATTTGCAGTTACCCTCATGATTGATTGCCACACAATTACCATACCCACAATTAATTTGATTACAAGGACTTGTGCATTTGTTGACATCTTGATTGCAGAATTTATCCACTGGACAGTCATTGTTTGAAAGACATTCGACCTTAAAGCATCCAGAAGCATCGCCAATGTATCCAGCTTGACACTGACAGGCAGCGGCATGATCAAACACAGAGCAAATCGTGTTCGGTCCACAATCAACTCGAGAGCATGGATCAGTGCAATTGTGTTGCACACACGATAAAGAATCAGGACAATTACTATCAGAATTGCAACGATGAGGTAACAAACAGCCCAAAACAACTGCATCGCCAGCCGTTCCCGCGGGACATGAACATTTATACGATCCTTGAAGATTGATACATTCCGCAGTGGGATGACAAGGATGATCATCGCATTCGTTGATGTCGAGACATTTATCTGGACTGGCAATGAAACCCTGACCGCATCTACACTTGTGATTAATGCAAATTTGATCTGAACTGCATCCAGCATCAGATGTGCAACCAATTTCACAACTACCTTCAATGCACAATTCACCAGGTAAACAATTGCTGTCTCCGTAACACATCTTGTAGCACAATCCATTCTTACAACGTTCACCCTGGGCACAATTGCTTTGATCTTTGCACTGAGATTGACACAAACCAGAAATGCACAAGTGTTGATTCGGACAAATTCCTGATAGACCACATGGACTTGGAAATCGAACACATCCCTGTTGTGGTGTGGGATTACCCTGGAAACCTTCCGGACATTCACAAATTGTTCGATGATCTTGACAACTACAAACCGCATTTGGACCACATACATTCTCCCGTTTACATGGATCTGAAACAAATATAATTGCAAATTGTTACAGGAAGTATTTCTTATTCTTCAAATTTTAAATAGTGTCGACAAATTTAATTCTTTATTTTATAAATAATTGAATCTCTGACTAATTATCGACATATGCGATCCTGGCGTTGTCATGGTAACGACGCATATGTGACCAAGGATCCTTATCTTATAAATTTCCTGAATCCGAAAGATTGTGCGAATCTATACAAAAACGAAAAGTAGGAAAGTAATGTCGTAACAGCTGCGACTTTGTGCTGTTATTATATTACTTTCCTACTTTTCGTTTTCCAATCGCGTTTTTGTATGGATTGGCACAATCTTTCGGATTTAGCACATTTATAAGATAAGGATTCTTGGTGTTTTGTAAAAAGTGTCCGTGTTTCGAGAAAAATGTGTTTTAAAATCAATGTTTATCATTTTCACGTTTAGTGCCGTTTTTATAAGGTGATAATTGAAAGCCTCTCTTTGCCAAAGGATTTCAGAGACCGTTCGACAATCTTAAAGTAAATTACATTTAAATGTAAAAAACTCCTGTTTCAAGGTTATTGAAATATTTGAATAAATAAGAAAATCGTTATGAATTACCTTGACATTTGTGATTGATGCAAGATTGATCCAATTGACAATTTCTGCTACTACGACAACCCAACATACAGACGCTATTGACGCATGCTGAGTCGGTTTGACATTGACTGTGCGAAACACAAGAAATGGCGCATTTATTATTGATACATTTTTCACCATTCGCACAGTCATCAGATGTACGACAAACGGCTCTACATTGTCCTTCGAGACAAATTCTGTCTTCACATTCAGCATCGATTGTGCAATAATTTGAATCTCGAACACAACCATCTTGTATACCTTTAGTTGAAGGTATAAATTTGTGAATGCATCGGCAAATTGGCTCTCCGTTAACGATCTCACAAAGTGTATTGGAACCGCAAGCGTTCTCGCAAGGATTAATGCAACGATGATTTTGACAAATCGAATGAACCGGACATTCTTTATTACTTTTACATTGACCCTCTTCTTGACAGCCGGAACTATAGGGATCACCGACATGATTAGGTGGACATTGACAAACGGGACTACTGGAAGCACCGGCAATGCAAATTGCAGATGGATGGCACGGATTTGGGGAACAACTCTCGACAGCAATACATTCGACATCTGGCAGTGGATTGGCTTTAAAACCCGGGGGACATTGGCAAATGGCCTTATGATCATCGGCAATACAAACCGCGTTTACACCACATGCGCTCTTGTCGCACGCGTCGTAACATTTGTGTTCGAGTCTATTGCAAAGTTGAGTTGGAGGGCAATCGATGTTATAAACACAGGGGACAGATTTACAACCGTTAGTGGGATCATTGGGATCACCGGCATAAAGACCTGGAGGACATTCGCAATTAGCCACGTGATTATTAACGACACAAAGTGCATTGGGACCGCAAGAGATGAAATTACAAACGGGCTGACAGGACAAAACACCTTCTAATGACGATTTGCAAGTATGATCTTCCGCGCAATCTGTATCAGTCGTGCACTGATCCTTACGAGTACTTTGACAGCCGTATCGATCGTTTGGATTGCCAGTAAAGCCTGGTAGGCATTCACAGTGAGCCTTGTGATTGTCGGCAACACATTGGGAGTTGACGGTGCAAGTGAATGTTTCGCATAACGAGATACATTTGAGAACACCTAGAGCGTCTGGACGACATGCAGCTTTGTGATAACAATCGTGATCGTGAATACAGTCTGGAACTGAAGGCTTCTCACAGGATGATAAAACAGGGTTCCATTCATAGGAGTCGTAACATTTGCAGGTAGCGTGACCAATTTGATCAACTTCACATCTTTGATTGGTACCACATGCAACTTTACTGCAGGGATTTGTACATTCGTGAATTCCAGACTCTCCGAGTATGCAAAAGGTTCCCGATCTGCAGTCTTCGTGCGAATCACAAGAGGCAGGACTGATGGATTTTTTAGGTTGACAGCCTTCTCGCAAATCACTGGGATTTCCATAGTGACCCTCGATGCAAAGACAAGAGGATGCGTGATGTTGGGTGACACAGAGGGCGTTTGGTCCACACTGTAGTTTACTGCACGCGTCCACACACTTTCTTACACCCTTGCCAATTGAGAAGCAAATTTCCTGTGTTTCACAGTCCAAGTCGTTTGAACAGTGACCACGTTGATGGCATCCTTTCGATAAATCATTGGGATTTCCACTGTAACCCGGTGGACAAACACAGATTCCATCTTGGCAAGCTGATCTTGGACCACAGTGCACATCACTACACTTGTCAATACACTTTCCACTGACGCACGTGAAATCCACAGGACAAGGCATTTCAGAATTACATCTACAAGTTGCAGGATCTGTGCACGGTCCAATTTGTAACTTTTGACAATCAACGAAAGGATTTCCAAAGAAATCTTCCTTGCAACGACAATCGTAGCTGCCGATCGTATTAATACAAACTGCATTACTGCCACAAGCGTTTCCATTGCATTCGTCAATATCGAAACATTGAATATAAGGATTTCCAGCAAATCCTGCTGGACAGAGACATTCAATAGCATTAAGTCCAGCACTACAGTGAGCATCCTTTCCACACGAGTCCAGGGAGCAATCAGACTTATGTTGAATTCCACAGCCATGATATGGATTACCATTGGTACCAGGATTGCAAACACATTTAGAATCAAGTAGACTGTACTCGCAATGCGCATTCGATCCACAAGGTGGACTACACTGAGGTGGTTGAGCCGGTGGCATGCAAAGAAGATCGGGATTTCCAACGAAATATGGATTACAAACACACTTGTTATTTTCGGGATCGCAACTTGCTCCAATTCCACAAACAACACCTTCACATCGTCGTTTGCATCGTCCACCTATGCACACGCTTGGCTCTGCGCAAGGGATTTCTGGAGAACATACATCTGGAACACACTGACCTCCTGGGAAGGGATTACCCATGAATCCTTCAATGCACTTGCAAGTTGGTCCATCGTAACTGACAATGCATTGCGCTCCACTGCCGCAAACATATCCATCACATTCTGGAAAAAGTATTTATTATTAAAAATTATAAAATTGAATAAAATTTTCAACAAAAGGTGGACTGTTGATAAAACTTACGAGAAACACATTCGTTGTTTTTGCCTTCAGTAAATCCGTTAAGACATCGACACCAAGGAGCATGTTTGTCAGGTTCGCAGTATGCATTTGGTCCACATGGCACATTGTCGCAGGGATTGACGCAGCTGCCTTGAACACAGGACAAATAATTCTCGCAATGATCGTTCGATGAACATTCTTGTTTGGCTGTGGGTGCTCCGGAACATCCCGCTCCATATGGATCACCGGACATTCCTTTTGGACATTCGCAAACGTGTCCTCCTTTGATATTAAAGCAGTAGGCGCCTCGTCCGCAAGGATTGTTGGTACACTCATTGACATCGACGCAACCATGTTGTGGATCTCCCTCGTAACCTGCCTCACACATGCATCTTGGTGGATCGCTTGGTGTACATTTTGCGTTAAGTCCGCATGGAAATCGATCACAAGGATCTGCAAATAATTTACAATTAAAACTAATCTAAAACTTGATTTCGGATTACTACAATTAGAGTAAAATTTGAATTAAAGTAGAACTGAACTTTAATTTTTTGACTGTTTTTGAGCCAACTTTCACGGTTTGCATACGCTAATTTTTTTTTTATAAAAAACTTGAGTTTTCCAAAAAACTAACCAATTCTGAAAATTATGGTGAATTTTGAAAGCTAAATAGATGTATTTTAAGAGAAAATTATTCAAATTTGATTTACATTGAAAAAAATATAATTATTTGATGAGATGAAAAGTAACCAAAATTGAAAAATTGACGCATGGGAAAAATAACTTGAAAATAGATTTAGGGAGGTAAAAAAATCTTCAATATATTTTTAACCATCCCAATTTTCCATTCTAGGGTTAAAAATATTAATTTTTGACAGAGAAATAAAAAAAAGTCAAGGTCAAGGTGTCATTTCTTTCAGAATTTTATTAGCTTTTAGAAAATAAGAATTAAAAAATTTTAGTTTTAATATTTTTGAAGATTTAATCCGTTTTATAATTATTAAAAAAGTAGAGGTCGCACAATTTTCGACGGTAGTGTATATGAAATTTGTTTGATTTCTTTTTAATATTTTAAATATATAATAGTAAAAAAATAACGTAATTGCAATGTAAGAATCTAAAAAATGGAAATTAACTCCAAAAAGTGAGTTTTCTTAAAAACGAAATTCTGTATTATTTTCAGAAATACATATAATGTAAATCTTTGCATCCTGCTTAAAAATTGTAAATAATATTTTAATGGCAAAAACACCACTTTCGCATAAACAGGAATAAGTTCCTTATTTATCAAAGATTGAATTAAAAAAAATTTCAAAAATCAATCACTTTGGTTTTGAGAAAAATCACTTTTTAGACTTAATTTTAATTTTTTAGATTCTTTCCTTGTAGTTAAGTAATTTTTTTCAACGTAATATTTAAAATATTAATAAAAATCGTACATATTTCATATATATTATTTTTTAACTGTTAGTATGACAGAGAAAAACGAATTTTAAAAATACTCGGCTTTTGATGACGTTAAATTTAAAAAAATCCTAACTTCTATAATTTTTGTCAAACGAAAAAATAAAAAATTTTCTTATTTTTCATAAAAGTTTCGAAAAAAAATGTTTCAGTCAAAAAAAATTTGTTGAAGAGAATAGAATGTATGCATAAGAAATATGAAGTTATCGATAGGGATGAATAAGAATTGTGTAGTTTATAATTATAATAAGATTTATCTAATTATAAGATTTGATTGAAACATACTTTTGCAGAGATTGCCACTAAGAGGATCCGTATAGAATGGAGGTGGACAAACACATTCACCGGGTTGAACGCATTTCTCATTGGGTTTACATTCATTGTCGTTTGTACATCGTTTTTGAGCTGGAGAACAGAGACCATTGTAGGGATCACCACCATATCCTCGGGGACAGACGCATTGATGAGAACCAGGTAAGTTAATGCACTCGGCACCATATCCACACACTTGGTGTCCTTCGATACACTCGTTTATGTCTGCAAGAACACGTTATAAGTAAAGTCTAGTTGGATAAATAATTCTAGAAAGACCGTATCTCATCGTCGTTTTTTCTTTTATTTATTACCTTCGCAAGATCCATCGGGTTTAGTGCTGTAGCCTTTGGGACAGGCGCAGTAACTGACGCCACCCGCTATCGTGATACATTCAGCACCGGCGGGACAAGTTTCGCCCTTCGAACAACCAGCCAGCATACACTTACCATTTACAATCTTGTAAGGTGGTTGACACTGGCACTCGATACTGTTGCATTCTAGGAACAATTAAGCGACTTGTTACGATTTACCATTTAAACTCTTTTTTTTTAATTCGCTGATGACATGTACAGATTTTAATTGAATAAAAGAAAAATAAAAAAAGAGTACCTTCGCAAAGAGAGAAAGGATTCCCGTTAAAACCAGGTGGACATTGACACTCATAACTGCCGGGAAGATTTTTACAGATTGCATTCACTCCACAAGCGGGCTTGTCCCTCAATTCAAGACATTCATTAATATCTCGACATTTGTGTGTTTCAGCGTCGCGAGTGTATCCTCTTTGGCAGATGCAAACGCTACTTCCGACAAATTCATCCTTGATACATTGTTCGCCAAGTGGACATGGACTGTTGGGTCCGCAAACATGGGGCAACAGTGATTTTTCACATCCACCACTGTAGGGATCTCCAGACATTCCACTTGGACATTGACAAGAGAAACTTCCGGGTTCGTTGTAACAGACAGCGCCTTGTGGACATGGATTCGTTGAACATTCATCAATATCTCTACAGCCTCCCTTGACTCCTGGTTTACCCGTGTAACCGTTACTGCACAAACAGTTCGCGACGTCATTCAATAACATACAGTGGGCATTTGGACCACAGGAAAGTTCTTCACATGGATCTGAAATTTTTAATTCGTTTTAATAATCCATAATTCTATAATAATTTCATTCAGAAACTTTTAAAGAATTTTAACAGGGTTGCCACAAGTCAGGGAATTTAAATAAATGTAATGCTAAAAATTAATTTGATTAAAAGCTTTAAAACTAATTGAATTTTTAAAATGAATTTCATTAAAACAAATAATTGTAGAATTAGTTTACTAAAATTCAAAATAAATATTTGATTTGAATCTTAGAAGTTGTTATAAATAAATAATATGTTAAATTGTTGAAATTAATGAAATAACTCACGTCTACAGTCATTTCCAACGTTTGGCTCAGGACACAAGCAACGTTTTTGAGGATCACAAATGGCATTTCCTGGACAGTCATTTTCCACATCGCAAGTGACGACTCCAACGCACTTGATGTGAGGATCTGGATCAGGAATAGTTTCTGGTGGACATGAACAACTGTAAGAGCCTTCTTTATTCGTGCAAGTGGCTCCATGTCCACACGCATCAGGTCGAGAACATTCATCAACATCTGTTATAGAACATTAAATATTTAAATAATAATTAATTCACCTTTAATTCAAACTATAAAATATTTTTTATACGTCAAAACTAACATCTTATTAGCTCTAGCAAACATTTTATTTGATGTAGCAAATTTTTTCCATGTGTAATATTAAATGTTTAAATTATTTAATAAACATTTGGTCAGGAAATTTTTTTCAGTATAAAAAAAATTTCTAACGTTACCTAAACATTGTTTTAAGGCATTTCCGGAGAATCCTTGTTTGCACTGACAACTGTATCCGCCAGGCGAATTTGTGCAAATTGCATTTTTACCACATCGACCAGAGGGACCATTAATTTCATCACATTCGTTGATGTCTGTTGGAATAAGATTTACATGACATTTAATAATAATTAATAATATGAAATATGATAAACTAAAAGTATATTAAAGGAACCAAATATGAGATAAGATATCATACCAACACATCCAGCTGAGATATCATTTGGATTGAACGTCCATCCATCTTCGCAAATACAATAGGCTTCATGACCTTCGGGTTTACAGAAGGCGTGTTCACCACAAATTACTTCGTCGCATGGGGCTAATAATTATGAAAATAGTAAAAACATTTAAATTTTTCACTGAATAAAATGTAAGTCACTTTAATTAATAGAAAATAATTTTTATTTTTAATAAAAATACAATAACGTATAAATAATGATAAATAAAAATTTTTTTATTATTATTTATTATTATATTATTTTAATTTACTTATTAATAACAATAATTAATATTATTATTATTCTTTCAATTGATAAAAAAGGGTTTTTCAATTTTTAATTTATTTATAATCTATTAAATGAAAAATAAATGAGAAAATGTTTTTTTCTATTTTTCATTAATAATAATCAATTGTAAATATATATTTTTTAAAAAATAAAAAACAACATTATTTTCAACTACCTTTGCAAGGCGAATGTGGTGGTGTTCCAATGAATCCAGTTTCACAATCACAATGGAAATGTCCTCTTGTGTTGGTGCAGACGGAATTTGGTCCACATGGATTCTTCAAACACTCATCAATATCTTCACATTCAGCTCCAATGGCCTTGAAACCATCTTTACAGAAACACTGACCTTCGATGCATTCAGCATTGTTAACGCACTCAAAATTGGTTTTGCAGAGTGTTGCGACGTCCGTCTTAAATGTAAAAAAATTAGTACATATATAATTAATTAATTTTTTTTAAATCTCTTGTCATTTGTTATTCCATGAAAAAAATTTAATAATAGTTCAATTATTTAACATTTTTAAACGCGTCCTTAAGAGGCAAAGTTTTTTATATATATTTGTTCCACTAAAAAAAAGTTTACCTATTTAATTCAAATAATCGGTTACTTGATTATAATCAAATAAATATTTATTTTTATGAAACAATTACTTATTTCGAGTCAATTAAAAGTTACTTATTTTAAATATAGAAATTATTTATTATTATCTTTTATTAATAATAAATAAAATAATTAATTGATATCTTCTTCTTAATATTAAAATAATAAAAATTGATAAAAATATCACTAAATTATTAATACGTAAATATTATAATTTATTTTTCTAAAAACATAATATATAAAAATTTAAATAATTTTATTTGGATTTTTCACATTTTTTAGTTAAAAACTTCTATAAGCGCATATTTTTGAATAAAGTCATTTAATTCTAAAAAGGTTTTTTCTTTAATTTTTTTCACTTGAAAATAAATATTTCTTTTGATACAATAAAAAATAATGAATATTAATAATTTGCGGAAAAATTACGAAAAAAATTGAGTTAAATTTTTTTTATCCAAAAAAGTTTAGATATTTTTGCAAGTTATTAACATTTTTTATTTTTGACGACATTTTTTTAAAACAATGTTGAAAAGTGAAAAAATAAGTCAAGAAACAACAAAAAAAAAACCTCTAAAATTTGTCAAATTTTAGAGATTTGAATAAAATATTGAAAATATTTTGTTTTCTTCTAAAAAATAAAGAAACGCCAAATTAAATTTTTATGGTAAGTAGTAGATATGTGTACCAATAAATTCTGAAAATTTGGTGCTAAAAGAAGGTGGCCTTTTTGAGAAAAAAAAATTTTTTTTCGAAAAATTACATTTTTATCCTTGAATATCAATAATTTTCATTCTGCATAATTTTTTTTAAAACAGTATAAAAAATGAAAAAAATAATCTCAAGGGCAACAAAAAAGAATTAAAAAGTACGGAAGTTATGACATTGTTAAGATAAAAATGCAGAAAAACTCATTTTTTTGCCAAAAATTAAAAAAAAAAAATCGTAAAAAATACGAAAAAAGTCGAATAAAAATTTGAAAAAATACGTATTTCTTTATCTTCCAAGTAGAATAACATATCTGATTGTGACGTTAATTCGCAATATATCATTACTTTAAATAAAATTTTTAAACTAAAAAAATCCTGAGGCAATTGGTACTTCCGCACTTAATTTAAATACAGAAATTAATTTAAAAAACCATCTTACCTGATCACAAGCGACTTTCGGATTAGGATTGGCACTAAATCCTGGTGGACAAAGACATGTATATCCAGGAATTGTGTTCTTGCAAATGGCATTGGTTCCGCATGGATTGTCCAAAGCTGTACACTCGTCGATGTCTATATATTATAAATTAATACAAAAAATAATTAGTAAAAAGAAACCTGAAATTTTTGACGGAAGAAAGAACAAATAATCAGATAGAGATTATATAATATTATATATATTATATAGTGAAAGAAATAAAATAAAATTCTAACCACTGCATCCCTTGAACGGATCACCGGTGTATTCTGCCTTGCAGCTACATACAAAGCTGCCTATTGTATCTGTGCATTCCGCGTTTTCTCCACAAGGACTTTTCTCGCATTCGTTAATATCTGTTAATAGTTTTATTCAATCATCGGACAGTTAATTATTAGGTGTCATTAATAAAGGAATAGTTTAAATTCTCGAAAGCAAACAACTTTTATTTACACATTTTACGGACAAAAATAAAGTGCGAATAATTCTGTTTAATTTATTTATTTTTATTTTTTTTAGACGGATGTATAAGGGGAATTCTTTCACAAACGTATGAAAAATTAAAAGCTTTTTGTATTGGGATGAAACTTTGGTAGGAAAATAAAAGAAAAAGATATTTTTTTGTAATATTTTGAAAATTAAAAAATTTTTTTTTTGAAAACAGAGAGTTTAAAAATTCTTTTTTTAAAAAACTTTTTTGTCAATTAAAAAATTTTTTAATTTTTAACTAACACGTTCAAGAAAAAATTACCCTCCTTCCATATATGATTTATGTAAAATTGTGCAAAATAATGTTTCGAAAATACTTTCAAAAATACAAATTGGGATTTATTTCCTCAAAGTTAACTACTATTATTTAAAGAAAAAAGTGAATATTTTTATGACTTCCAAAAGAAGAAAACGAAATAAATAAAAAAAAATAATTTTCCCTTCTCTTAGAAAGGAACTTGTTAATTATATTAAGAGAAATTAAAATTCGATCCATGAAAGGAAGACAAATATATAATTTTAAATAGGTCTTGATAATTGGTTATATATGCGGTAATTATTTAATCGTTAAAACAGCTAATGCGTATATATAAATTGCAATCCAAAAGAACAAGAATGTTTGAGATAAGAATTCTTTATTTTTACTTATTTGCACATTTAACGACTTTTGCAAGAAAAATATTATATTGGTTTCAAAAATCTATTAAATAAACCCTTCATTTTTTATTTTATTTTATACTTTCTTTTCATAAGTTTAACTAGAAAGTATGTAATGTAACATTTTTTATTATATTATTTTTGTGTCCCTTAAGATCAAAATTATATTTAAAAAAATCAAAATTAGTGCATTTTGCAAGAGATAGAAAAGTAGTTGTGGGGTTTTATACACCCAGAAAAAAGATATATTTGTTTCAGAGCCAAATAAATTTTATTTAAGTTAAATCCAAATTGTTTGAGATAAATAAAATTTACTTGAATCAAATAAAACTATATTTGTCTTAGAGTATAATATCTTGTTATTTGTTTCAAACAAATAATTTAATTTTGCACAAATAAAATTTTATTTAGCTCAAATAAATTTTTTTTGAAACGAAATAAAATTTATTACAAAATAAATATTTATTTGTTTCTGAAACAAATAAATCTTTCCCCTCGGTGCATTTTTAGTGGAAGTCTAAATATAAAATTTTATTCAATTTTAATAAAATATTTTTTGAGTTATAGAATTTTGAAAGTTTTACTTTTTTGAGAATTAATTTTGTTTAATTTATTTTTTATAAGCAGAATTCATAAAAGTTGATAAAATTATATATATATATAATAATTTTTAGAAATTTTTTTTTGAGAAAATAATAAGAATTTGAGTTGTTTGCGTTCAAGAATTGAAATTATATAAAGCTTATTAAAAAGGAAACTGACTTTCGCATAGCGTAAGTCCCTGGCCAACAAAGCCTCGAGGGCATAAACACTTAAACGTTCCTGGGACGTTGATGCACTTGGCGTTAGTGGCGCAGGGATTATTCTGAGCGCATTCGTTCACATCGACACAGCCGTGGATGGTATCCATTTGATATCCCAACCGACATCTGCACTCGAAGCTTCCTTCGCTGTTCACACATTCCGCGTCCGCACCACAAGGATTTCCCTCGCACTCGTTTATATCTAATATAGCGTTGTTAGTTGTATTTTTATTTATCATTCAACCTTAATATATAATTGCTATCTATTTTTCACCAAAATTTTTTAAATATTTACATACATATCACTTTTATTTATTTTCTTTTTGGAAAATGTAATAAAAAGTTTTTTAATTTTTCTTACACGGAAAAAAAGGAATAGTTAAATCTAATAACCGGAACGTCGGTGAAGTTCACTATCATCAATGATGGAAAACAAAAAATATTTTTCATCAGGTAAATAATAATAATTTTTGACAAAAAATTTTATTTTAAAAATTGTTGATTGAGTAATGATACAAAAATTTTTTTTGAGAAAAAAATTATAATGATTTAATTAGAAAAATATTTTTTTCTTCGAAATCGTTGATTATAAATGTTGTGAACTTTACCGACTTAACCGGATTGCTGATAAAGAATAAATCTGATTTGTCGTAAGTACAAATTTTTTGTTTTCTCAGTTTTACTGTTGGCACAACAATTTCGAATTGTTAGCCGAACAAAAAATTTGTTGCAACAATAAACCAGATTTGTTAGTTCTTAAAAATAAAACTGTCAGTGTAAAAATCTTTTTTTTCCGTGTGCATATTTCATTTTGTAAAAGTTATTTACAAAAAAAAAATTCACAAATTTTGAAATGTGACGCTTATAAATTTGCGATTTTAATTTTTTTTACATATTTTTCAAATTATTATTCATCTAGGATTAAATATTAAAATTTTGTATATACAGTAAGCCAATTTTTTTGTTAAATAAAGCTGAATTAAATAGTTTATTATTATTTTCGATTAGAACAATTGTATAAGTAGAAAGTTTTTAACTTGAAATAAAACTTTTGAAATCTTCGATTTTTCTTAACTTTTTAATTCCCAAATTTTGTCCTAAAATTTAGGGACATTATTTTAGTATTTAAAAAGTTATTAAAAAAATTGTACGATCACCATTTCTTATGTATGAACAATCGCTTTTTCGAAAAATCATCATAGAGAACTGTACATAATTTTAAATAAAAAAAATGACATACCATTTTCTATATAAAAAAACATGATTTTTTCGAATTTGCCTATAGTTTTAGAATATTTTTTATACCTATCCTACTTCTACGAGGATATTTCATGTGTCTGATGTTCTGAATGTTCAAATGAACGAAAATTTTTTTAGTACTTTTTTAACTTTAAATTTTATTATAAAAAAATATATCAAATTTTTAATGTATTCATTTCTTTTTCATTGCTGTACAATTTTTTGTTTTGTTTATATACCAAAAAAATGATTTCGTTCATTTGAAAGTTCAGAACTTGAGGCACATAATATTTCTGAATGTTGCAAATATATATTAATATATAGTAAACACTATTTCAAGTTCATTAACTCAAAACGTTATAAAAATAATATTAATGACATTTAAATAAATTAAAAAATTTTTAATTACAATTAAATATTTTTTTTCAAATCAATATGTTCCACTTATTGAGAAAATTAAATTTTAAAATGACCATCAAGAAAATGTCGACTACAGTTTAGATTTTTTTTCTACAATATGTCAGTCTAAAGTATGAACATTTTGAAATTGATCAGATTTGCTTAAAACTTGCTACTCGCTATCAGGGGTATTCGGATACGTTGATTTCGAATTAAATATTTTTAAAATTCAAAATGGTGGAATTTTTTAATTCGTCGAATTCACTTGAAATATGTTACTCGAAGCGAAATAAATATTGACTTTTGTAAAAATTTCAAATTTTAAAACTAAAAATTAAAAAAATTGTGTTTTTTAATTAAAAAAAATAGATTAATAGGGGTTGATTGCGAAATTAATATTGAATATTAAATTTTGAAAATTACAAATTTCAAAACTAAAAATCGAAAAAAATCGTGTTTTTTAATTAAAAAAAAAAAATAAAATAAAAAAGTGAAAATTTGTATTAATTCAGTACATGTATTATATTTCCTCTTTGCGATTGAATGAAAATAAACGCAGAAAATAGCGCATCGACTATATAAATGCGCGCATGTTTTTATTATGTGAGTATTTTTGCTTTTATTCATTTCATAGAACATAGATGATCATAAGATTTATCTTTGAGAATGGAGTGGTAATGTAATGCAATGTAATTATTCATCTTTTATTCCAAGTTCTCTTATTTTTAGTGGAAGGATTAACGAGATTAACGACTTCCTTCGCTTTATCGGTGTAGCGTGAAGTTAAACTATGTATAGCGTTATAAGTATAAATCAAGATTCTATCATTTGAAAATGTATATGACTTACCATGGCAGGCTGACATTGGGTCTCCCTCCATTCCTGGAGGGCAGGCACAGCGAAAAGTGCCATCCATATTCGTACACAAGGCCGATCGTCCGCAGGGAGTTCTAAGACACTCGTCCACATCCCTGCATCCATCCTCTGGATTTCCATCGTATCCCTCAGGGCATTCACATCTATGTGCACCAGGCAAATTCACGCACAACGCACCATGTCCACAAGCACCTTCGTAGTTACATTCGTTTATATCGGTACACTGTTCAAACACAAAGGGGCATTATTTCACATTTTATTTATCTATAAAAGCGCAAATCTATTCAAAAGACTGAGAAACGCGTTCACTCTTCTATTCAATTTAAATATATATCGTTATTTCGCTTATTGTTATTACATTTCTACAAAAAATAATCTTACACTAAAAGGAAAATTCCTCAATTTTAATATCCTATCAAATCTAGAGAAATATTTTATTTTTTTACTTGACAGCATTTTTAGATACCGAAGTTTTATTTTACAGAAATTATATTTACCTAACTTTTTATTTGAAAGAATTTTAATTCAGCAGAATTCTCATTCAAGAGAATTTTATGTGATTTGAATTTTTGAGTAACAAAATTTTCAATTTAACGAATCTTCATTTTTCCGAATTTTTATTGGATAAAATTGAGAAGTTAATTTTAATGAAGAAATATTGTAATAAATTATTTATACAAAAATATGTTTTGGATTTAAGACGTTTTGTTATTAATTTTATCATAAAAATGTCTATCATAATTGGAGAATTTTAAGGTTTTGGTAATTTAAAAAAAAAAAAAAAAGAAATAAAAATTATAAATCATTTTGGTTAAGCCCATATGTTTTTAAATTAAAATTTCATTGTTAATAAAATTCTTTTTTTAAATTCAATATTGACAGATTGATTAGTAAAGTCTTCAATATATTAAATTAATAAATTTTAATTAAATATTAATAATATATTAATAATAGAATTAAAATGGTAAATCTGTGTTTATCTCCACTTTTTTGAAAAATGGATTTATCGACTTTTGAAAATTTTCTCCTCGAAAAAAGATTTTGATGTGATTTTTAAAATTGACTGATCACAATTTTATCGATAATTTCTAATTAATTAATTTTAAAAATCGCATCGAATTCTTTCTGACTATTACTATATTCTGATAATAATGAGAAGGTATTTTTTTTGTCTATTTGCAATTTTGGATAAATGAAAATTCTGCGTTTTAAGAATTCTATTAAATAACAATTCGTGCAAATAAAAATTCAGACAAATGAAGATTCGGTGAATTGAAAAATTTGTCACTAAAAAATTCGAATCACATAAAATTCTTTTAAATGAGAGTTCTGCTAAATAAAAATTATTTAAAATAGGTAATTTAAAACTCAAGAAACCTTGTTCTTTTTCAAAAGTAAAAAATTCAAATAAATAAAAGGCAACATTTTACAAAATTACAAAAAAATGACAATAATTTTGAACAAATGACTGAATAAATATTTGGAAATATGAGTTAAAAATAGAAAAAAAGTTTGAACATGTGAACAATGAACTGCTATTTTTAAACCCAGTGGAAAAATAAAAGAATGAATGAATAATGTAAAATTTTCTTTGAAACAATATATATATGTTACTCACAAGTTTGTATGGGTCTCCCGAGTATCCCGGCTGACACGAGCACGTATAATTTCCAAGGGTATTCTGACAAAGACTATTTTCTCCACACGCATCTTGCAACGCACATTCGTCCACATCCTCGCAGTGGACCTCGCCATCGCCAGTGAATCCCGCTTTACATTTACATAGGAAATTCGAAGGTAAATTACAGCACTCAGCATTTTCGACGCACCGTGCAGCAAATTCTGGATTTTCACATTCGTTTATATCTGAAATTTCAAAATTTACACAATTTTAAAAAAATTATATTAATAGAGATATTTATCTCATTTTAATTTTGAATATAAAATTCTTTATTTATTTTACTTTCTTGGGTTTTTAAAAAAATACCATTTTCGATTTTGAAGGGTGAAAAATGTTATTTTGATCTTTTGGGATTTAAAAAAGTTATTTTATAATACCAAGCGTTAAAAAAGGCCATTTTACCTCCAACTAAAATCATTTCTTTCCGAGAGTCTGAACTTTTAATTATTTTAAAGAAATTATGTACATTACTTTTGAGAAAACTACAGTTTCTTGAAAATTGATGAATAAAATTTAGTAAAATTGAGTATCATTAGTAATGAATCAAATACGTTTTACCAAATTTTAATATAAAACTATTGTAAATTTCATAAAAATTGTTTAAATATTAAAATTTCTTTACCATATTTTTCACGACTTGAAAATACTTTTACAAAATTTGAAAATATTTTTATAAAATTTGATATTTATTTTCTTTCCGTATACTGTAATTGAATAGAAACTTGAAATATTTTCATACGGGTATAATAATCATAACAATATAAATAAAAAATAAATAAAATAATAAGTATAAAATTAAAAAATTACCCTCGCAGTGGAATCCATCGCCTTGATAACCAGGAAAGCAGGTACATTGATAGCTGCCAAGTGTATTCGTACAATGGGCAAAAATATCACAGGGTCGAAATTTACACTCGTTCTCATCTGCAAAATATGAAAATGAATGTACACATGTATGAAAAAAAAACTGAACAGTTAACAGTAAAGTTATAAGCCTTTGAACGGAACTTAATATAAAGGTCTTGACCGATGAGCGGTGAGCCACAGGCCTTTTTCAACTCTAATGATCGGTTAGTGATTGCTTTTCCTGTAAAGTACAAAATGCATATACCAACCTGGAACTTGGCAATTGCAGCCTCCGAAGCCATCATTGCAGTGACAGACTGAGTCGAGGCAAACTCCGTTTTGACACAGGGTACCATCTTCTTTGGTACAATCATCTGAAAATATGCAAAAAAAATTGTTTTTTTTAATTCACTCAATTTTTAATAATCAAAATAGAAAATTTTTCTATAATCCTCAAAAAATTAAAAATATATTTAACATGCAAAAAGTTAGCAACGTCATTTTGTTTTTTCGAAAACTAATTTTTTAAGTTCAAAAAAGTAAAAACAATTTTGCAAGACCAAAACTAAAAGAAATTCTCACAAAGATTTACTAAATCTTTAATAATAAATTATTGAAAATAATTCAAAAGTAAATTCCAAAAACGATTTTTCAACTCACAAATATTCAAAAAATATTATTTTTCGAAATCAAATTTTGTTGAAATAAAAATAAAATTTACGAAAAATAAGAAAAATTTTCAAAATAATTGGACATTAAAATTCCAAGAATCATTTTTTTCTTATCCAGAAATATTGAAAAAGTATTATTTTTTCTAAATTCAGAGAAACTTAAACTTTTAACTATCTTCTAAGGTTCTGAAATATTATAGATTTTTTTCTTATAGATTATAATTTATTTAATTTCTTTTTGAATAAGAAAAATTTTTGTAGTGTCGAATTAAAAATTATCGAATTTTTATTTTGCAAAATTTTATAAATTAGATTTTATAATAGGCTGAATTTTCAAATAATATAATTTTTATTTAACACTTAGCTAAATTTCTAAGTGAGAGATAAAAACAATTCTGTGAAATAAAAATGATTTTTATGAAAATTTTGCTTAACATAAATTCTTTTAAATGAAAATTGTATATTATTTAAAAATTCGATGTATTAAAAAATCTGCTATACAAAAGTTCAGGTAAATAATTCTATTAAATCAAAAAATTTTGTTAGACAGAGTTTCTTTAATATGAAAAATCGGCTCATTTTCAAATCTACTTTAAAAAATTCTACTGAATAAAAATTCGATAATTTTTAATTTGTCACAAAAAAAGTCTAACAGGTCTAATATCGGGAATATTCATGTGTCAAAAACTTTTCAATATGTATGAATTCAAAAAATTTTAGCTTCTAGTTTTAGTTTAGTTTCTAGTTCGTTAAAAAGTTCGTTTATTTCAATTAAGCAATATTTTTCAAAGATAAGTTTTATCAAAATCGTGTCAGTCTGAAACCGAAATTTAGTAGTAAAATTTATAACAAAAGAATATTTCACATAGGTATTAGGAACGTAAAAAAATTATTTAAAGTTTAAATTCTTAATTAAATTTAATTTCATTGAGGAAGATGGAAAAAATATTAACAATCTAAGAATAAACGTGTAAATAAAAATAAAAATTTGAATACAAATTTCATTTTCATTAGGTGAAATGGAAATTGAAATAAAAATGAAAAAATTAATAGAAATGAAAAACATGAATACTACAAAATTGAAATAATTAAATTCAACGGTTATAAACGAATCTATAGAAAGAGAGAAGATTAATTTATTCAATTAAGAAGTCTGAATAAAATGCTAAAGAAAATTGATGTTACTATAGTCTCTATGGTATATTGCTTGATTTAATAAGAGCATAATGATGTCTGTCTGCGGTTTGAGTCAGTAAATCTAAATCTCGGATTCTGATCATTTGTCTAGACTATATATGTGTATATAAATACATATATATATATACAGATAATAATCATCTATGCTTTCTCTTACCTGTGCATTTGAGCCTAGTTCGCTGCTCATCTGTGCCTCCAAAACAATCTGCATGATTGTCGCACAATTTCGATAGTTCTAAAAGTTGTAAAATATCTGTCGACTCATTAACTTGACAGCCAAAGTAACCATCTTCCAGATTTAGAAAGAACACTTCCCTCTTCAATCCAGTTCCGAATCCTCTGTATGAATCGGTCTGTAAAATATTTTTAATTTTAGTTTATAATTTCACTTGGCGAGGAAAAATTTTCAAATCTTTTAAATCTACTTTTAGAACTACAAATTTTATAATTTTTGCTTGCAATGTAAAATTGCTGCAATCATTTACATAGAGAAACTTTTCCTTGTAAGAATTCCTATAGTGCTGAGTAATTTGGAAATATATATATCCAACTGATAACTGTTGTCAAAAAAAAAAAAAAACTAAAAAATATTATTTTGAATTTATCACTCGGCAGTATTAAATAATAGAAATGATGATATCGATCACTCCGAGTCAGAATTAAAAAAACCAAAACTAAAAAAGTTTATTTAAATCTAAATTTTAATTTTCTAAATCAAGGTGTCTAACAATTGCTAGGAAAAAAATTCCCTGACTTTTCCCTGACCTAAATTACACTAAAAAATGTTTATTTTGATCAAATAAAATTTATTTTGATGCAATTAAATCATTTACCTGTCTATTATCCCCTAATTTCATAAGTATTTAAACCAAATAAATAATGTTTCGTAAAAAATAAAATAATTAAGTGAAATAAATAAACTAATTGGGGACGTATAAATATTCTTAACATTTTATTTAAAAAAATTTTTACGGCGTCAAATTTTAAATTATCAAATTTTTATTTAGTAAAATTATATATAAAGCAGATTTTCTAGTACATCGAATTTCAAATTAATACAATTTCAATTTCACGGAATTTATGTCAAGAAAAATTTTTTAACATAATTGTTATTTTAGTAAATTTTGGATTTATCAAAATATTTACTTAACAGAATTATCATTGAATAAATCCACAATTAATAAAATTTCCATTTAACAAAATTCTTAATTAACAAAGTTTTTATTAAAGAAATTTTTAATTCGAACTAATTCTTATTTAACAGAATTCTCATTTTTAAAAAATTCTACTTAGTTCTTTTTTTGTCAATTTTTATATAGACATAAATTTCGTTAAATTGAAATAATATTAATTTAAAATTTTTAAAAAGTATTAGAAAAATGCTTTATAAGAGTTCTGCTAAATAGAAATTCTTTTAAATCGAATTTTAGTTAAATGTAAATTGAAAATTTTGCATAATATAAAATCCATTTTATACAATTTTGCTAAATAGAAATTTGATAATTTAAGATTTGACGACGTAAAAATTTTTATAAGTTAAATTATTAAATAATTAATTATTCGTATTAATGAATAATTTACTTTATTTGAAGTTGCGAATCGATATAATAAAATTGTATCAAATAATTTTTATTTATATTGAAAAAGCAAATATTTCACTGAAAAAAATTAATTAATTGTTATCCAAGTTTAAAAAATCATTTATTAGATTCAATAAATAGTAGTAAATAATTATTTACTTAATGAATATAAGATATATCACATGCTTAATAATTGAGGGTGAAGGCCAACTTTTTAATTTGCATTTGTTTAGGGAAAAAAGTAAAAATATTTTGAAACTACATAATAGTTACTTTAATTTATTCATAAAAAATTCCAAAAAATTAAAGATATTCCCTGACCGTCAGACACCCTGTAAATTATTTTCAAAATTTAAAATTATTTTTTAAATTATATACCAAATGTTTCTATAATATATAAAAACATAAACTTAATTTTTTTGTATTTATTTTAAAGACCGAAAGATTAATTTTAAATTAGTTGTACGATCGCAAGAGACTAGTTTTAATCTGATAAATGAACTGTGTTTTTGCTTTGCAATTAAATGCAACAGTTTTAAAACTTTTTTTTCCGTTAACGGGTCGCGATTTTAAGAAGCGTGTACAAGAATAAACTCGCAAAGGTATGGGAAACTTTCTAGCTTATCTGCATATTGATAAACAACTTCTTGATACTAATTAGTTCGCGGAGATAGAAATAAAATGAGTAAAAGCAAATAACTCTTTTATAAATTAAAACGTTCACTCATATTTTTTTACGCCCAAGAATAATTTTGTTGGAAGAAGAACCAGTATATTTGCTTAAAACTTGCTATAGAAAATATATGTATATATATAGTGGACAGGTATAACTTCTCTTGAAAGTGTCAAACGACATTATTTAAATAAGATTATAATTATTATTAAGTTCTCGTTTATACGTGACAAATTTTTTTTATTGTTATGATCTTCAATATTTATTTATATTATCCATTACACAATTATCAAAATAAGAAATAAAATCTAAATAGTCTAATAAGCCGATATTATTGCAGAAAGTAGTTATAATGTCAAAAAAATGTGAGGTTAATTTGAGGTTATTAGCACTATATTTTCGTGAATCGCTAATATTTTATTATTAAAGTATTGACATAAATATATTATTTTTTACTCTAAGCAAAAAAATATTTAGAATTTAGATTCATACACGAAATTAAATATTATATAAGAGCATTTTTTTATACTTTTGTAAATATTGTAATGAGAGCAATTACTATCAGGGGGGGCAACAACTGTGCCGTTTACCCCTACCGTGACTCACATATAAATTTTAAGTAATTTATTTTTCGCTCTCTGAATTTAAATTATACAGAATTTCATTTTTTCAATTAGTATACCTTAATATTATTATTACCAATTTTTACTAATGAATTAAATATGATTATAAATAATATAACCTAATTAAAATGAGTAAGAATCGTAAAAATTTTCACTGATTTTAAAATGGTTTAAATCACGTGACGCGAAGGTAGCGCTCCTAGTGTTCACTATCAATAATACAAAATGTCGTACATCAGTGTGTCTATAGAGTGTCTGTCAAGTGGTTTCTGTTTCGTCGAATATTTTTGTAAGTGAAAAATGCATTCGTTTGAATTGAAGAAGGCATTAATGTATTAAAGTTATTAAGATCATTGATCCATTTTTGATGATTTTCAACAAAGATCATTTCCGAGACTTTGTAAGTACATATGCGATACCGCTATATTACATGTTTTTTATTATCTATATTTTAGAATCGCATTTCTACAGAAAGAACGTGATTAATATAAATTCTTCTCGTGTTCAGCTGATTAAAAATATTAACGTAATACTTTTATTATTATCAGTTTCGTAGTATAAATTTCTAACTTCAAAGTTTCTGTTAATTAAACTAACCTGAAATTCTATACGGTACGTATTATTTTTAAAATATTTTCTGCTTCTAAATGAACGCAAGTTATTGTATACATATAATAATTGATGTTTGTTTTATTGTTTCTTGTATGCGAATTTACATTTAACATTCTACTAATTTATTTATGAAAGAAATAACTTTTCAAAAGTGCAAAAAAAATCTAAAAATTAATTGTAATGCCTTTATATTTGATAAGTTTTTATTTAATTTAATGATTCCTCTTTCTCATAATTAATAGATAAAAAACACAAAATTAGGTTATTTGCCACGTGAACTTAAAAATCATATTTTTAATTTAGTTACTCTTCATAAATTGAAATAGTATTTTTTACATTTCTGTGGTAAATTATAAGATTTCTCGAATATTTTCTATTGACTGAAAAACGTGACAGTTTTTAGCACGTACCTCATACATTTTAAATTTATATTAATTAAGGGGTTAGACCACTGTGAAGACCGAAAATCAGACCCATTTTTAAGATTTTTTTTCAAGAACAGAATAAAATGAATTAAAAAATCAATTATATATTATTCTTAAGTACATATTAAACTATTAAAAAATTATTTTCAAAAGATAAAAAAATTAAAATGGCGGCGCTGACAGTCGATCTACAAAATGATGATGAAGTCCGCAACGTTTTTATAAACAAAAACGAAAAAATAATTAGACAATATCTATTACTTTTGGTGAAAATTAAAGTTATTCGGGGTAACTGGTTTTTATATAAAAGTATTAATTTCTTGAAAGTTTGTGCAAATCAAAATTAGAGATAAATTGACATGAAAAAATAATTCTATTTTAATTTTTCGTTTTTGAAAACGTTGCGGACTTCAGCCTCATATCTACAAAAACCCTTTTTTCATGCAGAGGTGTACGCCAGGTAGAAAATCTTTTTCAGTTTTTGACTTAGAACAAAAAACCAAAAATTTTCTTAATTTACAACTCAAAATCTATAAAAGTACGTAGGGGATTTTGAAAAAACGGATTTTTGTGAAAATGGCACGTGTTTGATTCGAGATTTTGGTAAAAAAATTGGTACAAAATTGTTAATAAAAAAAATCCCTACGTACTTCCATAAAGAATGTTATCTTGAAGCTGTAAACCAATTAGGTAAAGAAGAGCGTTTCTGTACCATCGAAAATCGTTATTCAATTGTTTTAACATTAAAAATATTATAATTGTCATTAAATTTCAAGATTAAGTGAATTGTTCAAGTTTGAAACGATAATTTTTTAAAAGAAAGTAAGCGTTAGTTTTTACGGTAAAATAATTACATATATTTAAAATTAATGATAGTTCAAATTAAATTTGTGCTTAGTAACTTTTGTTTGATTTTATTTTAAATAATTTATATAATATATGAAGTCCTGATGGCATTTTTAAGTCCAATAACAAAAAATAGTGCATTTACCGGTTTTTTCAATTCCAACAAATTTCCTCCAAATCCGAAGCATAAATTAGATAAACTAAAGCCTTTAAAAAATTTTTAATGATAACTTTTAAACATTCTCGACATTAGAGGGCTAATATTTCATTAATAAGTCCACTAGAGAAGATGTTTTTCAACAATATTCAAAAAACGGAAAGTCAAAATCTCGGTTACATATATTATTATTTGTAAAATAATACAAAAAAAATTACAAATTTTACATGAGACAAAAGTTTTGAACGTTCAATTGAACGAAATTTTTTTTCCAACTTCTTTAAGTACTAATTTTATTAGAAAATATTTATTTTAATTATCTAAAAAGAAGTTATTAATTTAATAATTGTTTAATTTATTGTTTTATTTTATATTGTCATCATAATTTTTAATAATTTATAGATTGAAAAAAATATTTCGTTCATTTGAACGTTCAGAACTTTTGGTTCATAATTTTACTCTCTGACTTTGGTGCTCTCTGGATTCAATAAATAATAATTTAAAACCAAAAATGGTTTCGTTTAGTTAAAATATTATATTTTTAAATGATAAAATTTTTGTTTCTAATTTTCAATAAAAATGAGTGAAAAAAAATAGTAAAAAAGTATCTATTTTTAGCGTTCTGAAACGGACGTCTACTTCAATAAAAGTATTCATAAATATAGCAAATATACTGGTACTACAGAAATAATTTTAGCAATATAAAATTTTCCCTCTTGTATATAAGGTCTCACTTAACGCGGGTTTGACTACTGTACATGAGAAAAATGACATATATTGCAAACCTTTTTGCATCATGTTTTCCATAATTTGTGTGATTTGACAAATATAATTTAATCTTTAATGAGAGGGTAAGATTGAATAAATTTTCCAAGAAAAGGTCAGAATGAATATAATGTATATATATATTCAAAGAAAGTTATTTCTTGTATACGTTTCGAAGCATGAAATCAAACAGCAGATTCGCTCGTGGTTACGGAAGTGGTCAATTGCAGAGGGACGTACTTAAGGCACGCCTCCCTCTGTAACGAACTTGGAATTTCAAATTGGAACCGTTACACGCTATAAAAATTCTTATGATCTAGTATATATAGAATAGTAGAAAAAAAACATTATTTTTTATACTCACTGGACACGAAGAAAAAAGTATCCACACCACCAACGGCCAAAGATTTTTCATCTTTGCTGTAAAGAAAGAAAAATTGCACCATTAACGAGTGCCATCCACTTCTTTGCATTACTCAAATTACTTCTGTATATGACTTTGAAAAAGAAATACTAATTCTGATTTAGTGTTCCTGTTTATCGGTTTAACTATTTTTATTTCTTTTATTCATTAATATATATAGTTTTAGTATGCACTTGAACCGTCTTCTTGAAGCCCATATATATGGCATTCAAATCACTCGTTTATTATCTCTTCTTCCTTACTTCAGCTAATTCCCCGAGGATTTTAATAGCCTTCTGCATTATATACACGATTCACTGGTATACTATTAATTTCCGTTTTTAAATTAGTTGTAGATCGCGCACATGTGAAGACACTCTTGAAAACATTTATGGAAATGAAAGCGAAGTAATCGCACATTAAACTTATCACAAACTCGCGCTGGCACATCAAAAACAACAACTCGCACTGACAATTAAAAACGTATTTGCACATTTATATCTGGAGCAACTTCCGCCTTTTCAAGGAATTTAAATAAAATAAAAATCAAATCCGAATCAAATCTTTTTTTTCATGATTTCTTTTTGAATTAAATAAAAATTGATTCCAATGATGATGATGATGATGATGAGAATTTGCTTTGAAAGAGAATTGGATCGTGTTTCTGATGAAGTGTTGGGGGACCGAGTAACAAGTTAGCTAGAGGATATAAGAGAGTTAGGCCTAGTCTCTCTCTAAGGTTTGTGTGGACGGACGAAGGAAGAAGAAGGAGGAAAAAGCAGAGAGAATGTGTAATAAAGGAGGGCGTGCGAGTGCGATGCACCTGTGGCCCTCCAGCCCCTCTCTTCCACACCCTCCACCACCAGCAAACAAACCGGCAACAAGTACAAAGTCACAGCTGCGATACGACGACGACACCTGAAGGTCAATTGTTGTTTTTTTTTTGTTTTCACCAATTTTCATCTGTTTCCACTATATATCTATATAGTATACTTTTTTTCTCAACATTCTTATCACAACATGGGAGTGATTTTCAATTTTTTTTTCTTTCAAGTATCAGGCGGCATGTTGAATCGCGTGTTATCTTTTTTTTCTTACATATTTAAGTGCTATATAACTTATAAATAAATCATGTGTTTCAGACATTGTTGCAGTTCTTGAACAAATTTTTTTTACATAAATACAGATTTTATTCATACTTGTTGAAGTAGTATTTTAACACTTAGAGTTGAAAAGTGGTTTGCCTTATACAAAAGCAACTCATTTTGTTTTTGCATTTTTAGGTAAATTTGTTTTATTTTTCAATTTTCTCTACATTTTTTTTTTGATTCACGGAGAAAAGTGGAAAATAAAAATAAAGTAACTTTTACTACTTCCAAATTAAATCCTAAATTTTACGAAATTTCAGCACATTTCTGTCAATAACTTTTGCTCCGGAAATAGTATTTTTTACGACTTCCAGAGCAAAAGTTTATACTTTTGAATTTTCAAAAGTTTTATTTGAATCAAAGAAATTTTGTTAGAAGTAACACGGAAAAAATATAAAGTAACTTTTACTATACTTACAAAGTAAAGCCTAAATTGTACGAAACTTTTGCGCATCTTTGTCAACTTTTACTCCGCAAATAGAAAAAATTACTCTTAAAATAGTAAAGTTTACTTCGGAAATAGTAAAAAAAAATACTATGCCCGGAGTAATTTTTTCTATTTCTGGAGTAAAAGTTACCAGACATGCGCAATGTCGTGAAAACGTGATCATTTGTGTTTATGTTCTTATATATTTTATACAATTATATTATTTTTATATAGATTATTTAATTGAGTGTTAAAAAAGTACGTGGATTTCCGGGAGTTATTAATCTCAGGAGGGTTTGAAGATTATATAGATCGTTTTGAATGTAAGTGTCAATTTAACCAATCAATCTATAACCTATAAAATTTATTTGTTATTATTCGCATCATACAAAAAATATGTTTAATATAAGATTTATATCTTACTTGGTACAGCAAAAAAGTTATATTAACCTTATCATAAACATATTTTTTTGAATGTGAATACTATTAAATAAATAATTGCGGCTGTATTTTATTATATCAAATTACCTACTTGATTAGTAAGGTTAACTAACTAAATGTTATCTGTTACAATATTTATTAGTAGTTGGTACTAACTAAAGTAAGTTTCCCTTAATAATAAAATGGTAACGGCAACTATTTAGCTTTTTACTATTATAAATGGTATCCCTGACTATCGAATTAGCAGCAGTATAGTTTACTAACCAAAATGGTATTCGTAACCATTTTATTAATTGCCACAACTATTTTGTTCTCTCAGTCTACATTTATTTGGTTGATTCAACCAAAATTTTATTGTTTCAAATACACTTTTTTAGTTTTTTAACCAACTACTTGTTTGTTTTAAATAATATTTTTTTGAGTAATATAGGTATAAACGTAAAATACCCTATTTCTAGCCCTAGGGTGTAAAATGATCGTTTTTAACCCTAAGACTTAAAATAGCTCTCATATACACTGCAAAAAGAAGTATCTTATTTTAACATGTTTTGGTAGCATTTAGATGTTTAAAATGTCTTAATGTCTTAAAAACGCTACCAAACCATCTTAAAATAAGATACTTCTTTTTGCAGTGTAAGAGAATGAGATAGTGTCATAGATTCTTAAAGCAGTGGCGGCGATATATCTTTATATTTACAAACATGGGATAATAGATTCATTATAAATATCAAATTGAAACATTTTTTTTGTTAATACCTTCTATGAAATATCCGAGAATTATCGTAATTTGCAAATATTTTGCAATAATTCAATCTGAAACCCTTAAACATATATAATCTGCTCTTCTCGAGTAGGTCTAATTGGATTTGATAGACTGAGAATCTAAACGAGAGCTCAGTACCTATATACATATATCGCTATATAGAGTATTGTATATAGTTTATACCATATATCTGCCTTCTTATATACCAGTTGTTGTTGCAATCTTTCGAGATCATGATGCAAAAGCTATAATAATCGCTAAGCCTTCCGACTCGCTTGGAAGAAGAAGCGTGATAATTCAAGGTCAAATGTGGTAAGTTGAGATGAGTTTACACCGGACGTTGATTCTTTTTACCGCATCTTGAAACCTTCTTCTTTTGCTCTCGCACTTTCGGCTCCACTCTTGCATAATATAATCAAATGTAGCCAAGTGCTCTAAACAAATTGATATAATGGCATATATTGCCAGAAATTATTTACGGGAACATAATAACTTTTATTAACCCGAATAATATTCTACTTAATAGTCTCTACAAATGTCATTTCCATCAATTTTAATAGTTTTTATCAACAATTTTTACCGATATACTTGGTTATTTTCACTCTAAATGAATGTGAGACGAATGTGCAACGAATTCGTCGCACATTCACTTTGCGTGATCCACCACGGATTAAAGTCCATAAATGTAGTATGCCTGGAAGAAGTAACAGTGACGCCACAGTTATAGGGTCCGCACTTGCATTCTATTACGTATTATACTGCCTTTTTCGATATGGAAACTTGGCCTGTCTTCGATTCAAATACTTAAGGACAGAGTCAGTATTTGCAATACTGCTCATCGAAATCAGGATTTCGAGTCAAGTTAGACCACATTTCCTGGCGCGATTATTGGCAAGTTGCCAAAAATGCGCACAAATTCCAGACAGTTTAGAATTTACTTTCAAAGTATATTAAAAATCAATTTATTTTTCTTTTCCATTTTTCTCCCTGTAACAGTTTCGAAATTATTCAACACTTTTCTAATAATATCGAAATTTGTGTAGGTAAATCGTTTTCCTAACGTTTTTCGAAATATTTCCAAATTTCAGAAAAATAATTTCCAAATTTGTATATAGGCCTGAAAAATTTGACTTTTTTTATTTTCGATATCGAAGTGGTTTCCAATGTATTTTTGTTCACTGAACACGATCCCGGATCCCAAAATTGCTTAGCATGTCAGGATTTTGAGGAAAGTGGGAGTAAAAACTGAAAAAACGTGTTTTTGGAGTTTTATCTCAAAATCCTGACATGCTAGGCAATATGTTGGGACTCGGGATCGTGTTCAACGAACAAAAATACATTGGAAACCACTCTGATATCGAAAATAAAAAGATCATGCAGACATGTGACAATTATATTTTAAATAAAATACTGAATAGATTGATTTGCGGAATTTTTCGGAGAAGTCTAAAATACGATAAGAAAAGTCAGTGAGATGGGAAATTGTTGATATTTATATTGAAATGATTAGTTGCTGAAAACACTTGTAAATTATTAGAAAATGTGTGGTTAGGAGTGACATCACTGTTCGGATATTCTAATAACTTCGAATTATGTTATAATAATAATTTTAAAAAATATTTCACACCTCACTGCTTTTTCTTATCATATATTTTAGACTTTCCTACAGAATTCTAGCTAAATTTATTTATTTTTACGATAAAAGTGGTCGAAAAATTAACATTGTGGAACTGACAATCACATGCTGTTAAGTAAAAATTCTATGTATATTATGGAAATTCGTTTTAAAAGAAAGTTTTTTAAATATTTTAATTCGAAAAAATGAAAATTCAACTTTAAAAGAGAATTCTATTTTATTGAAATTCTGTCAAATGAAAATTCTAACTATAATGAATAGACCTTATTCGTATTTTTATGGAATACTTGAGTTATAATAATATAGCATTTTTTAACCCACTCTTCACTCATTCACAGTTTCCACAGGAATTAATAAATTTTTCTGTTTAATAATTAATTTTTCTTTACAAATGAGGTTTAATTATAGGTTTTAAAAGTTAATTACCTCAATCAGGTGACATAACAATAATGTGCCGACTACATAATATAGGTATACACTGATGTATATATATATATATATACTTCTATGACGAGGTATGTTATTTACAATTTCCTATACATATACCTAGGACCAGTATATAGATTTAATTGCATAATCGCTATTAACATGTTCATTGTAGT